TTCGTTTGCGGTTTTCAGTATACGATTTTTTATCGTAGTTACTGAAAATTATTATTGTGAATTATACTTGTGCAGTGATTTGAAGAATTTACAATTTCGTTGAAATTGTTGATTCTTCAAAAAAATTACGAGATTCGCGGAAATTGCGTGCTTTCTTGGCATTTTCCGTTCGCGGCAGGCGGTTTATTTTTGATTGTTGCAAGTGTTTTTTTTTTTTTTTTTATTAAAATAGATAATAATAATGTGAAATAAATCACGATATTTGACAGATGTGCATATATATAGAAATTGTAATAATAATAATATTATATCATAAAATTGTAAATTGTTTCAATTTTTTATAGACTGCGATAAAAGATTTTACATTTGGATAAGAAACTGCGGTAAGTAAAAATATAAAATTCTTGAAAACGTACCAAAAATATTTGATAACGTAAAAAGGTGAACTTTGAAAAATAAGGAACTTAAAAATTGCACTAATAAATGGGCTATATGTGAGCCGTGCGCGGATGTAAGGTGTGTTATATCGAAATTTAATTAATAGAATTGAGAATTAATCCCAATTTTAAGTCTTACAAATGTCCAAGCTAATTTTTTGTACCTCGTGTACATTTTTGAAAGTTATATCAAAAAATTAAATTTCAATATGCGTCTTACATCTCACATTTCGCATACGGCTCACATATAGCCTATTTATCTCTTATACTTTATTTCAACCCTTATAGAAATTTATTACTAGTAACGCCAATTTATCAATTTTATTTCGAGTAATTAATCACTTTTATTTCGAATACTTAAATTACTGTATATTATAGTATTTTAAATACTCGAAATAAGTGATTAATTGGCATAGTGATAAATTTCTACAAGAGAATAAGGAGCCTTTAAATTCTTAATGTAAAAAATTTCAAGTAATTTTCTTTAATAAAATTTAATTAAAAATTTTTGAACACTGTGTTATATCACATTTAAAATCGTGATTATTTCAATAAAAAAACATTTTATGTGTAAAAAATATATTTTTTATATTTAATAAATTTTATATATATATATATATATATATATATATATATGCATATGTAAAATATTCTCTTTCTCTCTCTCTCTCTCTCTCACACACACACACACACACAACGGGGGCCAAATCTCTCAAATTGGTCTCATGATCAATTAGCCTGGATTCGCACCAGGGGCAAAGTCTGTTGGTAATGTCAAACGAATTTAACCTGGACTTGCACCAGGGGCAAAGTCTTTTGGTCGAGTCTACGAAATTTAGCACGGACTCGAACCAGGGGCAAAGTCTTTTGGTTCAAGTCTACGAAATTTAGCACGGACTCGAACCAGGGGCAAAGTGTGTCGGTAAGGGGCAAAGTCTATCGCACGAAGATGGCGGTCTATTCTTTAGGCAGGCCTTTGGCGATCTGTCTATTAATCTGTGGTATCACAATCTAATTAATTTTAATTAATTTTTGTTTCAAGTTTATTTCGCTTAATTTCAAACCCGAAATGTCAAAATCAGCTGATTGTAGTTAAAAGATTTAATAAGGAAAATTCACACGGGAGATTTGCAATTATTTTCCACAGGTACAAATTGTTAAAAAATGCAATTTTGTTATTTATATATATATTTATTTTTTTCCAACTATTTTGCAATTAACATGCAAATTGTTTATTTATAAAATTAATGAATAGAATATCTAGAATAGATAGATGAATAAAAAAATAATAAATTAAATAAATAAAAACAAATAAATATAAATAAATAAATAATCAAAAATAAATAAATATAAATAAATAAAAATAAATAAATATAACAAATAATGTTAGATAGATACTCTATTCTTCTTTAGTTTAATTTTGAGCAAAAATTATATTCAATGTGCATCGTGTATAAATCGGTCATTTAGAAGCAACATGTTCTTTCGATATTATCAATACTACGTCTGAAAAGACTCGTTTCAGTGGCCTTATTCACAATAGCTCCAGTGGCGCAATTGGTTAGCGCACGGTACTTATAAGACAGTTTTCGTGAGCAATGCCGGGGTTGTGAGTTCGAGCCTCACCTGGAGCATTTTTTTTTTAATAATTTTTATTTTGCAATTCCTTATGTTTTAACATTGCTTATATGCAAATTATCAAATGTATATCCATATACAAAACTTGCAATATCAAATACTACATATACATATATAAAATACACACATACACACACACACACACACACACACACACACACACACACACACATATATATATATAATATATATATATAACTATATAAAAATACTTTATATAAAAAATTTCATATTTTTAATATAAAAACAACTTAATTTTTAACTTGTAATGTGAAGATTAATTTTTAATGTAAAGAAGTAAAAACATAATAGTGACAAAATTGAATATATTTTATAATAAATTTATATATACATACAAAGTTTCTAAATAAATAAGTGCGAAAAATTGTAGAAAATGATTCTTTGCTAAAAATTAAAGATTTTTTATATAATATATATATATACATATATACATGTATATTTCTCCCTGAGAAGTTACGCACTCTTTCAAAGAGATAAAAATTAGATTTTTTTTAAACTTTTTTCTCTATTATAAAAAAATAAAAGAAAAAAAAGTTTTTAAAAAAATCAAGCTTTCTAATGCATAATTTTTATTGATCATATTCCGATCGATTAAAAGTTTTAATAAAAAATTAAATAGGAGTTAGTTTCATCTCTTTATCGATATCGGAAAATTTTAAAAATATTAATAAATATTAAACAAATCATATATAGTAGGCCAACTGAACGAGCAAATAAATAAGGTGTAAAAATTTTTATTAATAGTTAAATAATTAAATTAACATTTCGTTACAGAATCGATATAAATTGTAAACGTTTCGACTGCACTACAGTCTTTATCAATACATAAAAGTTAAATATTAAAATACAAAGTTAAATGTTAAAAATACAAAGTTAGTTAAATGTTAAAATATAAAATTGAAACGATTCTTCGCTGTTGACCAATAGATATGCAAGGCGATTGGTCTGAGATGCCAAGTTATGCGACATTTGAGCATGCTACGGATATAATACGCGAATTAAATCAATGTCAGAGAAAATTAAAAAATCTTTCAACTTACATTATCGTTTTAACAAGTCCTTTTCCCCGATATTTCAAGTGTGTGTTGCGAAGTCTGAATACCAAATGTCAAAATAGAGAGCGTGATGTATTACTACAATTTACATTGGAAAAAGAGGATAATCGTTGTATAAGCTTTTTAGACATAATGATCAAAGTAATAGATAATAAAATTTATTTAGATTGGTATCACAAAAAGACATTCTCAGGTAGATTACTTTCATATTTTTTTTGTGAAATTGCGGATGTGATAGTAATAAAGCTCTATCTACCAAGTTATAAATTGTTCCTATTTTATGACAAGTCGGATGATTTGAAAAAAATGAAAGTAATCTACCTGAGAATGTCTTTTTGTGATACCAATCTAAATAAATTTTATTATCTATTACTTTGATCATTATGTCTAAAAAGCTTATACAACGATTATCCTCTTTTTCCAATGTAAATTGTAGTAATACATCACGCTCTCTATTTTGACATTTGGTATTCAGACTTCGCAACACACACTTGAAATATCGGGGAAAAGGACTTGTTAAAACGATAATGTAAGTTGAAAGATTTTTTAATTTTCTCTGACATTGATTTAATTCGCGTATTATATCCGTAGCATGCTCAAATGTCGCATAACTTGGCATCTCAGACCAATCGCCTTGCATATCTATTGGTCAACAGCGAAGAATCGTTTCAATTTTATATTTTAACATTTAACTAACTTTGTATTTTTAACATTTAACTTTGTATTTTAATATTTAACTTTTATGTATTGATAAAGACTGTAGTGCAGTCGAAACGTTTACAATTTATATCGATTCTGTAACGAAATGTTAATTTAATTATTTAACTATTAATAAAAATTTTTACACCTTATTTATTTGCTCGTTCAGTTGGCCTACTATATATGATTTGTTTAATTTTGTTAAATTATACGAGCTTTTCATTAATTAATTTTAATAAATATTCTTTTTACTAGTGACAAATATTCAAATTTCATTTTTTTCAACCCAAATTTTAGAAAAAAAAAACTTAATTTTTATTCTATATTTTTATATGAAAAATCTTCCTTAATCTATTTTCTAAAAGAGATCCATTTTCGCACTTATTTAGAAACACCTTGTATACATATACATAGATGACTTTATTATTATACATATACATATTATTATGTTCAATTTTCATCATTTGTGTTTTAACTAATTAAAAATAAATGTAAAAAATACAAATTAGTTTTATATTAAAAGATGAATTTTTTAAAGTAAATATTTATTCATAAATTAATTTTATACATACTTTCATAGAAATCCGTCGTTAAAGAATTTTTAATAATTGAGATAAATATAAAACATATTATTAAAAAATACCATAATAAATAGAAATCTACATAAAATATATTTTTCAGGAAAAAATTATTATAATGATGCAGAAAAAACGTGCATACATAATGCCAACAATATCAGACTGGAATTCTGGAAATGGACACCATTTGATGATTGTATATGCGAGTCACAAAGAAAGAGAGCCACTTTGGCCCAAATTGACCGAGATATGTATAATGGACAGCGCGAGAGGGAGGACATGTCCCGCCGTTATCGTTATTAATGGCCACCGCGTTAAAATCGAGGATGCGAACGATGTTTTATGCTAAGTACTCGATCGTCAACCAAATCACGAAACGCGGTACCTATTAAATGGACCGCCTCGCCGATGTTCGCGCCGATGTTTGTCCATCATCACGTTCATCATGAACACAATGACCTCATATCGGGATCCGATTTCGTATATATGCATGTAAAGATGTGTGTACGCTTTTAAAAGCCCACTCACAGAATTACCAATCAGTTAGTTGCATTCTGCCATTCAAATTGGAAATGTCTCGATCGGGTTATTATGATGATTATTCGCGGTACTCGACGCAGGTGATTATCTTGCAAAATTTTTATAATTGTTTTTCTATAATTTATTCGCAAATCAAAAAGTGGAAACTTGCTTATTCCTCATTATTCTATTTCGCTCCATTAATGAAGAATGATGAGAAATAATAGCAATAATAATGTGCAAGTTTCCAATTTGCATATTTTTTTACATAAAATAATATTTTTGTCACGTATATAGATGTGTATGTATGTATCTATATGTGTATGTTTTTTTTCGTAAAATTTATGTTTTTTCAAAAATTCAAAATTTCTAATTATAAACTATTTTTTATATTAATACTCTATTAAAGTACAAAGATTTAATTCAATATATCAAAATTTACAAAAGTTAAAAGATGCACTTAAAATTTTTTATAATTCAAAATTTCATAAAAAACGAACCCTTTCACCGATTTTCGTCAAATTCAAATATCAGTCATTTTTTAATAATACTCTATTCAAGAATAAAAATTTAATTCAATATATCAAAATTTAGGAAAGTTAAAAAGTGCACTTAAAAATTCTTAAAAATTCAAAATTTCATAAAAACAAACTCTTTTACAAATTCTTGCCAAATTTAATATCAACCATCTTTTAATGATACTCCATTTATGAAAAAAAATGTAGTCTAATATCTCAAAATTTACGAAAATTAGAGCAACCACAGACATTTTTTGAAAAATTAAAATTGCATTAATTTAAAACACTGAATTTTTATAAAAATAAAAGTGTTGTCATACTTTACTTATATAAAATTGAAATATGTAATGATACTAAAATTGGAACGTTTTAACTCAAACAGTTTTTAAATTTGCAGAAAAATGGATATATACATACACAGAATATATAGACATACATACGGACTTTTTTAAATAAACATGATTTTTCGATGAACAATAAAAATCTAAAAAAATTCACGAAAACAAAGTTTTCTTTGTAAGAAAGTAATTTGTTTTAAATTAAATAAAGTTTAAAAAATTGATTTAAAAATATTAAGTATTTAAGAGTATTTATAATAAGGATTTAAGTATAATTTAAGTATTAAGTATTTATGTAAATACAAGTAAATACTTATAAGTATTTAAATATTTAAGTATTAAGAACTTAAGTATTTAAGTATTTTTAAATACGTTTTTTAAATAATAAGTATTTATAAATACAAGTATTAAGTATTTATAAATACAAGTATAAATACTTGTAAGTATATTCGAATATTAAGTATTTAAGGATTTAAGTATTTAAGTATTAAATATTTATAAATATAAGTGTTAAGTATTTATAAATACAAGTATTAAGTATTTATAAATACAAGTATAAATACTTGTAAGTATATTCAAGTATTAAGTATTTAAGTATTAAATATTTATAAATATAAGTGTTAAGTATTTATAAATACAAGTATTAAATATTTATAAATACAAGTAAATACTTGTAAATATTTCAGAATTAAGTATTATTGCAGATATGGTTCTTCTTCGTCGGCGCGATGATATCTTCGGGGAACCCCGCGGTGATGGGATCAGAGTTTCGGGACGCGGTCTTCGTCAATTTCCACCAGAGATACAACGTCTCCAAGGTGGCGATACTTCACAACGGCGGTAGTTATTTACCTCCAGCCCCGATTTCTCCAGATGTCTCCTTGCCGGAGGTGATCGATAACAAAAACATAGCGGGAACGGTGAACGAGACCACCGGAAACTATCCCAACGCATTATTGTATCATCTATCCCCCGGTCGAGATTCCTCGCGAGCCCTTACGCGCAAGGGTTTGCAAGACACGAGGTATCTGGGGAGCGCCGGGTTGCCCCTCCAGCATCATCGTCGACCCACTTTTCTGCAAGGCAAACACCCTCGACAACAGACTACAACTCCTCCTCCTCCTCTTCCTCATCCTGATGCTCTGGGTGAAACGCCAACGTCTTTCGCAAATCGTATCAACGTAGAAGAGATGTCCTGTCAGAACACGGGAGACGAATTGTTCTTCAGGTAATCCATATAGAACGCTTTGCAGTCTGTTCCTTTCAAAAATCTAATTTTCCAACAGAAAAGAGACTAGTAGAACCAAACAGAAAATCAATTGATAATCAAATTTTAACACAGTTTTGGATTATTTTTTTTGCATGTTATCGCTTGATAATTTTATCATAGAGCATCCATCAGAGCACCGAGAAACTTGGCCCCGCCGGTGATAGATAACGTGATGCGTGAAGCCTGTCAAGCGGCGGCAGTTAGGGATTCTTATCGCATTAATTTTGAGAGGGATCAGGTCTGGAATTGCGGGGTCGTTGAGTGTTCCGCGGACGGTGACCGATCGTACTACTGTCTCGAGCTGAGATTTCCAGCGATTTCCGGTCTGCATTTGAAGGACGACCGTAGGGTGACGTTGCGATGTAAAACGCAGGACAGGATCGCGTATCATACGAAGCGGATCAGCGTGAAAACTTTGGAAGTGTAAGAAAGAAAATAAGTCATTTATCTTCTGGTGAAGCCAGCAAAAATGAACTTTCATCTGATCAGGAGAAACGTCGGGAATTACATATATTCAGATATATGTCTATATATAGTTGTTTTAAATATGCCAAATTAAAAATATCTCGCAAACTATATTCATTTTTTAGCCCTACTTTTACAATTTTTATACCGAATATTGCGAGCAGAAATCGATTTACAAAAAAATAATGTAATTCCGTTGAAAAATTCAAGATGACCTTGTGCTGATCTTGGCATGACGTTATCCAAGGTTAAACTGATAAAACCAGTAAATAGACCTTTTTAAAATAACTTTTGTCTGAAATATTTTTTTTTCATAAAAAATTCAAGATAACCTTGTCCTGACCTTGGAGACGCTACTCAAGGTCAAACTAATAAGACCAATAAATAGACCTTTTTTAAATACCTAACTTTTGTTTAAAATATTTTTTTATAAAACTTACGTTTCTCGAGATATTTCGCAACTTTTTCAACATTCTGTACATATATACATATACATATATGCTGCTTTCAGGAAAGCGAGAAACGTTCCGAGCATGCTAAACGGCGGCTCTAAGGACGTTCTGGACGTGGACGTGGGACTGTTTAGGAAGACTTACAACTCGGAAAACATTTTCGACACAAGGATACAATCAGGCGGCACTGTCGTCCTCGGCGAGGAGATTCTGCTGCGCGTGTTAGTCAACGGTGACGACGGTAAGCGCATTAGAGTAGCACACGACGGTGATAGTACCGTGCACATTTTTATTCCTTCAGTAAGACGAATGGTGTTTCTAAAACTCCGACAGCGACATTGTGTAACTTGCAATCTCCCAAATTGATAAATTTATCCGAAGAGAGACGCGCGTAACAAAGATGTATTATTTATACAATTTCACCAAGTCAATAATGCAAGAACTAATCGATATAATCGAGTCAAACGTACACAATGTCTATTCAAATCTCATTTAAAAAATTCCCATCAGAGGTCAGAGCAAGGCCATTAAAAATTTTTTTATTAAAAAAAAGTTTTAGACCAAGTTACAGATATTTAAAAAAAATCTGTTTACTAGTCTTATCAGTTTGACCTTGAATAGCGTCCCCAAGGTTAGAACAAGGTCATCTTGAATTTTTCGCTATAAAAAATTGTAAGAGTAGGATGGCTAAAAATAAATAGTTTGCGAGGTATTGTTCAAGGTAAAAAAATTTCCGGTTTTTCCAGGAAGTAGACCCTGATATAGGTAAAAATTAATGATCTGCGATTTTAATTTTTACCTATATCAGGGTTTCTACTCCCTGGAAAAACCGAAGGTTTTTTTACCTTGAAAAATACTTGCATTATTGACTTGATGAAATTGTATAAATAATACATCTTTGTTATGCGCGTCTCTCTTTGCAGATCATTAATTCCTTATTATTTTCTTTTTCTTTTCTAATATCCTCCTAAGGTTGGCGACATTCAAAAATCGGCCAAGTGACGATGCACTACGTGGAAGAGAGACAGCAACAGAGGACCGTCAACAGCCTGTGGATCCTGGACAAGGAGGGCTGCTTGAATTCGGATGTGCGAGAGATCTGTCCGCGAGAACAGTATAAAGCATCGCCGTTGGAGAGCTACCTAATCTTCCAGGCATTCATGTTCGAGGGTATGAAGGAGACGGACGAAATTTCTCTCGCCGTGAAGGCGATGGCGTGTTTGGAGCCTGCGGATTGCGTTCTGGATTGCCCCGCCGGTCACGTTAGACGCGCCAGGAATGTTCCGGATCGAAATAATACCGTCGAGTGGCAGGACGACATAGTTCTACGAGTGGTCCTTCCAAAACGCGAGTCACGCGCCGAGGAAAATTATTATTTAGCGATCCTATTACCAACAATGGCGCTACTCGTGCTGATCCTATTAATGAAGATCGTCAAAACCTCGCTTCGCCGAAGAACAATAAAATCCTAAATAATTTCGATCATTTGATAATTAATAAAAATTATGTAACGATCCAAAAGTGTAGCAACCTAACGTCATTAGATATCAAAATGAAGTCATTTTTATGTTTAATGACATCATTTGACGTATGCTTGCTATCTGGGGATTATTGCTAATGTATTAAATACTGTTGATAGATGCTCAGGTAGCAAGCGTATGTCATTTTGACGTCTTCTGACGTCATTTAACGTCTAATGACGTCACTCGACGTTATTTTGACGTTTAATGGTGTCAGTTTGTTACTCGGGTAGTTTATACTTTAATATAACTGACGAGGAAGTTTAATAATAATTAATATTGATAACATCTAATGTTATGAAACGCGACTTGGCATCTCCCATGCATCCAGCTCGGAGCACAGCTTTAATCCGACCGCAAACAATGCGAGGGACGCAAATACGCTTCTCACAAACGGATCCTTGCTCAGAGTGTACACCATGCAAGCCAGAGAGCACGTGCATACGTCCTCGAAGTAGCTGAAACCCTTTGTCAGGCGATAATGATCTACAACCCGCTGTCGTTCCTTCAATTTGCGCATAATGCGTTCTACAATAGTAGGAAATTTCGATTTTATAAAATTGCAAAATGTATGTATATAATGTAATATGTATATGTAGACGTTCTTAGGAAGGGAAAAATCAATACTTCTCGGCAAACGACAGTATTGACGTTTCTCCTCTTTCTGAAAAATAAGCTCGCCTTTTTGCTCCTTTATCAAAGGACATGTGTCATCGCAGACATCAGCAGATTTGCGTGAAAAGATTCGCTTCACTTTTGTAGATACCATTACTTCTTCTTCTTTGGCTCGTCTCGCTTCTTCAGGCTTTCTCGGTCTATCGATTTTCTCGTATAGGTCGGCCGCATTCCGGGAAATTTCTCGAGGCATCGCTCTCGGCTCTTCCGGAATTTCCTTCGCTATTAGAGCGGGCAGAAACTCCTGCAATTCCTCGTCAATAAATTTTTCGTAGTCAGTAGCGCCTTCTTCCTCGCCATTTTCCACGCGCCTCTCCGCTTCGACTGAAATTATCGCTTGGAATTAGCGAACTGTCGATCGAATATCTTCCAAGAAAAGATTCATTACTCCTAATTACAATATTCTTTCAGCTCCTGCAGTTCCGGTTCGAGCTCTTCCTCGACAATCTCGGGTATCTGTTTTACGGGTTCTGCTACAATTCTTTCAGCTAATTCCTTTTCCTCAATTTTTTCTTCATCCGCTATCCTTTCCATCGAGATGACTGGTTGCTCATCCTGAATAATCGAGATTTCTTCTTTTTCAACCAAATCGACTTTTTCTTCATCACGATCTTTTATTTTTTTTGTCGGGATGACTGGTTGCTCCTGGATAATCGAGATTTCTTCTTCTTCAACCAAATCGATTTTGTCTTCATCATGATACACTATTTTTTCTGTCGGGATAACAACTCGTTCCTGGACAACTGCTTCTTCTTGGACTTCAGATTTCACTTCGATATCTTCTATCGCTTTAGACGGTGTCACCTCAATTTTTTCATGATAATCGACTAGTCTTTTATAAATTGCATCGATCAGCCCGTTTTGTATTTCTCGCTCTCGAGTAATATCCGGAAGTTGTGGCTGCACATCGATTTTCTGCGGAAATATTATGTCATCCAGCAGCCAAGGCGCTTCTTTGACTATTTTGAAACATTTTTTTTTTCAAAAACTTATTAATAATTTGCGTTGATTCTAAAATATTTTAGAAAATAATGTACTTGCTGCACGAAGGTATTTCTTCACTTTAGGACAAGTTGGAAGACACTCATATCTTATAGATTTACTGGACATTTAGAAATTCTATAATTGCGTTGCTTTTGTATATTTATATAAAAATTTATTATTTTATGTGATAAAAATGAATGAAATGTGATATATAGAATTTCGATTTTCTACTTTTCAACATTGTGTATTGTGGCTTCTCTTATCGTTTAAAGTTGACAAGTAAATTTGACATAAGCTAAATATAATAGTTCACAGTTGATTTGTATCTATATTCGTTTAATTAATAGATTCATAACGGTTTTTTGACAGGCGAATGGAACGATGAATTCATCCCGTGAAAGCGTTCCAGATTACTTGAACAAAAATATATTCCCGACTTTATTAAGTGCGATGGAGAAGATGTTGATTGAAGCTGACCGTCGAAACGCTCTAGAAGTACGATATCATTTTCTAGATAATTATTTTACAATCGATGCGCAAAATGTGGCTTGGAAAAAAATAGAGAAATAGACTATACTTTACAGACGCATAAATGCTCTTTCAACGGACTTGATTATCTCGCAGAGATCCTTTGGAATCAAAACTCACATCATCCAGATAGATTGCATACGTGGCTGAATGTGTTTGACATACCGCAGTTTAAATTATGGTTAAAATCACAGTAAGAAAAGAAGGCATACTGCCCTTTCTCAATATTTTTGTCATAATACAGGATGTCCCATAAGAAATTGATGAAACTAATCATTTTTAATAGATATAAATAAAATGTTTGTATACTAGTTTATTTTATTGATAAAAAATAATTAAAAAAATGCTAATAATCACATAAAATCACATAAATTAATGATAAATATTTTCAACAGTACCAGATTTACTAGCAGCTATTAAAAAGATCGTCAATAACATTAAAAATATTGGCAAAAGTATTTACGAGTTTTCGTAAAAGAACAGAATTTTGTACAATCTCAAATAATGCGCACTTCGAAACTAATTATCATTAATTTACATATGTAATTATTAGCATTTTTGCATTACTTTTTTCAATAAAATAAACTGGTATACAAACATTTTATTTATATCCATGAATAACTGCAAACTTTCTACTTTTCAACACAATTTTTGTTTTCTCAATAACTGCAAGCATTAAAAAATGACAGCTGATTTATTTCAACAATTTTCTAAAATTTTCTTACACCCTGTATATATTATTTATTGCTTTTATTTTCTAGTCCCAGATCAATTTATCCGAAATCATGGCTGTGGAGCAAAGAAGATGCCGCCTTACAAATACAGAGATATGTTCGTGGTTGGCTCGTTAGAAAAAGAATGGATGTTGAGGAGATGCGTCAATTTTGGAAGGTACTGGAATATAATTAAGCAAGAGATTGAAATATATAACGACTGCTATATAAATTGCAGGTCATCCGTGTAGAGAGAATGGACAGTTTTACTGAACTTGATAAAGCGAAACTCTCAAAGTGTTAGACTGATCGTTACACCTTTACTTTTTTTTTTAAATAACTTGACACATCTCATGTATTTATAAAACAACTATTCCTTTAATTTTCTATAGAAATTAAATACATCTCACAAAGATACTTCTTCTTCTAACTTTGGATACAAAACACTAGACTCGTCCAGACTAAAATTCAATTTCACCGTTGGACTTTCACCCTCCTTGGCTAATCTGTAATTCTTAATCGCTGCCCCTTCAAAATTATATCTAAGAGCTAATTTCGGTTCCTCGGACACTGTTACTCCTTTAGTCTTCATCTGACGCATTAAAATTTGCGAGAGTAACGGCGGAAGATCTGTCGTTTTAGGCAAAATTTTTTCCTCTGGCAATTGCCTATTCTCTAGATACAAGTGCTCCTGATCTTTGGGTACCAACATATAATCAGCTTTGTAAGTCGCAGCGTCCAGCTGAATTGGTTTTGGGCTTTTTTGACCGCGAAAAACCCTCTCGACTAGTACCATAACTTTACGATCAGTCTAAAATGAGTTACGTCAAAGTGTTACAATACAAGCAACTTGTATAAAAATATATATTAATAATATAATATAAATATATATATAAGTTATTAACAGTATATAAAAATAGTAAATAAAAATAGTATATAAAAATAATATATAAATAGTATATAAAAATAGTATAAAATAGTGTATAAATTAGTATATAAAATATAGTGCATAAAATAATATATAAAAATTATATATTAATAAATTATAAATTATAAATTAACAAATTATATTATTACAATTGACAACATTCATTATTTAATAAAAATACAAAACTTACATAAGCTCTATCCGGCAAGGGCATCGCGGCTACCTTAAGTATCTTCATGTAACATGCTTCGGGATACCTCTGAAAGCGATTCCTGATCACAAGTCTTCCTACGCCAAAGTTTTTCAAATTTCCCAAAATCTCCCACAAGGGTTTTCCCTTGAAATCTGTCGTACGACCGATGAGTTTTATAGGCATCGCGTAACTTGTGTATTCTCTCTCATCGACTTGACAGGTGATCAGCTGATCGGGTTCTCGACGTTATCTTCTTGTTTTAAATCGTGGCACACGACATTAAAATTAACACGAAAATCACATCTACGTTACAAATAACGAGGACTAATATTTTGACAGAGAGGTTATAGGTCAATCTTCTTTTTTTAAATCCAAAATCCAACCACAGATGGCGCCAGGGATCGCGAATTTATCTTCGCGTGTCTTCGGTTTCGCTCGGCTATCTTTGCCGAATTCGAATTTCACAATTATAAGAGGATAAGAGGTACGTTAAATAATTTTTATTTCTTACGATGAAAATGTTAAAAAAGTTGCTCCGAAAGTGTATTTCAATTTTCCGTAAATATCTTCGCGATATTTGTAATATTTCAAATTTCATATTTGAATATTTTTCTTTCAATAAAATCGACAACAAATATAATAATATAATTCGAAATGAAAATCTCTCCTCCAATTTTAAAGTCGACCAGACTGGCAATAATTTATTTAAAAAATTAGTTAAATTACAACGTTTCGGCTGTCATTGCAGCCCTTTTCAAGTAATCTATGAACAATTATATACATATAAATATACTCTTAATGCGCTTAATCATACAAATAATTATAAATTTACAAAAATATATAGTTTACGTACCAGATTAATACAATAAATCAAATTTACAGCAAACCCCCGACAAAATTAACCATTGTTTTGATGAACAATGTATAACTGACAGAAGTGAGCACGAAAAAATAGATGTTGACTGTTAGCAGAAAACTTAGTCACTAACGCGTTGAGAAAATAGAAAACCAGAGTACTGTGTCTTTCGCAATTTTAAAACGTCAATACAAGTCAAATAAATAAATAAATAAATAAATAAATATGTAACATATGACAATATAATATATTAAATAGCTTCAAGAACGCGATCATAAATCCCACTGAAATTCTCCGTATCTTTTTGTAAATTAATGCTTTCTTTGGTTTTTATATAGAACATTTCTGCTATTTCTCTTTTCTTGTTTGTTTTTCTTGATGCAGAATCACAGGAGAATCCCAACGGAACTCATGATCGTTGCAAGTCCGATGCAAACTAACAACTGAGTGTGATGTCGTGTCTTTTTGATGTTATTTTTATGTTCCTTAATACGTGTTTCTAAATGTCGCTTTGTTTGTCCAATATATGTAGAGTCACAGTTCGCGCATTCGATCTTATAAACGACATCGGTTCTTTTTTAGTTGTCAATACTATCTTTTCCTCTTTTTATCAACGTATTAAGGAACATAAAAATAACATCAAAAAAGACACGACATCACACTCAGTTGTTAGTTTGCATCGGACTTGCAACGATCATGAGTTCCGTTGGGATTCTCCTGTGATTCTGCATCAAGAAAAACAAACAAGAAAAAGAGAAATAGCAGAAATGTTCTATATAAAAAACCAAAGAAAGAGCATTAATTTACAAAAAGATACGGAGAATTTCAGTGGTATTTATGATCGCGTTCTTGAAGCTATTTAATATATTATAATATAAGTATGCTGTCTTCTAAGCTGGGCAATAGAGCCAAGGAAACGAAACGAAAAATTAATTAAACGGAACTGTATCTCAATTTGAGATCCCAAAGTTCCACATATAAATTAATTTCGAAACTTACATATGGAGAAATAAGCGAGAAAAATACAGGTCCGAAAAGTCGCTGAAGCGGGAATCGAACCCGCGTCTTTCACTTTCCGGGCGACTGCTCTTACCAACTAAGCTATTCAGACCCTTTCGATCCTATATTTTCATTTTGCCTTTTTAGTAGATGTTAGTAATACCGCCGTGATTAGCCCAAGGCGTGAATAAACTCAGAAATAAATATTTTTATCGGCTCTCAATATAAATAATATAAGTATGCTGTCTTCTAAGCTGGGCAATAGAGCCAAGGAAACGAAACGAAAAATTAATTAAACGGAACTGTATCTCAATTTAAGATCCCAAAGTTCCACATATAAATTAATTTCGAAACTTACATATGGAGAAATAAGCGAGAAAAATACAGGTCCGAAAAGTGAGATACAGTTCCGTTTAATTAATTTTTCGTTTCGTTTCCTTGGCTCTATTGCCCAGCTTAGAAGACAGCATACTTATATTATTTATATTGAGAGCCGATAAAAATATTTATTTCTGAGTTAATATATTATATTGTCATATGTTACATATTTATTTATTTATTTATTTATTTATTTGACTTTGTATTGACGTTTTAAAAATTGCGAAAGACACAGTACTCTGGTTTTCTATTTTCTCAACGCGTTAGTGACTAAGTTTTCTGCTAACAGTCAACATCTATTTTTTCGTGCTCACTTCTGTCAGTTATACATTGTTCATCAAAACAATGGTTAATTTTGTCGGGGGTTTGCTGTAAATTTGATTTATTGTATTAATCTGGTACGTAAACATATATATTTTTGTAAATTTATAATTATTTGTATGATTAAGCGCATTAAGAGTATATTTATATGTATATAATTGTTCATAGATTACTTGAAAAGGGCTGCAATGACAGCCGAAACGTTGTAATTTAACTAATTTTTTAAATAAATTATTGCCAGTCTGGTCGACTTTAAAATTGGAGGAGAGATTTTCATTATTTATTACTGGCGACTCTTAAGGATTATTATTTATAATTCGAAATATTAGACATTGCAAAGTAGTTGAAGTTGAAGAAATATATTTCCCTCGAAACGGAATAAAAATAGTAAATATACACCTATCACATTTATTTACACTTATATTTATATGCATTTTAATCTCTTGATATATTTATCATTATTTATTTACGCAACAATTATAATTGCAGGAAAGTTCCACGGATTGTCTTTATAATTATAGTAGAAATCGAGGTTATATACATTCGAAGAAATTTCTTCGCAACAGGAGAAAATAAAGAGGCGAATGTATGTATATATGTAAGAGTTGTTTATTTTTATTTGAGATAAATATTTAAACTATTGCAAAGAAAATGCATTACTTCGACGATCCGAACATTCGAATCATATATTGCGAATTTTATATCTGCGTATATTATTATTATTAATTATTAACGAAAAAAAAAATATATATAACCTGATACACGCGATCTAGACTTATATATTATGTACATATATAGAATAATAAGTTAGGCATATCTAAATAGAAGAAATAGAGCTTAATCTAAAAACAAGACTATCGAGTTACTTGAATAGTGAATAAATAAATATATCGTTCTCTGTCTTAAGATGCATGGCCTTTAACAAAATTTGCAAAAATAAAAATGTTTTAATATAAATACATATAATATATATATATATATATATATATATATATATATATTTATATATATCCCAGGTAGTAAACGCATGTCATTTTGACGTCGAATAACGCCATAGACGTCAACAAGGCGTCATTTTGACATTTAATGATGTCATAGTTTGCTACTTGGATTTTTCTCTATAATATCATATAATTTAAAAAATGTCCTGAGTTATTGATAGAATTTTCCACGTCGGATGATAAAAATTGAATGAAGAAATATATATACTATATACGACTCATAATTTATCGGACAAATTTTTCTTCTTTTTTAGTAGTCCACGATCTGATGAATCCAGTCGAGATAATGAGAGACACGTGCATAGACACCAGGAACACCTGCTTTGCCGCAGCCGATGCCCCAGGATACCACTCCAGTCAGCTGCCAACGGCCATTCCGCTCGCAAACCATCGGCCCACCACCGTCGCCCTTGCAGGCGTCCTTGCCCTCTTCGCCGCCGGCGCAGACAAAGCCAGGATGCAGATTGAAGCTGGGCCCGAGCCGGGTCCGTCTCATCTGCTGCTCGCAGACATGATTGCTGACGACAGGTACATCCACCTCCTTCAGAATGTTTTGATACTTGCCGTAGTCGCCGAAGGCGTCCTTACCCCAACCAGTAGTCCAGCATCTACGTCATATGATTGTTATAGATTATTCGAATGAAGATGAGGATTGAAGGCTTTTTTTATCATTTATTCATTATTTAACGGAGAATTTTATTTAGATTAAATATATGTTATAATATCTTATCCTTGATAATATTTTTGACAGCTATCAGCTGATTTTTGTCAAAAAATATTGATTAATACGTTTTGACAGAAATCTGCTGATAGCTGTCAAAAATATTAATCGAATTTAAGTATTACGACATATTGTTTAAAACATATTATTTTAATTTTTGTAACATATTATTACTTTAAGATTAATTAGTAAGATTAAATAGTAAATAATGTTTTTAATCAGCTGATTTCTGTCAAAAAATATTAAAAAGCAAAAATTTGCTAATTTTATATTATTTTAAAATAATAATACATATTATAAAAATTAAAATATATAGAATATTTTAAATAATATGTTACATTATTTTAAACTCGATTAATATTTTTGATAATTATCAGCTGATTTCTGTCAAAAAATATTAATCGCGAGAATAAGGTGCGTGTATATATAAATTTTTTATTCTTACTTATAATATACATATAATAATAATTTAATAATGATTAGTTAATAATAATAATTAATTAATTTGATTTATTTTAGAGTGCTGAACGAATTAGTTGCCGTGTTATTTTCCGTCGAAATAATAATAAAATGCGCGTTGCATGCAAGTAATCTACGTCGGGAGTGCCGTACAAAGTGCCGTGCGATTGTTGTTCGTTGATTTTCAAGCGTAATTAACCATGTTTTCGCGAGTGTCAAGTGAGTAAAAAAGCAGCAAAAGAAAGACGACCAATAATAAGAGAGGAGGAGGCTCGGAGAGGCATCAGGCAACAGCGGAGCAACCGTAAGGTGAGTAAATAATTTTAATTATTTAATACTTAACAATTTTATGAAAGATGAAAGTAATCGTTTACTTATTTTAATGATCTATTTTTTGTTATTCTGTAATAGGTACAATATGCATAATTGTATTTTATATTTTATTTTAAAATATTAAATAAATTATTTAGAATTTTTTTTATAAATAGATATACATAAATATATATATATATATATATATATATATATATTTTTTTGGAATTGTGTTGTGTTCAAAACGTTTAAATTATATTATTTACCTACAAATTTTTGATTTTTATTTATATTACAATAGTTGAATTTTTAAGAAAAATTTTTTTCGTAAACACATTTTTGTGTAATATTTTCTTTGTAGTATTTATTTTAGTAAATAAAGATTGAATATTAAAAATAGTCAAGAAATTGAATAAAAAGTTTAATTAATATTTAATGTAATTATTATTTTTAAAATATTAATTATTTTAGACACTAATTTATAATTTGATAATATTTATATTTTGCAGATCAAACATGCACTATACTCAGCTGCTGCGCGTCGTATTGGTGAGTCAAGTTATTTTTTAATGAAGTGCTTTTATAAGAAAGAAAATATTATTTTAATTTTTAATTAGCAAATTAATCCTTTATTAATATTTTTTAACAAAATCAGCTGATTAAAACGTTAATTTGTTAATTAAATTTTAAAATAAACTCAATTAAACTTTTTTGACAATTATCAGCTGTTTAAAGTATCACAACATTATTATTTTAGTTCTTTATAACATATTAAAATTTAATTAACAAATTAACGCTTTAATCAACTGATTTCTGCAAAAAAATATTACAAACTTTATATATTTAAAAAAAAATATCATTCATCTTATATAAAATCGAAGAATGATGCGCGCGTTTATGTTATTCTAATTTAAGAAAATTAAGACGGGATTTTAATAAATTGTATAGAAAAGAACGTACCGTGTTCCCGTGAAGTCGTCGTGTTTATCCGGCAAACAGGCCGCGCTAATGTGAGGGTTCTTTCCGAAATCGACGTCGTGGTCCAGTTTGAGAATGGCGATGTCGTTTGCCAGAGTACCGGCATAAAATTCAGGATGCACGAAAACGCTGACGATGTCGCGCTCGATGTAAGGATAAAATTCAACGTCGTGGTTCACATCCCATTCGCCCAATCTCGCACGAAGATCACGACCGGCGTGAGTCTTCACGCAATGGGCAGCGGTGATGATGTGACGTGACGAGATCAATGTGCCTCCGCAGACGTAGACGCTTTCGGTAGGGTCCTTCTTCAGGATGGCAACTTGCCACGGGTACTCGCCTAAGAAAAACATTTAATATGATAGAATGACATATTTATAATTAAATATTATTTAATATAATTTAAAATTTTTTTAAATATTATACAAGGTGTCTCATTTTTAATTGATCACCTCCAAAACTTTTTTATTTTTGATTGCACAACAAAATATTTCAAATAAAAATTGTTTGAAGGAGGACAGATAGTTATTGACCTTTTTCTATATAGAGCGCTTTTCATTTAAAGATTGTTTATGTTTTTTTTTAATAAAACTATTTTTCTTATATTAATCGATTCTTTGCAATTTTCGGCATAAAAAGTTATAAAAGTAAGATGATCAAAAAATGAAGTTTACCATATATTTTATTTTATAGTTTATGTAAAATTACGTAAAATTTATTAAATATAAAATATCTCATAAATTATTCATTTTTTGACCATTTTACTTTTAAATTTTTATTAAGGAATCAATTTATTTTTCAAAATATAGTGATTTAATTTTTAAAAGAACATAAACGATCTTAAAAAGCGCTCTTAAAAAAAGTCAATAATGCTATCTTCTGACCCTCTTCAAATTCAACAACTTTTGTTTGAAGTATTTTGTTACACAATTAAAAATAAAAAGTTTTAAAAGGGTGATCGATTAAAATAAAACATCCTATATATACAGGGTGGCCCGACCTACCGTATAACACGTTCATGGGAGATTCCTGAGGCGATTTGGAGACGATTTTTCCTCAGCGAAAATGTCGAGAAAGATCATCATTTTTTTAATGTTCCCAATTTTTGAAATCATGTATCTTTGTAACTAAGCCTTAAATTAAAATTCTATTAAAGTAAACTTTACCTGAAATTAACTAAAAAATGTAGTTTTGTTAATAATTTATTTTTACAAGGCTTAGTTTACAAAAAGGCTTTTATTTTCAATCATTTTTAACTCAAAAATTATTGGTGCTTGGACATTTTCGTTGAGGAAAAATCGTTTCCAAATCGCCTCAGGAATCTCCCATTAACGTGTTATACGGTAGGTCTGGGATCTCATCACCCTGTGTGTATATATATATATATATATATATATATATATATATATATATAGAATATTTGAAATAATAAAAGAAAATAATCTTGAGAAAAAAATTATAACAAAAGAAGAATAGAATAGTATAACTTTGTTCCTAAAACAACCCAAGTAGCAAACTGACCTCACTTTTATTGACGTCATTCGACATCAAAATGACGTATGTTTGCTAGCTGGGAAAATTTTTCAAAATGTTTTCTCAACTCAGATTGCCAAGTCCCTTTTCTATTAAATAAATGCGATCCGTTCAATGAATTGCATTAGGAATCTCGCGCGTACCGAATTCAGAATCCCCATCGATATAGACCGGGGTCTTGATGCGGCCATTGATGCCTTGTGTGTTCCTAACTCCGCATTGACCCAGTCGCGGGCGTGCTCCTATTATGTGGGACTTCTGACAGCAAACGTGATGGGAACCGCAAGTCGACGGGCGTCCGTATTGTCTCTGGGGAGAGAGAAATAAATTGGTTAATCGATCTTCGGAGCCTCGACAGAGTCTCGGCACGTTTTACTTATCGTGTTGTACTCTTTTTTATCTGTAACTATATACGTTGCCCGGTGGCCGCTCAGTTTGACAGTCTCGCGTTCGTAAGTTCGCTGGGGTCGTCCTCTGTCGTTCACCGACAGCCTAATCGCTTGCGCAGCGACTCTCTATCAGCCCTATTAGCAACTCATTACGTCCCCTAACAGCACACATATCCTGCAGACGTTCAGAGAACATCCTGAGGATGTTCGAATGTCCTCTGAATATCCTCTGAATATCTTTCGGATATGTTGTGCTATTAGGATCTGTTCGCTCTGCCGAATGGACGGTCCTTACCTCCGACCACGTGTCATTTAACGCATCGCGTTTCCTTCTGTCCGAGAAGGTAATCTTCCCGCTCGTCTGTCGTTCGCTAACCGGTCCACCTGGAGAATCCTTTAATTCCTTCGAGGACGTGGACTGTCCTCCACCCTTCGCGGTTCTTGCGCGAGTATTTCTATAATAATCATCTCCGTAATCGTCCGCATAATCGTTGTAATCGTCATAATTATCGTGATCATCTTTCTCGTAGTAGGAGGAATAGTATCCCGGATAGTCAGGTTTGGGATACGTCGGATAGTGATGATGAACGCCCTGGGACGGATAGAACGGAGGCCTCGATGGATAATGGTAGATCGGTTTCTCGTGATGCGTGTGATAATGGGGAGGATAAACCGGGCCGTATCCGCCGTGCAGACCGTACTTCTTGTAAGCCAGCAGATGGCCCAGTTTGTGAACGAGTCCTGCATTGGGCGTCACGTGGAGATTTACGTATGGCTTAACGACCTTCTCCCCGTACTCGTCTTTGGTAACTTGCACCGCTACGAGCGGATTCACGGAAACCGGACCTAGATTTATACCCTGTCCACCAATTGGCCCGTAGCCGGGCGTGTACCCCGGGATCCCCAGAGGATTACCAGGGTGGGGCGCGATCGGACCGCCGGTCTGCGGTAGGCCGAAACTGACGCCCCAGGTCGGCTTCACGTTCAGTTTCGAGGTGTCCAGATTGCTGTCTATCGTCAGTCTCTGCAACGAGAGAGAGAGTCGAACAAATTCACGTGGAGAACCGTCTTCCTCGTTTTCTCTCGTTTTTTTTTTTTTTTTTTTTTTGTTCAGGAAGGTATTAGTCACGTCGAGGTTATAGGCCAGCTTTCTCGCCCAGTTAGAAACGTTTGTCCGACCCAGATCACACGAGAGTTTCGATGTCCTTTGTTACGGCGACTTCTAAAATCTATCGTGTCTCTAATTCGTCTTTCTAATTGCATCTAGGACGAATCGACCGACTGAGCGTGTCAAACTGAGCGTTCTGTTAGAACGATCTGTTATACATATATAATAAAACATGTACACTACACGTCCGATAATTCAATCAATTACATATACGAGTCGAACTTTCGACGTGACATCAATCAATTTTACGTAGATTAAGTTTCAATTAATCTTCGATCAAATTTTCAATCAAAGAGTACCTATTATAAATATTCTTTATCCAAATATATATTATATTATAATGTCGCTCAATAATTTACACATCGATCGCCACGTCGTCTGTTCGGAAACGTGCAAGAAAAGCGAGAGAGAGAGAGAGAGAGAGAGAGAGAGAGAGAGAGAGAGAGAGAGAGAGAGAGAATCTCGAATAAACTTACTTCTTGTATCTCCTGCTTGTCGTCTTTCTTAGTGACATGCTTGACATCTCTGCGATTCCGCTCCGCAACTTCGACTTTCGTCGCCTCTTCGTTCCGCTCGGTCTCGTTCACTCCCTTGGGCACTTGCACGACGCTCATGGTGCCATTTCCATCGGTGATCACCACGGTCTCGGCCTCGATGTCCTTCCCAAGATTGCGCGGATCGATCGCCAGATAGAGATCCTCCTTGCGGCCCACGTTATTGATCGTGGCGCACTGATCGTAAGGCACGCACACGCAATCTTCGTAGGACGTGGCGCCGTAGTTGCTATCGGCCCCATTGTTGAACTGATGTTGATAATCGCCATTGTCGAAATTGCCGTTACCCGAGAACTGATTATTGGATCCGTATTGTCCTGTAGTACCACCGAACTGCTTTCCATTTGGCTTCTCGTAAACGGGATAGCGATCAGCGTAGGAACCCTTTGTGGAAGTGACCGAAGGACCGCTGTTGCTCGTGGGCGTCTTGATCTTGAATGCCTTCTTATAGTCCTCGAAATCATTGAATGTGGAGCCGTAAGTGCCACCGGTTCCATAACTGTAACTACCGAGTCCATTACCTAATGTAGGGGACGAGATTGGAATAGGGTTAGACGCGACGCCGGAGTTTATATTGCCGTCTCCGTGATGGTAATGATGATGGACATGTTGCTGAACGTCCGAGCCAACTGGTTGGTGCAGAACTACCTGTTTCTTGTCGATGAACTTGTCCTCGAAGTCAGACCCAATATCAACACCAGATTCGTATATAGGTTTGGACGCGTATTGGGGAGGGAAGCCGGGTTTCTTGTAAGATCCGGGGTAAGGTCCAGGGTAAGGGCCTATTAAACTGGGTGGTGGTCTACCAAAGTTCGGTCCCGGCCCAGGATAAACGTTGGGTCCTAGAGACGAGCCGAAGCTCGGTGGCAGCGGCACCGGTTTCGCGGGTCCGTAAGGTCGTTTCACGGGTATAGCCGGAAGTGGACGACCCACCGGTTTAATCGTCACCGGTTGAGCGTAAATGACATCGTGCGGGTAAATGTCGCGATGTGGGGAATAGTAAGGACGACGTCCTTCAGCATCCTCGCACTGTAAGAAGAAGAATTAAACGTCGTTAGAAGTTAGAAGTTAGAAGATTTGAATCATGTAAAAATAAGGATTTATTTTAGTATAGTCCCTAACAGCACACATATCTCGAAGATGTTCAGAGAACATCCTGAGGATGTTCGAATGTCCTTTGTATATTCTTTGAATATCTTTTGGATATATTGTGCTACTGGGGTGTGAGTTTAGCTATAGAGAAAGAGTTATATTATTATACAGGGTATCCGATTTTAATCGACCATCCCCAACAACTTTTTTATTTATGATTGTACAGTAAAATATATTTCAAACAAAAGTTGTTTGATTTAAAGGGGGCAGAAGATGACGCTACTGACTTTTTTCTGAAGAACGCCTTTCGAGATCATTTAAAGGACTTTTGTCTCTCTTTTTGGGGGTAGTCGATTCAAATTGGACACTTTGGGCAATTTTATAATATACTCACGTTCATCAAGCCGAGAGAGCAGAGTCTGTCCCTGATGTAAGTACGCGCGATGGTGTCGTTGCCAAGTTGAAGTGCATTTTTCACTTCAGGATCAGAGTAGACTTCTTCGTAACCCTCGAGATTGCGACCCTGCCGATTGGACACGAGAATGTTGTCGATTACAGATTCGATCTGCAATTAAGCAACATATCTTGGGAATATTCTTTGGCAAATACAAAGCTTGATATATTTTTTTACAAATTTAATCTATATTTGAAGTTTAAAGGGATGACTAGGTCTGTTTTATCAACAAATATTATTTTTATTTAACTATTTATTGACTATACAGAATAAAAAATTTTTTACTAGAATTTAAGTATTCATATAACAAATCTGGATATTACTATACATATGTATATATAAAACAAACAAGAAAGCTAAATAATTATAGTTTTTCTATCGGGTTTTTGGGTGATCTTAAATTAAACGATAAGAAAATCATTTAACTTTTTTTTCATTTCGTACAGCTAATAAAGAGTTAAATGAAAATAATATTTGTCGACAAAACAGACCTAATCAGCATCCCCTTAATATCGAAAGTATGTCGCGTAATCCTTTTACCGATTGTTCGCTGAGAACGTCGGCGACTCCGCTGGCGCCTGATTGAATATTCGCGTTGTATACCAACGGTTGCGATTCCTTCTGTTGCGTCGTATCGGGAGCGTCGAACGTGACAGGATGATATTTCTCTTGTTCCACGCTCGGGGCTTGAATTGAGTCTTGGCTCTTCCACGGTTGCCATTGTTGCTGCGAAGAGTCACTACTCGGCGTTTCGTACACTTGAGTACAAAGTGCTTGGCTCGCTATTGCCAAGCAAGCTATCAGGACGAACTGCGTTTTCATCCTGTAATGAAAAAGAGAAAGACCTAGTTTTGTACATCTATTTTTTTAATCTCGACGATCGCAAATAAATCGAGCTTTTCTTTAACTAAGTCTTTAGCTTTCTCTCTAATTTTATTTCTTAGTGATCTCGTCTTAAAATCTATTTTATTATTTTATTAATTCTTTATAGAGGCAGCTTTATTTTCGCAAAAATTTAAAAAATTTCTATATCAATGTGTTTAAAATGTTTCAAAACGTTGAAAAATTGTATTTTTAAAAAAATGTCGGTACATGTGTGTATGTGTCCACTCATTTTTCTAAAAATTTAAACGTCTCAAATACTATTTGAGTTAAAACGCTCCAATCTGGTATGCAAGTAAAGTAGGACACTTTTATTTATTGCCATTTTTATATAAATTTATATACAGTGTTTTAAAGTTTAATGCACTTTAATTTTTCATAAAAATGTCTTTGCTTACCCTAACTTTTGTAAATTTAAAATATCTTTAATTTTTTTACATAAATAAATTATATACTATATATACTATATATGTATATACTGTATATACTATAATTATTTTACATAAATAAACTATAATTAATATTGAATTTGACAAGGATCAGTGAACGGATATATTTTTTACAATATAAAGTTTTAAATTTTTCAAAAAGTGTAATTTTTCGAATGTTATGAAAGAAACATACATTAAAATATATAAAATTGGATGCACATGCATATGTAACAAAAAATATTATTGTATCTTAATAAAAAATTGCAAATTGGAAACTTTACTTCTTCACCATCCAATTTCGTTAATTAAGTTTCCTCTATGAGAAAGTCAAAATTGAAAAATCCGCTTGCTTTGCATATTTTTTTATTTATTATTTCTTTACTCTTGTCTACAATTTACATTGCCAAAATTTATTTTTCACAATATTTTACATTTTATAATCTATTGTTTTAATTCAATTTTCCGTAATTATTATGTTATGTTAGTTTCTCTCATCACCGCTTAGTATATTATTATATATATTTTATATAAATCGATACAAGGCCCTTTGCGATATATTTTCTATTCTCCCAATTATTGTGAGAATCTCCCAACAAAATTTCTCCGTGAATGCCAGCTGCGAATCCATGTGAAAGCGCATCTCGCCTTTCTCCATTTGGTTTTTATTATTCATTCATTATTTGTGACCGCGATATGGTTCGATATATATATATATATATATATATATATATAATCTCGGATCGATATAATACTTCGAGAAAAGGGCATATCATTAGACATCAATTTAAATTTTTAATTCATTGTCGCTCCTACAAAAAAGGTACAGGATGTTCCATAGGAAATTGTTGAAATTAATCAGCTGTCATCTCTTAATGTATGCGATTATTGAAAAAACAACAATTGTGTTGGAAAAAGGAACATCTATGGTTTTTAATGGATATAAATAAAATATTTGTGTATTAGTTTATTTTATTGATAAAAAGTAATGAAAAAAGTGCTAATAATCACATAAACTAATGATAAATATTTTCAACAGTGCCAGATTTAATCGCAGCTATTAAAAGGATCGTCAGTAACATGTTAGAAAAAGTGTTTACGAGTTTTCGTAAAAGAATGGAATTTTGTACAAATTCAAATAGTGCGCACTTCGAAAATATTTATCATCAGTTTACATATGTAATTGTTAGCACATTTTTCATACTTTTTTCCATAAAATAAACTGGTATACAAACCCAGCAAACACCGATATATAATTGTTACATTGCTATAATAAAACGGAATCTAACAGGTAATATAACGTGTACGTTACATGTAACATCCATGTAAGTTGTAATTTCCCACTCATAGATGTAACATTTTAATATAACATATATTACATTGTAGTTATATTGTAATTATATACCAAATAGCACATTGGTGTATTGATAAGTCAGTGCTATCTTGGGATATAATGACAATATAACTACAATGTAATATATGTAATATTAAAAATGTTACATCTATGAATGGGAAATTACAACTAACATATACGTTACATGTAACATGCTTAAGTATATAACATTTAGATACTGTGTTTGCTGGGAACATTTTATTTATATCCATTAAAAACTATAGACTTTCAACACAATTTTTGTTTTCTCAATAACTGCACGCATTAAAAATGACAGCTGATTAATTTCAGCAACTTCTTATGGGACACCCTGTATATCTCCATTGTTCGACAAGCTAAGGAGTTTTATTGTTCACCTGATGAGTAACGTTCTTACTTGTGCACGTGTAGAGATAAAAGCAGTTTCCGGCAACGGTACCGGACTAAAGGCTGAGGCTGTCTTGCGCGGAGACGCGTGTATAATTGCAGGGGACCTAACGAAAGCGAGAGGAAGTTGGGTGAAAGTCGTTTAAAACCGGTTCGTAAAATCGTGACGTTTCTCATCAGCGCTTCCTCACGCATCTCTCTCTCTCTCTCTTTCCTCTCCTCGGATATATTCTTTCCGAAATCATCTTGCGGACGTGGAGAAAGCAATTGCGTAACGAATGCAGTGTGACGTTTGTATAATTAGCGGTGATTAGAATTTTAAATAAAATAAAATACGGAGATAAAGCAGATAAAATAGAGATGGAATCATCTCAACATGTTTTTTCAGGTTTCGGTTGATGATGGATACTTATTTAGAGAGGACCCCTCCATATTTAGCAAAGATATGTATATATTATTAAGATGGTTGACATTTATTATACCACCTACGACAGTGAAAGTGCTTACGTGTTGTGTGTACTTCTAATTTCGTACTTTCCACTTGTCTTGACGAGTTAAAGTGCTGATTCGTATCGACGTATCGATATTTTTTAATGATACAACTGATTTTGTATCATTCGCTTGTAATAATAAATCAATTATCTTAAAGTAGGTTATTGATACAATATTATTATGATGTCGTCTTAAATCATTCGACTCGTTCAAAAATTTGATAACTGTTGAAATCTTTAACATTTCCTTCTTATAATATAATAAATATAAATGTTAAAATTTTAATAAAATGTTATTAAATCAGTTTAAAGTTTTCAAGTTTTAAAATTTTTAATATTTTTTTTATATTTTAATATCTATTGTTAAAGTTTTTATAAAAATTCTTTATTTATAATATTATTCAATACTTTTTTAAATATTTTTTATTTATAATAAAAAATAATTTATAATACAATAAATTATAGATATCATAAAAAAAAATTAATACTTTATTATATAAATAAAAATATATAAACCTTAAAAATAAAATTTTAAATATAAAAAAAAATTTTAAACACATTAAATACTTAAAAGATTTATTGATGAATTAAATTGCTAACTACATTTTTATTAGAGTGATGTAAAATGTAAGAAAAATGTAAATGTAATAAATACTTAAATTTACAAATAAAACAAAACCTAAAAGTTTTGTATTTTTCTATAAATTTATAATTATAAATATTTTTCATTATAAATTTTTATAAATTTTATAAATTTTTTCTTATAAATTTTTTTTCGACGATTAAAACAGTAATAATCATAAATCGAAAATGATATCGATTTCATTAAAAATTCATATGAAGTAAAATATTTAAAAAGGGATAATTCGTAGTTAATTTGCATACAATAGTGGGTCAGATATACTTGACAAATCCGCGAATCTGAATAAGAACACAACAGAGGCGGTCTCTGTTTAAATGAGAGAAAGTTTTTTTGTATAAAAAAATGGAGTGATGCGTAGGCGATGTCTTTTCACTCCTAATTTCTACAAAGTATGCATAATTTTATATTTTATGATATATATAAATTTTAAAAAAATTGAATTTTTAAGAAAAAATATATACATCGAAAAAAATTCGCTGTTCGATACAAATCATCTGTAGAACAAACAGTAATGATATTTATATCACCATATAGATAGATATTTTATTGTCACTGGATAATCAATAAAAATATTGCTTGTCAAGCATGAAAAATATTGTTCTCTAAAAAAACAATGATATTTTTGCTAGATTAAATAACAAACTGCTCTATGACTAAACATGAGAGATTCCGCACATTTATTTTACATTCCACAATTAAAAACATGTCATCGCGATTTCGAAAATTCGACTGTCGTATTGATACAATTTATTTGTTATTATACAAATTAATTTTATTGTTATATATCCAATCGTAACATTATTGCGGAATCATTAATCTTGTATCTAACAAGAATAATTCATAACCATTAATCTTAATATATGTGACACAAAAATTTATCATTTGTTAACATTTGTTTTTTGAATACTGTGTATAGACATTTCCAAAATTTTTAATTATTTATTTATATATATATTTTTTTTAATTTAATATATATATTCCCAATGTAAATGTATGAAGAATTGCTAGATAGAATTAAAAATAAAATAATGAACACTCGATCTTCTCTCGACCAAACTGGCAAAGTTTTATTAATTCACTTCACAACGTTTCGACCATGATTTAGATTCTTATCAAGTGTTAATTACTTAAATCATAATCGAAACGTTGTGAAGTGAATTAATAAAACTTTTCCAGTTTGGTCGAGAGAAGAGTGTTTATTATTTTATTTTTAATATATGGTATATATATATTTAATTTTTTTGAATATAAATTTAATTTAATTTAATTTAGTTTTTAATTATATATATATATATAATTTTAATATAAATCAAGGATAAAAATATGAAATATTAAATTAATATAAAATATAAAATAATTAAGTATAAATATAAAATATAAAGTAATTAAATATACACAAATTAATATGTATATATGCATTTAATTTTTCAATATGTCCTCTTTTTCTAGAGAAAAAAGAAGACAAAACAAAAGGGAAAAAAATAAAACAAAAGATGATTCTCTCACTATTGTATTATACTATTTACAAAATATAAATAAAAAATCAGATGTTGCTTGAAAATACACACCTGACTTGTTGCTCTCCGGATGCACTCGCGATAAACTGATTTTCTCGAGCGGCTCGCGATCACGTCTTATACTCGGACTCTCGCTCTCTAACCGAACACTTTCTCCCAGCGCAACGTCTGTGTCTGCTTTTACCGAAGTCGCCTCGAATCTTATATACACACGTCCCTTTCGGGGATGCTGGGCCTAACCTGGGCAAACTAGGCACGGTGGGGTACATTCGTGAGTCATTTCACGGACGGACATCCGTCTTCGTGACGTTGATTCTTCAGCAAAACAATGGAACAAAGGCGGTGTTTGCTGTTATTTGAATAAAATTATATAGATCATCTATTTAGATAATAAAAATATGTATGATCTATATATCTGCATCTTAAATAAAAAGATATTATCTTTACTAAATTATCTAGAATAATTTTTAGATTATTTTGGTTTAGAATCATAGCATATAAAAATATTTAAATAATACAATTTAAGCAATAAGCGATAAAAATTTATAAATAAAATATTTATACATATATTTTTATAATTTACATTTTTTATAACTGTGTTTACATAAGCAGTGCATAAAAATTATTATCTAGATGAATTACCATGTAATTTTATCTTTTATCTAGATATATAATTTAAAACAAAATCATCTTTATTTTATCTAAGATGAATTTACATATTTTTATATATTTTATCTCATCTTTAGCTAACTAATTTTAAAATCATCTAAGCAGAGTACTAAACATGATTGCTTCTTTGTTGCTGAAAGTTTATTGCACTTTATAAACACACCATTTTTCTTGTTGATAATTTTTAATATGTTATTTTTCGATCCATGTAAAGTAGCAAACAATATGCTGGTATACATGAAACTGTGGCTATGTATACACCTTATTCTCTCGATAATATTTAGAATATTTATCGGAAAAATATAGAGATGGAGAAAAAACATGATAAACTCTCCAATATACAGTATAGTTTAAATTTACATCGAGGCTTTAGGATGAGATAGTATTTGTATAACCGAATATAACCCATTATTCCTATATATATTGTGAAAAAGTAAAACAATGGTATATTTTGCATGTGCTTTCCATTAAACATGTGCTTCAATTTAATATTCGCAATATCGAACGAAACATTTTTTTCATCATTTCTTAATGAAGTCCGGATTTAAATAGGAAATATTGAATATTTAAATATAGGGAAATTTAATACTTAATTATCCGATATTTCGCCGATTAATAATATTAATAATAATTAATATTAATTAAAATTATCATACTCGTAATTTAAGCGAGATATATCACGCAAGCATTATTGTAAGCGAGGACAAATTACAGTAATTATTTCTCATCGTGCATAATAATTATTTCTCGTCTCTAGATTTTTCATAATTAATGATGAAACAATTAAAGGCTGCAATGAGAGAGAGATTCCAAATCGACTTGATTTTTAATCTATTATAAAATTTTTTTTTTTTAAATTATCCAAGGACCGAGCACGAAAAATTCCCAATTCAGACACGAAAAAGTAAAATTCGTAAAATTGATTTGTACACACAATTCGTGGAGGAACTCGACAGTCGTCTTGGTCTACTTCCAGTGGATACAGTATTACGTAAGAGATAGGAACAACCCAACACAACATTCTAATATTATCCGATGTATCTAGGGATGGATTCAAGTATAATATGTACTTAAAAATTCGAGTCAAATATAATAATCAAATTCCACTTTCTAAGATTCAAATAATACTCGTAAGAAATAACATTTTATATACTATATTTGTGACCAGCAATCGAATCTGGAATATTTATATTTGAATTTTATATTGAGCACCTGCGAGATTTAAAATAGTATTCATAAGTACTTTCTGTCATAAAAAATTGAATCTTTTATAAATAGAACTTGAGTTCTAAAAAAAAATACTTGCTACACATCCACACACATTCTTCAAATACTCATTAATCTACCTCCTTTTGTCTCCCCACATATATATATATATATATATGTGTGTGTGTATATATAGTAAGTACTCATAAGTACTCATAAGTGCTTGTAAGTACTCATAAGTACTCACAAGTACTTGTAAATATTTACAAAAGATTTAAATATGCTTGATCCAAGTTTGAACTTAAAAGTACTGTTTTTTTCAAAATAATTATAGAGAATTTGAAACCGTGTAAACAGATTTGAACCTACTTGTTAGATGCTTAATTCCATCACTAGCTGTACTTAATACGCGACATGTTCAATGAATGAACGAAATGACGCTTACGTCACATTTTGGGTTTTTCAATAAAGTTATGTAAAAATTATCATTTCACTTTTATCTCGCCGAGAAGCTGTTCTGACAAATAACAATAAATATACGTCTAGGATTTCTAGGATTTTAGAGGAAACTTTAATAAACATATAATGTCGAAACACAAGTATATACACAAATCATAAAGATGATTTCGTCAATTTGTGGTCGTTGACCTAAATTTTTTTTCCATGGTAATTTCCAGGGACATTAATATTAATTCTTTCAATCGAATTCATCGAATTAAATTTGTGCGTTCGCGGAATCTGTTTTTATCAATCGTTCGCTCTGCTTCCTCGAAATATATCGAAGATACTTTCTTCCCGAGCAGTCATCTCGAGCGCATCGACCTTGACTTCTTGGATCATCGCGCTTGACGTAGGATAGCAATTTTCACTCTCGGTCAGCCATCACGCGATAGAAAGCGAAGAGGCGTACTTTTGTAGGGAAACGACGCCTCTTCGTTGAGAGAAAATAGGAAAAAAATATCACATATATACTCCCATTAATCGGAAACGATTACGATATTTATGCATAAGGAAGAGGCTGTCATTGAAGTTTAAACGACGCGACGCATCGGCTTGTCTACAACTCGTAGCATCGTTAGACTCTCTTCAGGATCCGGGAGAAAGTACTCGCGTGTATATTCCGAGAGTAGCGATGGGATCGAGCATACTTACAAGTGAATTCGAATTTGTTTGCATTCGAACTCCGATTATTCTGAAAAAATGAAACAATATTTTCTAGTATATTCGAATCTGGATGAGATAGTTTCAAATTTTTTTTGAATACCTCAAAAACAAGACAATACTTTCAAGTATATTAAAACCTAGATTAAGTTCAAATCTTTTATGAGTACTTATAAAATATGTATGTATATATTGAGTGATTCTAAATAAGTGCGAAAAATTTGAAAAGATAATTAAAGGGATATAAGAATATAAATATATACTTTTATATCTCTTACTGAGGAGTTACATGTTCAAAGGAAGAGATAAAAAAAAATAAAATTAGACTTTTATTTTTTTTTAATTTAGAAGAAGTTAAAAAATGAAATATTTTTCCAACATTTACTATAATTTGTTTTGCTCTTTTTATTTTAAAATTTAACTTTTCGCAACTCAAAACCTATTAGCGCACTGTGTATGCTATTATATTTTTATTTTTTCTTTAAAATTATTGATTTAATGAAAAAAATGAAAGAAATAAAAAATTTCTGAAGGAATCAAGCTTTCTAATACATATTTTTAGATGATCACATTTTGGCCCGTTAAAAAATTCTAATTAAAAATTGAGTAGGGATTGTTAGTTTCATTCTCTTATGACGACAGAAGGATTAAACTAATATTAATTTTTAATTAATAACTATTGACATTGATAAGTACTCTTTTTACTAAAAAGTGATCACTAAACTTTATTTTTTAATTTGTAAAAATTTGAGGAAAAAAACAAAAACTAAAATTCACCTCCCTTTTTAAAGGAGTGTGACACTTTTCAGGATATATGTATAGGAGTATGTATTTTATATAAAAGATCTTCAATTTTCGATGTGGATGTATAGCAAGTACCATAAATACTTTTTATCTTAGAGTTCGAATATTACTTGTAAAACATTCGATTTTTTATGATAGAAAATACTTACAAATACTATTTCAAATCTTGCCAAGTATTCAATTTAAAATTTGAATATAACTCTAAATTTTATTACTTTGCATATATACAGTGTTATACTTACAAGTAGATGATTTAAAAATTAGTTAGATAAAGATAAGATAAAAATATGCAAATTGAAGATAATTTTGTTTTAAATATATCCATATAAAAGAAAAAATTATATGGCGATTTATTTCGATAATTTTTTAAATAATAATGATTGAAACTGCTTATATAAACACAGTTATGTAAATTATAAAAGGGATATAAAAATATATATGTTCATATTTTTATTTATAAATTTGTATTGCTTACTGTTTAAGTTCTACTATTTAAGTATTTTTATGTGCTATAATTCTAAACCAAAATTATCTAAAAATTATCTATATTTTAGACAATTTAGTAAAGATAATATTTTTTTCTTATCTAAGATGCAGAGAAATATAGATAATACATATTTTTATTATTTTAATTAATTTAATATTTCTTATAATTATTATACAATTCTCATCGAAAATGAAACTTGATTGCATTCAACTCGGATTTTTAAGTACATATTGAAGTCGATTCCATTCCTATCCGAGGGTTGAGCTGCGCACCAGTGAACTTTTCGCTCGTTTCGAGTGTTTCCTCTGGGAGTTTTCCAGTCCGATCGAATCTCATAGTTTCTCACCGCGTGACAGAAGTTCGCAATTTTGCGATTTCGGGGGTAGAATTGCGTGAGAATTTTCAATTTTCACCGTCTTCCGCCTGTCCCACGGGAGAATTATTCCAGAGAGTTTCGGGTGCGGGAGAATTCCGCGCGATAAAATTCTTAAAGGGGGTTTTCTCTTTCTCATCACGTATCGGTGATCAACGGTTGCCTCGGATATGCGACCGCCGATTTCCTTTCACGTGCCACGCACTACGTAACAGGGATTTTCCGCGGGCTTTTGTAACAACTGGGAATTTCGCGTTTCGCCGCGTTAAGCCGCGCGTGAATTGTCTTGACCCGATTCAGGGGTGTGCTTATGGGTTTTTCTCTTTCTTCTGCCCCGGAATGTAAATTAACTCGATGCGGCGTGAAATAATAAAAACGTCACGTTACGTAACCGTGCGGTTGTGATTTAATCCTTCGGTCAATGAATAATATTGCAATGTATGCGGACATCAATATTGGGTACTTTGATATATAGATATCCAATTCTGTGTTTGACAACTTTTTTTATAGCAGTTGCTGGCTATCAAACTTTTTTCCCGTTATATTTTAGAAGGTTTCTGAATTGAAAGATACCCTTTGTATTTTTAGCATTTAAAGTTTGTTTTGGATAGACATCAAATCGAAATATGTCCAAAATTGGGACAATGTCTTTAAGACATTATATCATAAAATGTCTTAAAACGTCCTAAAGACTTCTTAAAGCTGTTTCAATTTTAGACATAATGCTTTCATTGATAAAAGGGTATTAAGACACTTTCCGAAAATATTGTAACTTTCCCATAATATACACAAAAAGTCGAGCCAATTAAGAAAAAAATTCTTAATAATCTTCAGTTTTCTTCTGGACTCGAGAAATGATAAAGAGATATTACTAATGACTACATAGTGACGATTATTTAAATATTTTTTCGAGATTATCGAAGAAGGAGGGAGATAGAGTATAGGAGAGAGAAACGAAAAAGGCAATTTTCATCAAGTTCTTTTTTTTGCGTGGATGAGAGGTTACACGATAGACGATGATTATCGATGAGGAGAGACAAGCTGCGAGCTGCTACACAAACTTTCACACGGGCTTCACTGAGGTCGACGGCTACCGGTCTGATGATTTTTTCGGTCAGTAGGTAATATGGTATCCATGTTGCTCGATCGAGTAGCTCGACGGGATCTCGCCGATCGGCGCGGAATAAGCGTAAGCATACGGTATCTATAATAATATAATGCAAATACCTATAATAATAACGATGAAGAGCATAAAAAAAAAAATATAAAGTCTATCGATTTTTTGGAAACAAAATTTTTTCGTCCAACAACGAGATCTCGCTGAAATCATTATAAAAAGAGAGGGGATGGCGAGAATAAAAATTTCAAATATACGTAAATTTGTAGAATTAAAATGCGGGCGTATAATATTCAAATGCAAATTTGCGAGCATACGATTTTTCAATCGACGCAATCTCTGATAAAACCACCCTTTCCCGCGGGGATCTCCTCTCAACCTGATGATGGTGGTGGTTTATGCGTGTCGCTATGAAAAATTAAACCTTTTTTTTTTTTTAAACTCTGTAAATTGATTTTTAAATATTTAACGGGACGCAATGCGGGAGAGTGCATTTTTGCACGCGTAACGAAAATTTTGCTCTTCCGACAAACCCACCTGCGATAAAACGGGCGCGGTGTACGCGATCCGGGAGATCGGCGCGATGACAGGCGCGGCAATCGGCGCGACGAGCGGCGTTAGTTTGGTGGTAGACGCCGGGGTTTTTAGCTCGGGCTGAAGGAGGGCGAGGGCGGGTTTAGGCGCGGGCGCCGCTTTCGGATCGGGTGCCGGTGCGGACCAGGCCAGACCGAGGATGCCGACGAGGAGAATCTGCAAGATAATGATAGAGTCGTATATACATATAATGACGGGATCAAGGATACTTTAGAAATAGGTTTGAACTTGATTCCGAACTCTCTGATTACTTGGAAAAGAGAAAGGAGTGCTTTGAGTATTCTTGAGTACTCTCGAGTACTTTTGAGCAATATTGAGCAAGTGCTTGCAAGAGTTGCTGTTGTTTATAATGAACTTGCAAGAGTTGCTGTTGTTTATTAAAGTACTTATAAAGAGTTAGAACTTATCTCGTGCAAGTTCAAATCTACTCAAAAGTACTTCTTTTTTAAAGCACTTTTGAGTACTCAAGAGTTGCTATTGTTTATTAAAGTACTTATAAAGAGTTAGAAGTTATCTCGTGCAAGTTTAAATCTACTCAAAAGTACTTCTTTTTTAAAGTACTTTTGAGTGCTCAAGAGTACTCAAGAGTACTCAAAAGTACTTTAAAAAAGAAGTACTTTTAAGTAGATTTGAACTTGCACGAGATAAGTTCTAACTCTTTATAAGTACTTTAATAAACAACAGCAACTCTTGCAAGTACATTCACATTTAGATTGAGATCATATGTTCGAATCTTTTATGAGTACTTATGAGATAAAAAGTGTAGTATGAAATAAAAAGTCTCGGGTTTGATTCCCGATTCAGCGATTTTCGGATCTATATTTTTCTCTTGCATTCATTTATTTATTTTCCGTAGGGGGGTTAAAGGGGGTATTGAAATTAAATCTCAAATATGAGATTATTTCATATTTAAAATCTTGGCCGTGTCCAAGTAAAATTTGGTGCCTTGTGCACCGGTATTTAATTCTAACGGAAAATTATTTAGTTTCGTTAGGATAACGCATTGTCATCCGCGATTTGGTTCTTGTTGCCCGTCTTATACGTTAGAAATAAAAAGTATTCCAGGCAGCAAGTGTGTTATTTTGACGTCAGTTTGCTACCCTCTTGGGATGTAATAATAATATAAATTCAAGTTATTTTGTAATAGACAAATATTATTAATAAATAATTGACGATATATTTGAGATGATACAGAAAGTGTATGTGTGGATGTACGTGTAACAAGTATTATAAATACATTTTACCTTGTTAGAGAGTACGAGTACTATTTGTAAAAGTAAAATAAAATTCAATTCTTTACGGTAGAAAGTACTTATAAATACTATTTCAATTTTGCAAGTACCCAATTTAAAAAATTTAAATATAATTTCTTCTAATATTTTTAAGTACATTCGATTTTGAATCAAATATTTCAAGTGCCTATCCCAAGTACATTCCAAGAATATTTTATGAGTAATATGAAAAATTTCAAGTTATATATATAATTGCATATATGTGTAGCAAGTATTATGAATTTATTTTTCATCTTAGATTTCGAATATTATTTATAAAAGATTCTTCGATTCTTCACAAGATAGTACTTGTCAGTACTATCGAACCTTATAGGTACTCAATCTAAAATTCGAATATATCTATTCTAGATTCAAATACTTCACAAATAGTATTCGAATCCTAGAAAATGAAACTTATTGGGCTCGACTTGGATTTTTAAATACATATTAAACTTGATCCCTAATCGTTTCATGCGACAAAAGAACTAGCTATTTAAATTTAAATTATTAAACATGGGATGAATGTGAGAGAGCACGTTCGCGCGCGAGATGCACACTTCCGGTAAATGACGTATTATATTCGAATTACCGCGAAAAATATAGCCGCAAAAGTTCGTGATATAGAAGTTTTTCAATTTCCACAATTTTGAATAAAGAAGATTATCGCCCTTTACGTTTCCGCGCCGGATTTACTTACGTATCGTAGCATGATGAACTCCGGACGAAAGATTCTGCGCGGATGTGTACTCGGGAACGGGATACTCTGTGTCAGTGCACACTCCGGCCTCGGTCCCCTCGTACTTATAGAGGTCTCGGAGGGATACCGTAAAAAGTAGACTCGTCCGGTACTACAAAAGTTCCTAACTGCCGCACCGTCGCATTCCTCCCCGATCTCAGGGACGGACCGGACAAGGATTGCAACGCATCTCCTGACTTTGCGATATTTATTGACTCTGATGCCTACATTATATGCACTCCTGGATGCAATTCATATACACGTGTGCTACATGTATAATACAGATAGATAAAGAAACTCCAGGTCAATGTGGTCCAGAATTACTTAATATCCAAGTATAATCAAGTCGGGAGATCATAGAATATCTTTCAACATTTTTAAATTTAATAAAATTTAATCAAATTATTTATTAAATATAATAATATTTTAAGGGTAAAATATGTAAATCAGTTAGAAGAAACTTTATATTATTTCTATATTTAATATTATAATATTATTCCAGGCAGGAAGTCTGTTATTTTGATGTCAGTTTGCTACCCTCTTGGGATGTAATAATAATATAAATTCAAATTATTTTGTGATAGACAAATATTATTAATAAATAATTGACAATTTTGAGATGATACAGAAATAATACCAATATGTTATCTCACAAACGTAAGTTTAAAAAAAAGATATTTCAAAAAATCCGTGGCTATCTCTTCTCCTGTGTAACGAAAATTAAAGTGCAGATCTTCTTGGCATTACGCTCCACTAAAGATATATGGCGGATAAAACGTACACAGTACATCGATAAGAATAATGCCTCGTCCCGAGAAACGTTTCTTCCATTACCCTTCTCCTCCATTTCTATTTCTTCCTATTTCGCGAAACAATCCCAGCGCAAAAGAGAGAGAAAAGAGAGAGAGAGAGAAATAGGCAGCCCCTTTCGACTTCGCATTTATCAATTATCGATCCACCACGGTCCCTCGGACGCGGCACGTACGTCCTCGCTGTAATTCTTTCACGTTGGTATTTTCTTCCTCGGGATATATACATACGTGTGTATGTACCCCTCTCCCCCACAACACACACACACACACATTCGATGAAATGGGTGTGATTTAAAGAAAGAGACGCGAGAAGGCTGTACGACGACGCTCCGTAGACCAGGGATCCAACCGAGGTCATTAGCAATACTCGCGGTTCGTTCACCCGAGACCTTGAGGATCCAGGCGTCGTGCATATACACACGCTTCGAGGCACTTGGCGCACCGGGTAATTTATATATCGAGGCACGGATCAATATTGCGCCGCGGAAATTGTGACACAAACACACGTTGACAGAACGGGACAGCGTTTATATGTATATAATTACGCACCAGCGATTTCAAAAATATCGAGAGAATATAAAACGCGCAGGTGCAATAATGCAAAACCGCGCGACAAAAAGAGGAAGATAATTACAGACGACGGAGAACGATTTTTTTTGTTATTATTACATTTTTCGGTCGATCAACAGGTACCCATTGGTATCTATAAATTGATAGAAAGATGAGAAATTATGCATGATAGAAGGATTAAGGATCTTCTTATATCTTTGGGCATGTCAAATGTGCTCTAGACGCAAGAAATAAAAATGCATGACAATTTATTAAGGAATTTACATCGAATATATTATATAGCTAAATTCAATGAACGTAGTCCACCGGCCTCTTTCCCAGGCCAAGACTGCCGGCTTTGACTTCGTTTCTCGAATCACGCGAACAATGTGGCTTCGATTCAAATTCGAGACAGTTTTGGAAAATAATTTACGAGAACAAGTGATTGGGAATGATGATAATTGCAATACCGAAGACTGATGATAAAGCTACAATCCTTTAACTCCAAAGAGCACAATAATCTGTGCTTAAAATTTCTGGAACCTATATTATTATCTATTTTTCTCATTGATAAGGAAAGCATAATTCAATTGATTAACTTTTTCGTCAAAACATTTCCAAATAACAGATCCAAGTAGCGAACTGACGTTATTAAACGTCAAAATGACGTCTAATGACGTCATTGACGTCAAAATGGCGTACGTCTGCTATCTTCATTTTGATAAGATTCTAATTAATTTAAAAGAACTGTGATTGAATACTTTAATTGTTCGATGTATAAAATTGAAGTTCTTAGGGGATTAATAAATTCATTTCTATCTATCTATTTATCTATTGAAAAGAACTATGAGAAGAAAAATAAGTTAAGGTTATGTTTAATTGTACTCTTCAGAGTTAATGATAGGTCTTTACCACTTTGTTCGGTGACGACTATTACACGTGGTGAACACTATGTCCGTAATTGGACACGGTCTTCTCTGCGATCAGCTGATGATGAGGGTAGGTCGGGTAATAGATCGGCGCCGCGTAAGCCAATCCGCGAGTGCTTATGGGTATCGCGAAGTGCGAGTCTAGGGTCGCCAGGGGTTTAGCCGCCACTGGATGGACCACGTGGTGTCCGTGAGCCTCGATTGTCTTCTCAGCCACCAGCGACGCCTTCACCAGCGGCTGCACCACGACCGGTTCCTGCTGCACCAGGGCCACGTCCGGCCCGTACTTCAGCAACACCGGCGAAGAGGCTCCCAGCGCCAGGGGCACCTTCGACGGGTGCACCACGCTATTGCCGTGGGACTCGATGACACTCTCGGAAATGAGCTTGCCGATGATGGGGGAAGACGCCACGATGGTTCCACATTGCACGGTGACGAGGCTCGCCAGCATAAAAATAACCATCTGCAAAAGAGAACAGAATATGAAATCTTGGGAACCTTCGGGAAAAATTGAGACAGTTTTTAGTCTCGGGAAGATTAAGACAACGTGTTGGCCTGGATGATTTTTTAACTAACTTATTATATTATTAGAGGATAGAGAAACTTGACTAAAAGGTGCTTGAATAGAAGATTGGGATTATTCAAATAATGTTTCTATCAGAGAAACATCCCTAATAGCATAACATATCCGAAAGATATTCAGAGGATATTCTGAGGATATCCAGAGGACATTCGAACATTCTCAGGATGTTTTCTGAACGTTTTTGAGATATGTGTGCTGTTAGGGATACGTATTCATATTCGGAACAGTTTTTGAAATGATAATTACTGAAATACCAAAGACTACGGATGATAAAATTATGGACAACAATCTGTCCTTTAAATTTCTAAAACTTACTATTATCTATTTTTCTCATTGATAAGAAAAGTATAATTTAATTGATTAACTTCTTCGTTAAAATATTTCCAAATAAGAGATTTAAATAGCAAACTGACGTCATTAAACGTCAAAACATCATTTTGACGTCAAATGATGTCATAAGACATCAAAATGACAGTTTTCCACTTGGGTGATGATAAAATTATAAGCAACAATTTGTTCTTTAAATTTCTGAAACCTACTATTATCTATTTTTCTCATTGATAAGAAAAATATAATTCAATTAATTAACTTCTTCATTAAAATATTTCCAAATAAGAGATCCAAATAGCAAACTGACGTCAAAATAGCGTACGTTTGTTATCTTTGTTTAGATAAGAATATATCCATGTAAAAGAAAAATCTGAAACGAAAATTAAGTGTTGTCGTTGTGTTTAATTGTACTCTTCAGAGTTAAATGGTGTCTTTAACACTTTGCTCGGTAATGAGCATTACATATCAATTTTTAATTGCTTTTAATTTTTTTATATTCATTTTCCCTTTATTTCTTTTGACAATTGTTTCAAATTACAAAAAAAAAACATTGATCTTACCAGCTTAAACATGACGACGGATTTTCGATACTTTTTGGATCAGAACCTGGGACTGATCTGCACTCATGCGGATTTACGCGTGCTTATATATATAGGAGAGTACTTCCGTGATCTTCGAAAGAGACCTTCAAGGTCCGTGCAATAAGAGTTCCACGTCCTGCGAGTCTATACATATACATATAATTTCGCACGCGGATGCGTTGAGGAATATTCAATGCGAGAAAAGCATTCACTTTATTGTCTGAAAAAATATATATATATATATATCCGTGTAAAATATACTCTTACAAAACATATTTCTTGCGTTCGCGTGAAATATTAAAGATTCCCAACGAGAGATCTCCCAGATATATCTCCTTGAATTATGAAAACTGTATTTCAGGGGAATATCTTTTAATTTAGCACCTGTATCTCTCCTTCTGAAAATAAAAAAATTTTTAAATAGAATTGTAAATTAATTACAAAAGACGTTGAAAATAATATAGATATTAATATATTATACTTTTAATATAAATGTTTTAACATATATAATTTTTAACATAAAATATAATTAATATATTATATTTTAATATATATAGAAAGTAATGCAATACAGATTATAGCAATGTATGTATTAATAGAATTGTGAATGAAAGATTACATTCTTGCCGCTTGTTGGTTCTGAAAGCGTTAAGCATTTTTTTTTGTCATCTTTGTTGCGGGGTACGCTTGACAGTGACGGAACAAAGGAGCTACCTACCTTTACGCGATCTCGAGACTTTACTTTTACTCTTCACCGGTAACTATAAGCACTTACGCCATAGAAGCAAAAAAAAGTGGCGGCACTTCTCGAAGGGACGCATAAAGAGCACCCGAGCGTAAAATTAAGGCCGAAAACGCGCTTAATCTTGACAATCTCATTTATCCGTTTCCACTGTACGGCATTAACGATGGCAAATCCGACGAAAAAAAGAACGATGTTGCAACTAGGATAAAAATAATATCGCGCGCACCTGTGTATTTCGAAAGCGATAAAAATAAAATTAATCGAGCTTTTTTTCAGAATTAAAATAAAAAATAGCAACTCTTAATAATTTTATGAAGATGAAAATAAGGTGCGCGAGGCAATTTTATAATATTTCTCCTTTTTCTCCATCCGCAGATCGATATTTACGAAGATTAAAATTTTCAATTATAAGATTACATGTTATATTTTATATCTATATTATATATTTATACAAGGTGTTCTAAAATTACCCATTTATGAGAGATTTCCAAGGATATTTAGAGACGATTTTTCCTAAGCAAAAATTTTTTGCATATTCCCAAAAAAATAAATAAAATTCTATTAAAGTAAACTCTATTTGAAATTAACTGAAGAATGTGATTTTCTTAATATTTAATTCCCATAAGGCTTTGTGAAAAACCCTTTATTTTCAATCACTTATAATTTGAAAATTATTGGTGCCACGAAAAACTCCAGGAATCTGCTATTAACAAATTATCCGGTATTTTTGAAAAACACTGTATACTATGTATTAATCTTCAATATATTTTTTTTATTAATACTTTTTAAAATATTTTTTAAAATATTTGTATTAATATTTCTTTTAAGTAAGCATATAATTCTTTTCTAACATGAGAAATACAGTTTGAATGTAGCGAAATTGATATATTCGATACATGTAGTATGTTAACATAACATATGTATGGATACATCTATAACTTTTCTCTTCGCAAACGTAAAGATGCGATATTGAATAATTCGCCTCTACTTTTTCTCTCTCTCCTTCTCTCTCTCTCTCTCTCTCTCTCTCTCTCTCTCTCTTTCTCTTTCTTCTTCGCTTGGAGGGAGAAGAGGGAGAGCGACTTTTTTAAAGCTCTCGTAAAGAATTTAGCAAGTTAGGTTCGTGAAAAGCGCGCACAGAGGCGGGTTTATATGTTTCCTGCAAATATATTCAATACGTGACCCGGACGGCGCGCGGCGAAGTTTCGTTCGCGATTGTCGAAGCGAGAAGGGGATGGGGGTGCGGCGGGGAAAAGGGCGGAAAGGGAGGGGGACTAAAGCCGAAACTCAAACAACCGTTGATCGCCAAGTCGGTAAACACTTTTCATCGAGTCGTTCCAAATCCTATTTTGAGAAAAGCCTCACGTAAACGGATAGGTAGTATAGATGGACGTACACTACGCGGACGTGGTGTCCAAGTAAAAAAAAACTATAAGAACGAGATCACCCCGTGATCACGACGCTCCGTGTTTGCACATCGTCCATGCGAGTAAAAAGTTGGAACTCTCTGGTCGAAAGTGAGAGAGAGAGGAAGGAAAAATCAGCGATCCTCGATAAGCTTGGACAATACGTGATACGGAGGAATTAATCCCTTAGGCATAACGAAATAGATAGAACTTCATAACCGCCAGAAGGGATAATTTCACGATAAAACATATTATATTATTCCTAAAATTTACTAATATCTATTAATTGTAAGATGTAAAACCTAGAAATCCAAATTCCTATAAAGATCTAGAAAGAGCAAGGTTGGATCTATTAAGCCTAATGCTAGAGAGAGAGAGGCTTCAAACTAAATCCAAACACTTAGCTAACTATAAGAGTGAGGATATACAAAGGATCTTATTATATTACTCCTATTTGCTAATATCTACTAATTGTAAAATATAAAACCTAGAAATACAAATTCCTATAAAAACTTAGAAAGAACAAGATTGGATCTATTAAGCCAAATGCTAGGCTCCAAACTAAATCCAAACACTTAGCTAACTACAAGAGTAAGAAGATACAAAGAATCTTATTATATCACTCCTAAAATTTGCTAATGTCCTAAACCCTTAAAACCTAGAAAGTGTAAGGTTGGATCTATTAAACCTGATGCTACGTTTTAAACTGAATCCAAACACTTAGCTAACTACAAGAGTGAGGAGATACAAAGAATGTTATTATATTACTCCTAAAATTTGCTAATATCTACTAATGGTAAGATACAAAACCTAGGAATCCTATAAAGACCTAGAAAGTGCAAGGTCGGGTTTATAAGCCTAATGCTAGACTCCAAACTGAATCCAAACACTTAGTTAACTACAAGAGTGAGGAGATACAAAGGATCTAAGTGTTATCGTGATCCAAGCGTCGTCAAGGACGTAATAGTACCGCTCCGTATCACTATATATACTACCACTACTACTATTCCTAATTAATTGTAAAAATAAAGAAAGACTCCCAATTGAAGGAATTACAGTAAAAGGAATGAAATAAACAGAGGGCACATTTGTGTAAAGGCAGAAATGGCAAATTTTATTGACTGATCGTAGCGATCTTGCGGACTGGCTGGTACAAGATTAGTCTGGCAGGATCTGTTGATGGCTCAATGGAGGTGGCTCGGTGGTTCTTCCGCTGCGTCCAGTCACATATCGGTGAGAAATGGCGAGTGAGACGGGGTTTGCCGAAAGGTGGCTAGGATGACTATAGAAAGACCCCTTCAGTGAAGAGCGATGATTGGGCCCGGATGAGTGGCGTAGGCAAGCGGGCCATGGGCGACGACTGCGGGAGCAGCGACGACTGGTGCTGCAGCGACAACCGGTGCGGTCTTGAGGATCGGGGCGCTGTAGGCGAGCGGAGCTGCGGCCACGAGCGGACTCTTCACGGACACTTTGTACGTGTTGGCGTAGCTGGTGGCGACCGGGAGGGTGTGGGCCACCGCGACCGGGGCCGCGACGACCGGGGCCGCGTGGAGGGCTGGCGCGGCCAGGTAGCCGGGTTCAGGCGCAGCCATGGCGCAGGCCAGCAGAGCGAAGAGTGCGACGAACTTGTACATGTTGATCGTTGCGTGCGGAGTGTGCTTCGGTACTTCGGAGCTGAGTGCTGCTGAAGAGCGAATGGTGCCTGGACACGGCGTCTAGGACCCCTTATATCCGCCGGGACTGACCTCTCCCACCTTTTCTCACAGCGAGCCGGGCCTCCGGCGCAGACACCCGGTCCCTCCGGCGATTCCTGTTGCCTTCCTCGTGTCCGTTGCCCGCGCTCGCGCATCGTCGCTCCTCTGATGCTCGTTTTTTTTCGCTCGTCCCGGTTCGCACTGCCAAGGACTTACCGTTTGGGCCCTTCACCCGCGTAGCCTCGATCGTAGTATCGAGTTGTCGATCATCTCGTTTTGTCTCTCCCGAGAAGGACGCGCGAGGTGCGCTCGCGAAAGGGTGATTATCGATATATGGCTTTATCTCTTCTTTGTTTGCGCGAGCTGCAGGTTCAATGACATAGACCTCTAGACTATCGATCATCAGATTCTACGCTCGCGGGACGACCGGAACAATCGTGCACGATTATTCAGCGATTTTTGAGTACATATTTGCCGGGCCTAAAATATGACCTCAAAATTACGCCTCGAGCAACAACGGACCAGGCTTCTATCACTTCCTCGATTAATTCTTGATTATGTATGGAGATTGGTGGCATTGATAGGCGTTTAATTGATGGTATCAATTAGAGGAAACGTATTACACGGAGGCAATTTTGTTAACGAGTTTTCGTTAACGAATTGTTGTTAATAATTTATTATCTTCGAAATTTGTGTTTATATTCGGTTAATAATATTTGTACAATTAAAACGTATCAAATTGTATATTAAAATATACATTAATATTTCAAGTTATGAATATTGTTTATTTTGTTATATTGTTCATATATAATTATATGTGTATTAAAATATTTATATATAAATTATATGTATGTGATGTCTGTGTCATGAAAACTGGTAAAATCACACAGTTAAAATTGTTCATCCGTTCGCGCAAAGGACGCTTTCAGGTTGTTTACCCTGACTTTGGTCATTTAGGAGGTAACGCGCGCGCTTCTTTTCCTCTTTGTACTTTACCCCATTTTAATACTTGTGAATTACAACGATTTACGAGCTGGGTCGCCTTGCTAGCGGGTTTCTCTCCCGGCAGTTGGGCGGTTTTGTTCTGCACGTATACGTTGTTTTAATAAACATATATATATATATATATATATATATATATATATTTCCACAATATATAACAACTCCTCTCTCGAAACTTTTTTACTCGCAGCTCTTCAGACTGAAAAGTTTTTGCAAAATTATCTACGATTACTCGGGAATAAATACATAAGAGATTATAAATAATTACAGAGACTGACAAAAAAATTTAATAACTCTAATCAGAGTAGATGTTTGTGTTATCGATTTTCGACTACAAAAACATGCAATGCCGCTGTCCGAATTGGTCCATCACGTTTTATAGTTATTTTGAATTTTAAGATGAGAAATTAGCGATTTAGAGGAAAAATGTATAAAATGTCATTAAATCAATGTGACTTATTAAAACAAAAATTTTTTAAATATTTTCTTATATTAAAATTTAATAAACATTTTTTCATTCTAAAAAATTTGTTGCAGTTATTTTCAAATTATTTTTTTAAATAATTATATTTTATTAAATAGAGTATCTAATAACATTAAAATCTGATTGTTTATTTTTATTAATCTTATCAAATATATGAAATATATTACCTACTTTTCTATTCACTATATTCTTAACATACAAACATTTTGCTATTTGTGAGACAATTTAATATTTTTTGCTAATAAAAAATCAATGCGTAAATCAAATCACATTTACCTACTTTTTATTATTTTAATGACAGTGATTTATTATACATTTTTTACCTGGAAATTGCTGAATTCTCATCTTAAAATTTAAAATAATTTTAAAACCTGCTCTCTCTTTCTTTCTCTGGCAAAAATTATATATATATATCAATTTTTCACATCAAATTAAATCACATTTACTTCCTTTTTATTATTTTAGTGACAGTGATCTATTATACATTTTTTACCTGTAAATTGTTAAATTCTCATCTTAAAATTCAAAATAATTTTAAAATCTGCTCTCTTTTTCTTTCTCTGGCAAAATTATATATATATCAATTTTTAATTTTTATATAAAATTTATGAACCGATTGTTTTTCGTTCTTTTTTCTTGTAAAAAAATGTTTTTGTACATTTTCGAAAATTTTCTATAAAATTCGTCTCTTTTTTATCTAAATAATTTTTTAATAATTTTTCTGTTTCTCTCAATATATATTTTCCACGATAAATGATCCAATAACGCAGATTGAATGCCTACGTACGTACGATAGAACCAGAATCGCGGAGAAACAGATCGCGGGGATGAGGTGAGAGTGGGAGGAGAAGCAGGAGGCATTGTGACACAAGTCGCGAAAGTAGATGCTCGACTTGCACAATTTCGTGCAACGCACTTCGCATACGACAACACGTAACATTGTGTGCGTGTATGTGTGTCCTTTTCTCTGCGCTTGTGCGTTTACGCAGATTGTCACGTCTTTGCGCAATGACACATCGACAATGACAATGCGTGACAGCTTGCACTGACGAAAATCGCAGGCAACTCGGCTGCGACAGCGGATTCCTAGACGTAACATTGACTAGTTTCTCTATTCGCAATCGTAAACATGTGCGTGGCATAAAATACGCGTCGTTACACAAGATGCATCCTCTCTTTTGGTGTCTCTTTCTGTTTCTTTTTTTTTTTGTCAACCTCTGAAAATTGATAAGTTGCGACATGTGTCAGGCTGACATATTAAAATTTCACAATGACGTGTTCCCCGTAATATATTTGATCGTAATCTATAATGTATACGGCTCTATAGATTTTATGAATATATATATGTACACGTATTTAATTTGTTATGAAATTAATGAATTATTAATTTATTTTCGCGATCACAAGCATTATGAAATTATTTAACATACAGGCAAAGCACATTGTTGTATTAATTCCATATATAGTACATTATTTTCTCCATTGAAGAGCTAGTCTATATTATCGGCCCAACGTGCATTATTGTTGAAAGAAATAACTGATAATAATCGAAAATTATATAATATTCTATTCTTTTTTTTTTTTAAACGGTCTCTACAAACAATTTCGCCGAATCCGGAAGATCTTGGCCCCACGTGACGCAGCCGCTTTTGAATCGCGAAGTGGAACTTGTTTTTTCCTCGCAAAAAAAGATTATTTAAAAAAATAGTCAAGGAATGGATCAAACAACAAAAAAAGCCTGTTTTTTTGCGATAAGAAAATTTTTGATGCTATAAAGAAATTTGCCCCTATGCAAACGGTCCACCCTTAAGGGGGAGCTGACTAGGTTTGTTTTATCGACAAATATTATTTTAACATTTAACTCTTTATTGGCTATACAGAATGAAAAATCCTTTACTATATAGAATTAAAGTGTTCGTCATAACAAATCTGAGCGTAATAATATATGTATATAAAAAAAACCAAGAAAACTAAATATAGTAATTACAGTTTTTCTATTGATCTTTTGTATTGGGTCAATCTAATCTAAATGATAAGAAAACTGTAATTATTAAACTTTCTTGATTTTTTTAATATGTACATATAATAGCCCAGATTTGTTATTACCCTAATACCACACCATATCCGAAAGACATTCGGAAGATATCCAAAGGATATCCAGAGAACATTCGAACATCCTTAGGATGTTCTTCGTCTTCAGGATGTGTGCTGTTTAGGGTACGAATACTTTAATTCTAGTAAAGAATTTTTCATTCCGCATAGCTATAATAAAAAATTAAATAAAATTAATATTTGCCGATACCGCGCCCCTGAACGCGGCAACCCGTTCATCGGCTACGTCGCTCACGCAGCATCTCCGGTTGCCTGCTTAGCTCGCGCAGCATCCCCCATCGCAACATCCTTGAGTCGCTTACGCCGCATCAGCTGTCAGCTGCATCCGCTGAGAGGATGCGGGACACTTCCTCGAAGAGGACGGGACCAATTTTCCATCGACTGATCGTCTGGAGCAGCTTTTTGGAGGAATTGTACCTTCTTTTTAATTTATTATGTATTTTGTTATAATTTATTATACAAGCACTCACACATACATACAGAGAGAGATAGAAAGAGGGAGAGATAATAATAAATTAATATTTTATATTAATATTGCACGCAGTTCTCTGTTTATTGTACCATGTACGTACATTGCGTGTCTACATTGAGTTATTACCGAATGATTATCGGCATGATAACAGGCATTGACGCGTCCGAAACGAAATATATGCGTTTCATCGAACGGAAAGTAATCCTCTTACAGTACTTTAGGACCTCAAAGGGAATATTTTATAATGTCGGCCTACGCCGAAACGCTCAAATTACGCGTAAAGCTAAATGCGTTCATACATAAGTCAGGAAGCCTCTCTGTTACAGTCTCGTGTTTTTTACGTAATTTCATTTTTATTCCAAATTCGTCATTCCTTTTTTTTAGCAGACTGCGTTGATTCGACTGACAGATCGAAAGACAGATTTTTTAAATATTTTCGTAAAAAAAATCGCGTAGACCAATCTCGATGTAGTATTTTAACTCCTGTTTTTAATAGAGATCCACAATATTTTTGACGCAAAAAATATTTTTACTCGTTGCACCTCTGTCTCTCTTGGGAGATAATTCCACAAAAAAAAAAGAAAAATACGTTGCTATAAAACGCGTAGTTTGATACTAGCAGAAATATAAAAACAACGTAGATCTATGGATGGAAATAAATTATTCGAGAATAATATAAGCGCGCAAGAGAAATATATATATATATATATATATATATATATATATATGTATATATTTAGGATGAGTTTAATGTAGTCTTCTAACTATATAATCAATAAAGCGCGTGCACATTTAATAAGGAGGATTTATCACGCGTGTATCTCTAGCTAACAATAAGAGTTTGCGAGATCGACACGAGGCCTCACGACACCCGCCTGTAGAAAGTTAAAGCGACCTTCCCTCGCGAATAACTCACATAACTCCTCTATACGCAGTAACGCCCATCGCTCATCGTAGGGACGTCACTCAAATTCTCTTACTTCGCGATCCCAAAATAAACCCGGTCGTGGCAGTTTGTTATTACGCAACGCGAGCGCTCTTATTACAACCTGTATGCACAAGCTCTCTGCACGTTAATTGACTGACAGTGCATCCATATCACATGCACGAAAATTGAAACGATGTTATGTACCGTAGGAATGAGATCAAGTTCAACATGTATTTAAAAATGCAAGACGAATCCACTCGATCAAGTCGAATCCGATCCATCATTTTATTTTCTAGGATTCGAAGAATAACAATAAAAAATGATATTTCATACATTGTATTTACTAAGTATTCGAATCTAGAACAGAATATAGAACATTCTGTATTTGAATTTTAGATTGAGTACCTGCAAGGTTTAAAATAGTACTTACAAATACTTTCGCAAAAAACATTTTCATAAAAAAGCACTCATATAAGTATTCATAAAAGGTACTTATAAAAGTATTCATAAAAATACTCATATAAGTACTCATAAAAGTGCTCATACACATATAAGCACTCATAGAAAAGTACTCATAAAAGTATTCATAAAAGTACTCATATAAATACTCATAAAAATTGGAACATATTTGATTCAGGATTATTTGAATGTACTTAGATGTATTGCTCTTATTTTTTGAGGTACTTATTAAAGAGTTTGAATCAATTTCATTCATTTCAGATTCGGGTCTATTCGAAGAATTTTTTTGTATAATTATATAGAAATAGTTCTAAGCCACGCAAATAAATTCAAACCTACTTATAAGATTCCATCACTATTTACCACACTGCAGTTACATTCGCTTTACAATGAGAATTATACGAGGCATTAATTTAATTAATCGACATCCGTGGGAGAAACTGATGGAAAGATTACATCGCTCCATCTTACAATAGACATTATACTTTTCGATAAAATATTCATTAGTATATCTTAAGACGCATCTGCAATCCTAAGTAGGAAATTATATGATATTTCAATTACGAAATATATATTTCTGCAGAAATATGCGAAAAGACAGAAATACTTTTTATAATACGTTATCTTTTGTGCATTGTGACAATATAATTTAAAAATATTTACACTCAATATTCATCAAATCTTGACATGTTTTTTAATCAACAAATGGATACCCAGGTATCCAAAGCAACTTTAAATGTCAAACATATGTACTTCTCTCCATCTAAAATAAAATACAAAGAGCCTTTATACTCGGAATTTCTAAAATATAACAAGAAAAAATATTCGACCAGTAGCTGATATAAAAAAATTACCAATGCGCAGTTGATGAAAAAAATATATACGTTGACAAAAGAATTTTTTCTTTAATTACCTTTAATTAACTTTAATTATCCTCAATTATTTGTTTAATTAAGAAAATTAGTATTGTGCGACAAGTATTGTATAAGGAAGTGTCTCGCGATTTCCGGCTGACCTTATTCGAATCACTAGTTTCGGAAAATGGAGCACGGTCGTTTTTCTACGGTTTTCGCTTACGAGGAACTCCATTGTCGTTTTTCCGGCGGATTTTATACCTCGAGGATATATAATTTCTCGAACTCTCTCGACTCCTTTTGTCGATTTACGAAAACGAGTCGCCGTTACATGGGCGGAGTCTGTGAGACGACGACCCTGCTCCAATAAATCTGGAGCACGATCGCGTGCAACGATATAAGTGAGAAAGTAAATAAATGAGTAAGCGAGACTGTCCGCGGCCCGAGCCCTCGACGTTGTAATATTTCACAAATTTCGCCACCGTGCCCGATCCGATGACGAAGAAGAATGAGAGAGAGAGAGAAGCGCGCAAGCACGAGTGCGCGCGCTCTCAACATTTTTAATATATAAGTTATAACACGACCGCGCCGAATGCGTCCTTTTTTTATGATAAATTTTCTCGTCAATTTAAAGTCCATTTTCCCCTGGACGTGAATGTCGAGGGCCCGACAGTTTTTAAATAATTAACGTAAAAACGAAAGCCTTTTTCCAAACTAAGCCTCGGAAGAGCTAATAATTAACAAAGTTATGTTTTTCAATTAATTTCAGATGCATTTTGCTTTAATTGAATTTTTTAAGACTTTAAGTAATACAATTAATAATGTAAATAAAAATAATAATAAATATTTATAAAATAAATAAATAAAAATAATTTAAACAAAATTTCTAATTTGAAAAATATGTAATATTTTAAGATTTTAAGTAGTAGAATAATTTAAATAAAAGCTAATAAAAAAATGAATAAATAAAAAATAAAAATTTAAATAAAATTTATAATTTAAGAGTAATTTTAATCTTAAAAATACGTAATATTAAAAAAAATCTCGTGTCTATTTAAATTGAAACAAATAAATTTCAATTGAGTAAAAAGGTTTGCTGGATTTAAGACATCCTGTATTTTCGTAGGCGCAAATTAAATTCATGCGAAACGAGAACGCATAATTCGCCGAGTGTCGCTTTTATCGATCTACCTTGGACAGAGATGTTGACTTTAAAGAAGTCGAATCGTTTTGCAAACAATTTGCACGCGCGTGTCTTGTCACGTACATCAAGTTAATCGTCCGGCCTTGCCTTTATTAAGACGAGAAATTTTATCTTTGACACATTGAAGATATGCATATCTCTTTGTGTCTAAATAAATTTACACATGTGTAATTAAATGTTATTTCAAGTATCCGATTAAGCTATAATCAATCATCGATTCAAATATATATTTCAACTCTAAATATTATTTATTTTAATATTATTTATTATTTATCTTATATTATTATTTATATAATATTATTTAATTATTATGTATCAATTTTATGAATAATTCCGAAATATTATTGCTAAAAAAAGAGAATTACAAATTCGGGAGATTATTTAAGAACTCTTCAACGTCTCTTCATAAAGTATTTCCGAAAATATATTATAGCAATATTTTTTCGAGTATCATTACACGAGATCAGATATTGTAAGGCGATAAGACGCCAATTTTAATGAGGCGAGTGCGTGTTATGTAAAGCGTTAGTGCGTTATTACATAAAATCGAGAAATTAAAATGACGCCAAAGTAAAAGGATCAAAACGATCTGATGATCGTCGATTGGGATAAACAAAGTTCGCGATTGCCTCGCCTTAGCCTTGATCTACTCTTTAAGCCTCGCTTCTTCCTCACGCTCGTGCGAACGCACTTGCTCCTCCTCTTCACCTTGTGCAATATCTCTTTCTGCTGAAACGATGAACGAATGAATGGTCTATGACGGAATGTATATAAAAGCCTCTGCAACGATCCTCAGTCTTCGGTCAGTCGTGACGGAAGACCTTTTTGCGGATGTAAGTAGCGATGGGATCAAATACATTACACTTAAGTAGGTTCATGAGTACTCTCTATCATCACTTCGAAGAGAAAACAATAGTTTTAGGTAGATTCTAACCTGGACAGCTATTATATGTATCTATTGTTGATTAAGAAACGTTTCTGATCGGGATAATTTTGTTTTTCGTTATTTACCCCTAACGACATTCAAATAAATTCTCAGCATGAATATTCATAATAGGAAAATAGCTTCCTAGGTCTAGATTGATTCCAAGAACAGTACTTGCAAGTATGTTCAAACTTGGACCAAATACGTTTAAATTTTTTATGAGTGCTTATATGTACTTTTGACTACTTTTGAGTACTTTATGAGTACTTAAGAGCACTTATAAGCGCTTATGAGTACTTATAAGTATTCATGAGTACTTTTTAGTACTTGTGAGCACTTATAAGCGCTCATGAGTACTTATAAGTATTCATGAGTACTTTTTAGTACTTATGAATACCTATGAGTGCTTGTGAGTACTAATAAAATATGTATACATATGTATGTGTAACAAGTATCGTAAATACGTTTTTGTTAGAGTTTGAGTACTACTTGCAAAAAATCTATTCTTTATGACAGAAAGTATTCATAAGTACTACTTATATATTTCTTATATTTTCGAACCTTGCAGCTACGTCATCTAAAATTCGAATAACTATTCTAGGTTCTAGTATTTCACAAAATACAGTATATGAAATATTATTTCTCGATAGTATTATTCGAATCCTAGAAAATGGAACGGATTTCTAAGCATACATTCGAACTTAATCCCATCTCTAAGTGTAAGATATCAATCAGTATCTCGTAAACTTGAGTCGCTGATATCGTATCAGCAATCGCGGAAACGAGAATCATAGATATGCAAGGATAAGAGATACAATCGGGGGAAAAAAATACGCAACATCAAATAATATTAACATTTAAACGCGCAGAGTATCAAGGCTTCGAATAACCGGACGACATAAATATCTAGCAAGAATAGCAAGATATTCATTTTTTAATCCTTGCAACTCGTCCTTGGGACGATCTAAAAGCGATCTAGACAGCGAGACACACGTCTTACGTCACGCTTTTAGCTCCCGTCATTCGGTATCGTGAAGAAATCAAGACAATGTAAAAGATGAAGACACATATATTATATATCGTAAACGTCATTGTATACATAGCCGATGATCAAGTTTGCGGCCAGCTGTGTGTCCGATGGCCGTCCACTCGTCGACAAAGGTAACTCCTCGAAGACCTCGCTTCGGATGACTCCTCGCTATCAGTGATAGTATCCACCGTATCCGTATCCGTGGCCGTATCCGTGGCCGTAGCCGAGTCCGTAAGACCCGTAACCATAAGATCCAAGACCATAGCCAAGCCCGTGGCCGTAGCCCAGACTATTGTGCAGGTAGGTGACCGATGGTGATACGCTATATACCGGTGGCGTCGCGTAACTTGGGGCATAAGCCACCTTCGTGTAAGCAGGTGCGGTGTATGGTATCACTTTGGCGATGGCAGGTGCAACGGCAAGCTTAGTGACGGTCGGAGCAACTGCGACCTAAGAGAGAAAGAGAAGGAAAAATAATATTAAAGTAATAATTTAAATAATAATTATTAAAAAATTAATAATATAAAGTAATATAAATTATATATAATATAAAAAACATAATTAATATAAAGAAATTATTATTATTATTAAAATATTTTATATAATATTTATAATGTAAAATGTCCCATTTTAAATGACGTATTGCTATATATTTGTTTGAAAACCAAGTTTGCCATCAAAAATGTTCCGTACAAAAGTTGTAAGATTTCGAGAATGAAGTTCTATCGCAAGCATAGTCTTATTCCAGGTGAAGGCATTCTTGAGGTCACCATTATTTTTTTAAACTGAATTAATATGTATATATGTATGACAAAATATATATAGAAGAAAGTGTGCTAAATCATATCTCTACTGTATTTCTTAAACAGAATGCCGCAATATTTGTTTCCTTCTCAGGCGATCTGTTGATAAGTGTTGTTCATAATAAATTTATATTGTGTGATTTTCATGTAATATTTGATGCCTAAATTATTGCATTGAAAAAGATAAGCAATTAAACTTAGGGTATTATGAAAACATTTTTCATCATTTTTAATAAAGTATGTGAAAACGTTGAAAAATCGACAAAGTGTTTTAAGATTATTTTTTTACTCACAAATTTGACAATTCAAAGTTCGGTAAATTGTACCACTACTTTTTTCCTATATCTTACTGGTACGATTTATTAAATTAATATAAAATTAATTTTTTTACTTTAGAAATTAATTTTTTTCTTTATGTTTAGATAAATGACTAAAAAAATATTATCAAAGTTGATAATTATATTGAGATAATACTTATAAATATTTTTATGTTATACAAAAAGTATTTTTGTCAAATTTTTGAAGAGAATTAATGATTATGAATATGACATTCTTCTATACAGGGTGTCTCAAAATTCGCGAATTATCTCTCCCATTAGGCAGATTTCTGGTATCATTTGGAGATGATTTTTCCTCTCCATGATTTGGAGGTGAAAATATCGAGAAAAGCCATAATTTTTTGCATGTTTCTAATTTTTGTCATTGTGTATCTTTATAACTAAGCAAATTAAAATTTTTTTAAAGTAAACTCTACTTGAAATTAATTGAAGAATATGGTTTTGTTAATTATTTTATTTCTACAAGACTTAGTTTGCGAGAAACCTTTTATTTTCAAATGAGGAAAAATCGTCTCGAAATAATCCCAGAAATCTGTCATCAACAGATGATACGCAAATTTCGGGACACTTTATATATGTTTTGTTGCAGACTGAAAACTTTTATAGAAAATGAAACTTCATTCTTGTTACAATTTTTTGATTTTATCGTTAGAGGTACGATTTAAAAACTCATGGGTACAATTTAAATCATACCATATACTTTTTTTTTAATTTCTATGATTTACAATAATAAATTTGTGTTAATGTTTAGCGTTTACAAAAAACTATAATTTCAAAATTCATCAGTTCTAATGCAATTTTAATATTTATCTTGAAGAATACGATTTAGCATACATTTTCCCTTATAAGTATAAAGAATAAAAATTAAATTAAATATAATATATATAGAATATATATAATAAATACAATTAAACATGCAAAAATAAAAATTCTCGATTAATCACGACCATCATATATCATTACGTCCGTTTGACAAATTTTATTTATTTACCCAAAACGACCGCAAAAAGCGCGGATAAATTTCATTCCGAGCGTATTTATAATTTCACGCAAGAGCAGGTTTGCGTGAATTACGAGCGAATAAGAGCCCCGGAATCTTCTTCTGGCTGGCGGCCAGCTCGCTTTTACGCTGATAATCCTCGACTCCGTGTCGTAACGTCCGGTTAACACGTTGCACCCATTCAGGCGGGAAGAAGTGGAGGCAAGCTTACCTTGTACGTATTGGCGTAACTGGTCGCAACTGGAGCGTGTGCGTATGTGACCGCAGGTGCGATCGCCGCCACTCCATGACCTAAGCCGTAGCCGCCGTAGCCGCTACCGTAGCCGTAACCGCCGTAGCCGTAGAGACCCCCGTAACCGGAGTAAAGACCGCCGGCGGACGCGTAGGCGACGGTGGCGAGAAGAAGGATCTGCGAAGCAGGAGATACGTGTATGAAAAATGTCTCTTGGACTCTTCCCTTTTCAGGGGATCCTAGGAACGCACCGTTTTATCGATCAAATTCAGCACTTTTGCGCACCCTTTTCTTCTTTTTATTGGTTCAATGGAATAATAAATGCTCTTCCATGGTTAAAGTATATTGTATATATGTATATATAAAAACGAAACGCAGACCTATACCGATTTTAGAAAATTTTTTTATTAAAAATTAAAACAACTTTTTTTTTGTTTTTTAATATCGAAAATGTTTTATCGATAAAACTTCATTTTTGCGCACCTTGTTTTTTTTTATTGATTGAATAGAATAATAAATGCTTTTCCATAATTAAAGTATACATAGAGAAACAAAGTACGAACCTACCGATTTTATGTTAAATAAAAAAAAATTTTTTTTAATTAAAAAATTAAAAAATTGAAAATGTTTGTTCTTTAAAATCAAAAATGATGTTTTATCGATGGCGACGAGAGGATGAGAGGGAAATACTTTATATATAAGAGATGTATTTTTATGCTTTGCTTCGCAAAATTACATACACGAGAAGTTGAAAAAAAAAATATTTTTATGTATATTTATCTCTTTGTGCACGGAAAGTGGGTGTGTCAGAGATTTGTGCAGTGAATATGTTTTCTTTTAAGTTTTTTTCTTTCTCAAGCTGACTGAACAAACCGAACAGCAGTGAAAAAATATAAACGTGGCAACTATTAATATTGGAAAAATGTGGCACCAGAGAATTATATATTATAATTATATATAATTATCTTATTCATTTTAAATTTATAGAAGGGAGAATTATAATATTTTCACCATGTATAAAAAATAGAGATAAGTAAAATATATATTATATAGAATAATAAAAAAAAAAAAAAAAAATATATATATATATATATATATATATATATATATATAAAATATAGATATATGTCAAAAATATAGACATATAAGCACATAAAAATGCAATATAAATAAATTATAATAGAAAAACATTTAAATGGTTTTTTTGATGCGGCACCAGAGAATTATATATGCATTCATTTTAAATTTATAGAAGGGAGACTTATTTTCACTATGTATAAAAATATGAATACATAAATAAGTAAAATATATAGAATAAAAAAAATATAAAATATAAATATATGTAAAAAATATAGACATTTAAACACATAAAAATACAATATAAATAAATTATAATAGAAAAACATTTAAATGGTTTTTCTTATTAAAGTTACCCTATTGATGGCAGAGATTCTTGGGATTATTTGGAAATGATTTTTCCTCAGTGAAAATGTCAAGGCACCAATAATTTTCAAGTAATAAGCGATTGAAAATAAAGAATTTTTCGCAAACTAAGCCTTGTGAAAATAAAATATTAACAAAACTACATTCTTCAGTTAATTTTTGGCTGAATTTAATTTAAGGTTTAGTTACAAAGATATATGATGGCAATTGGGAGCTTATATTGTAAAAAATGATGACCTCTATCAACATTTTTGAGGAAAAATTATTTTCAAATAATCTTAGGAATCTCCCATTAACGGGTGATCTGAGTTACCCTGTATATATATATGTATGTACAATATAAAATATATAATAATATTATATATATAAATATATAAAAATATATAAATATATAAATATAAAAAATATAAAAATATAAATATAAAAATATGTAATAATATACGTTGTGGCGATTACATCGTCACATACTTCCCTGAAATTAATAGCAAAAACACGTATATAAATACGGACATACATACATACGAACACTGACTAATAAACACAAATAAAATATAACAGACGAGACGAAAGACGAAAAACATCGAGACGTAACAGAAAAGAAATAAACGGATAGAACATTTTCGAAGCCTATCGAAGGTGAATTTTTAAGGGAACGATAGGAAGAGCGTTTGACATGCGAAGATTCCGCTACCGACAGTCGCCGCGTACAGTCGCACGTTTGTTAATCCGCACGAACTTTATATATCTCTGTACAGATATCGAAAAGATTGTTCTTAAAATATATTTAGTGTTAACCATAAATCCTCTCTCACAATTATTTGAATTCCCGTCTCGTATCGACGCGTCCAAGTAATCGCGACGCGCGTATATAACCAAAACGTATATTATTATATAATATATATGTGCATATAATACATAGAAAAATATAAAAATTCCCCTTGAGAAATTTCTGTGTTAGATTATTATAAATGACAAGATGCAAAGTTTCTAAGCGAACAATTCACGTCGTTTGCGCATAGCCTTCGGCTTTATTTACGCACATCCAGGGTGATTTCAACCGCGTATCTATTCATACGATATGAATGAAACGAGCGTATTCCAGCGTGATAAAATCGCGCCCGCGGCAGCAAGTAAAGTTCATAGCAAATGTTACCGTGGATCGTCCGTGCATTTCTCACGATATTGCAAGTTGATTCTATCTCTCTCTCTTTTTCTCTCTCTTTCTTTCCTTCTCTATCTACAGTCTGAAATAAATCTAATCTTTAGATAAAAGCAATATTACAAAAAACGCCAATTGTTGTTTTCGAAATATAAATGTTTCATAAATCTCGCAATAAATTATATATATATATATACATATATAGGAAAAAGTATGCTACATCGTACCCCTTAGGTAAATATTAAAATTGCAATAAAACTATCAAAGAAATTACACAATTTTTTTATTTATTTGAAACTATATAGTTCTTTGTCAACGCTAAACATTAATATAAATTTATCATTCTTTCATATCATAAATTAAAAATAAAAAAGGGTATTTAATATGATTTATAATATCTGGTTTGATAAATTGTATCCATGAATTTTAACGTACCTCTAACTATAAAATTTAAAAAATATAAAAATAAAGTTACATTTTCTAAAAAAATTCTTAAAATTTAAAAAAATGGTAATATAATTCACAATACTTGGTTTGGTAAATTATATTCATGAATTTTAAATCGTATTTCTAACTATAAAATTAAAAAAATATAATGCAAAAAAGTTACATTTTCTACAAAATTCTCAGTCTGCAATAAAACATATTTACAAGAATGTCACATTTATAATTATAAGTTTTCTTCAAAAATAGAACAAAAATACTTTTTGTATTATACAAAATTATAAATATAAGTGAATATAATTAATTATCTCAATATAATTATAAAATTTGAAAATATTTTCTTCAATTATCCCCATCTGAATATAAAGAGAAAAACTTAATATAATAAAAAAATTTTTTTATAAAGAAATAATTTTAAAACATTTTGCCGATTTTTCAACGCTTCCATATACAAGATTAAATAAGATAAAAAAATGCTTAAGCACGAGGTACCAAAAGAAATATTACGGCATTTCAGCTGCGATATACAAATCTTAAAATATTTTAACTCAATTTATACAATGTAACATACTTTCCCCTATACAAATATATATTTCTCTCAACTGAAATTTCGTCCTCGAAAACAATGTTTTCTTTTAATATAAACGAGAGAGCGGAGGAAAATTCCAGAAAGAGATTTGCAAAAAGAGAATATATAGAGAGAGCCCGGAAAAATATCCCAAAATATTCTCTAGACACTCGTCTCATCCGGGAAAAATCGCGCCCCGATATCTACACATGTGAGAACACAGAGTCTACGCTTCTCCGCCTGGGGCGCCACTTTATACTCACCAGTTTGAACATGATGTTGCTCTAACGCACTCTGCGATGTCTCTTGTCGGTGCTGCGGACTGACTATACACATCTCGCGTACCCCGGCTAGATCACTTATATATCCCCGGCGGATTGTTTTTGCTCGGGGAACGAAAGAGAGAAAGAGATACGGAAAAAAGGCTTCCCTACCAATAATGGCGAATTTGTGGGTATAGGTGGGTATAGGTAAACGGCGTAATGTTGTGTCGGGTGACAGGTGGGGTGGGTCACCTAGATCCTAGAATCCTTTGCGGATGACTCGGCAGCGGTCATTCGTGTGAAGGACAAATCTATTATCGGCCGAGCGGGAAAAAAAAAGAAAGAAAAGTATAAGTATCGGTTGTTCCGATTCGCAGCGTGAGAAAAAGCGCGTTTGCGCCACCTTGAGCGCAGTTTCGCGCGCGAACGAGCGGGAAATGAGGGAGGAAAGGGAAGAAATAGAGATTTGTAATGTAGACCTAAACTTCCAGTTTTTTTTTATACTTCTATGACTGTCGTATATAGGTTTAGCATAACTGAACAAATATATATACGCATGGAAATACCATGTCGGATTCTCTGGCCAATTTGGAGGCGACTTTTCTTCAGCGAAAATGTCGAGGGAGGTCATCAATTTTTGAATGTTCTCCATGTTTGCCGTCGTGTATCTTTGGAACTAAATCTTAAATTCGTGTAAACTCTACCTGAAGTTTAGTTTGCGAGAAGCTCTTCTCTTCCAATCATTTAACTTAAAAATTTATAATCATAATTATAATAATCAAAATTAATAATTAATCTTAAAAATAAAAAAAAAATATTAGTGCCTCGACATGTTAACTGAAGAATAATCGTCTCCAAATTGGTCAGAAAATTTAATAATATATCTATAACATTATATAGATGATCATCTAGATGAAATTTTAGCATCACCTTATCTTTATATAGTTAATAAAATAATGTATTATCTATATCTATATCTGTATCTTAGATAAAAAAAAGTATTATCTTTACTAAATTATCTAGAATAATTTTCAAATAATTTTGGTTTAGAATCATAGCACATAAAAATATTTAAATAGTCAAACTTAAGCAGTAAGCGATAAAAATTTATAAATAAAAATATGAATACATATATTTTTATATCCTTTTTATAATTTACATTTTTTTTAACTGTGCTTAAATAAGCAGTCTTAAACATTATTATCTAGATGAATCACTATATAATTTTATCTTTTATCTATGTAGATATATTTAAAACAAAATTATCTCTTTATCTTATTTAAGATAAATTTACATATTTTCGTCTCATCTTTACTTAGTTAATTTTAAAATTATCTAAGCACAACACTGTAACTAAATTATTAAATTAAAATTTTATTAAAATAAACTCTACCTGAAATTAATTGAAAAATGTAATTTTGTTAATATTTTAACTCTAAAGTTTAGTTTGCGAGAAACCCTTCTTTTTCTTAATAATTTATAACTTGAAAATTATTGGTGTCTCGACATTTTCACTGAGGAAAAACCGTCCCCAAATGATCCCAGGAATCTGCCATTAACATTTTATATTTCTTTTCAATTACATGCGGTATATATTTATTTCGTTTTCTCTGCATTTATCTTTAGCTTATTTATATTTACCCATTCAGAGAGCCAGAGAGAAAGAGAGAAAAAGAGAGATGAATATTTCAAATTATATAAAAATATTTCTTTCTTCCCCCTTTTTCTCTCATTCTTCTTTTCCTCTCCTCTCTCTCTCTCTCTGTCTCCTTTTTCTTTTTTTTCTATAAAAAAGGAAAAATGAAGAAAAGAGCAAGAGCAAAAAAAAATAAATATTTTATAATTATATAAAATATAATAAAATATTTTTATAATTATATTTAAGATATATAAAAATATTTTTATAATTATATAAAATATATAAAAATATTTGTATAATTTATAAAACATATAAAAATATTTTTATAATTACATAAAATATATAAAAATATTTTTTATAATTATATATAAAATTCTCTTTTCTCTCCCTTTTATTCTTCAAGAGTGGAAAGAGAAAATGAAAGGAAGGAAAGATAGAGAAGGAGAGAGAGAGAGAGAGAGAGGTTTTTCTTCTCTGTTGTCCCTTCTCTTGCATTCTCTCTTCCCTTCACACACATGCACTCTCAATCGCGCTTTCTGTAATTATTCGCGCGTCTATGATCTCGCCGGTGCTCCGCGAAGCGTGAACAGAGCAACATGATGGGAACCTCGACCGATCGAATGTGGAACGCGATGGTGATACTCGAAGAAGAGAGATATTCATCTTCTCCTTTTATATTGTCTCGCGCAATTTTCCCCTCATTATTGTTCCCTTCGTTCATATATATTACGTCGCTTCGCTTTGCAATTTTTTTCTTATCATCTATTTTGCGTGCGTGATGTATAAATTTATTTTTTTAAATTTTATTTTAATTTATTTTATTTTATTTTATTTTATTTTTTTATATATGCGGTTTATTTTTATCCTATCTCTTTTTCTTTTTTATAAATCGAGAGAACATGCAACTTCCTAGATTTCTTATTATACTTGTTACGCGATATTATTATCGCGCGTTTTATATTTTTATTTACATCGCGTTACGTGCATCCATACATCTATCTCTCTGCTCTCCTTGCATAAATGCAAATCGCTTCGCATCGATCCCGATACTTCCGCGATTCCTTGGGAATGAGTGGGTGTGTCGACGCAAAGTGCCGGCTTCCGGGATGAGAAATGAATAAAATCGCATAATAATGCGACGCGCTATTCCTCAGTTTATAACTAATGTATATACACGCGGTGTTTATACACATATCGGTTCGATTATTCATAGAATCCACGTGCGCGGAATCCGCGAGATAATAATAAACAGATATCGCGCGTGATATATATATATATGAGAAAGAAGGAAGAACAAAATAGAGGCTGAGCACTTGATTAATCGCGAAACAAACGTTTTTATATATGTACCACTCTTTCCTCGCTCGCTTCATTCAATGTCGTATTATATATATGTAGCCGCAACAGCCTTGCCTGGTCGCAGCGGATTATCTTCGTCCTTATTGCGGCTCTCGCTTTTATACACGTCACCTCCGTTGTATACAACGTCGCGTAAACAAAGCGAACGTGAAAAATTTCCGCATGATCCGCGTTTATCATCCACTGTCTTGCCTTTTCAATAAAGTATGGCCCCATATGTCATACCTACGCTTATATCTTTCGCCCGTCTAAGAAACGCTCACTTCCGCGCTTCCGTGGATCGTTATTTTGCAAACTAAAACAACAATTCTATTCTGCTTAGCAATTATATATTTATATTTCTTTTATTTTATATAAATATATATCCCTATAATGGCACATATCCAAAAGATATTCAGAGGATATCCAGAGAACATCTTCAGGATGTTTTCTGAATGACTTCGGGATATGCTGTTAGAGATATATACATTTATTTTTAATGTATATATTTTATATATACTTTTTTTATATACATATATATACACTTATATATATACATATATATACACATATATAATATAAGAATGTCTCTTCCAGCAGCAGTCTTTATAAATTCTCTGACCCATTTGCTTTAATAAAAATTTCTATACATAGATGATGAAAATTTTATATTCTTAGACATTGAAACGTTTTTAAAAAAATTGTAAAAAATTACAAAATGTATAAAATTTTATAAAAGTTAAATTTGCAGAAATAATTTTCAGCTGATTTTATTTATATATATTTGGAACTGAACGCGCAATTTGCCATATATCCTCCGCCAGTTCGATGGTTTTCGTTGCACCTTTTTTGCACGTACACAACCATTTGTATCCAACCCTAATGGCTTACGAATGCAATTAACTCGGCTGCGCGTCTCTGCGATATTTGCCCTTACGTGTGTATCCTTACGAAGTATGTGCCTAGCTCGATCGCGAATTGGGGCTAACGAAGATAAATATCGGCGAAGATATATCGTAAGCGAGCTAAAACATTACGACGCACGTACGATATATACATATATACATACGGGGTGTTTACGAAATACTTGGATAAACTTCTAGGGCGTAGAGGTATTCCTCGCGTCAGAATAAATAAAAAAGTTTATATATACCTGTAAAAAATAAGTGGTTTCAAAGTTATGGTGAAACAAAGTTTATCTTAACGTGGTTATTAAATAATCATAAGAAATATCCAAAATGGCCGCCATTTGATTGAAGATAGTTATTAATATGATGGAGTAAGATATATATGGAAATAACCTATAACCTTCGTAGAGTATGGATTGTAGAATTGTTTTAAAGGTTCTCATATGATTTTGTATAACAAGCATAATTAATAATTGACATATTTTCGTTATCAATAGATTAAATATACACTAGACGTTTTAAATATCTCCATAAATAGAAACATTTAACTATATCTTTAATCAAATGGCAGCCATTGAGATAGTGATATGATAAAGTAAAAGTAAGATATGGAAGTTATAATTAAATTATTTCCTATAATTAAATTATTTCCTTTATAGAGTAAGGATTGTAGAATTGTTTCAAAGGTTTCCATATGATTTCGTATAACAAAAGCATAATTAATAATTAACATCTCTTTCTTATCAATAAGTTAAATACACTAGATGTTTTCCATGTCTTCATAGATAGAAAAATCTAGATATGTCTTCATAATCAAATGACAGCCATTTTGAGTGAAGTGTTTATTTATGACATTATTAAACGTCAAAATAATGGACAAACTTTTAGAGAGCCTATTATCCTCGCCTCAAAATAAAAAAAAAGGTTTATATGTATCCATAATCATCCAGGTAGCAAATTGACGTCATTAAACATCAATTTGCTACCTGGATGATTATGATCATTACATGTCAACTGTTAGTTGACATCATTTTTGACGTTTGATGACGTCAATTTGCTACCTGGATGATTATGGGTACATATAAACCTTTTTTTTATTTTGAGGCGAGGATAATAGTCTCTCTAAAAATTTGTCCAAGTATTTTTTAAACACCCTTTGTATATGCACACATTGTATACGCGAGTTCTTTACATGAAACGCAAAATGTCGCTGCAAGACAAACGGTTCGCTGTCTCGGAACCCGCGGGCGATCGATTTTTACAAGACGGCCGACCAAGAGTGGAAAGAGAGAGAGTAAAATGCACAGTCGAGCGACGATGCACAATGCAACGGACGAAGATACATATGTGTATATATATATATATATATATATATATATATATATATATATATATATATATACACTGGCCTCGAAAAGGATCGAATCCGTGAACCTCCGCGTGCGGATCCTCTGTACGTTTTATGTGATACATTGCCATACACATTTTTTATTTATCTTGCTTATCGGAAAACTTGTCAGCATCTAGCGTTGTCGAATAAGTTCTCTTCTCGCTTATTCTATCGAGGACGACGACGATAAGCGGCTGTGAAACCGCTCGTAAACACGTCCTTCTTTGATAGAAGAAGAGACGGTATCGCGCACATCGAGAAAGATATTGAAGATCAAGTTCTATATGTCAATATATATGTACTTAAAACCTCGAGTCTAATCCAACAATCAAGCTACACTTTCTACGATTCGAATAATAATATAATTATAAGAAATAATATTTCATATATATTGTGTATTTAAAAAGTACTGAAATTTAGAACAATATTATATTCGAATTTTAGATTAAGTGTTCTATCTTACCCAAACATTTATTTACTATATCATATACAGAATATAATTTCCAACTAACACTTACATATTTTTTATTAAAAACAATTATGAGTTTTCTTTACAGCAATTGATTCCTCTCATTATTTTTTGCATAAAAGTATGAAAGATAAGATGACCGAAAAATGAACATTTGATAAGATACTTTATTATAGTTTATGTAAAATTATATCAATTGTGCGTTGCCTGTATCTTATCCTTATAATCTTTTATGCAAAATATTGCGAAGAATTTATATAAAAAAAAATTATAATAGTTTTATTTCGAAAAACTCTAGATTGACCTTCAAATGACCTTGAAAAACAATTTTAATTAAAATTCAGTTATTAACTTTTTTCTACCTCAAAATAAACAATTACGTGCTCACAAAAGAGTCGATTATTTTTTGTTCATTGTCTACTTGGAAATACTTAGTTTTTTTACAGTATTGTCTAATCTAATTAGAATTTAAAACCATGAAAATTCGAACCTACTCGTAAGATACTTAACCCCGCCATGCCATTTCTTTCCCTCTCTCTCTTATATATAATTGCGCCTAGTTGTTTGCGACCGGGGTCATTAAGGAAGACCGCCGCGAAATCTGGAGAAACACGGTAAGCGGAAACTGGAACAGCGTAATCTAAATCCCGAGTTTATTAATGCGCCTGCATTATTATCATTAGTCATTTCCCGTCGTGGACCACACGTTGCTCGGCAAAGTGTCCAGATCCTCTCATCCACCCCTCGCATGTGCTTAATTCCGTCATGGTTACGTAAACGCCCTCGCGATAGAGATAGATGGGTGTGGACGAATAATTCTCTGAGAAGAAGCTTGTTTCCAATCTCTCGTCTCAAGACTCCACATTCTCCAGAGATTACAAAGCCTTTATTAACCCTTCGGTCGGTGATCAAATACCCAGGTAGCAAGTATACGTCATTTTGACGTTTAATGACGTCAGTTTGCTATTTATTGAGATACACAATAATTAAGTTTCATTTTTTAGGATTTGAATAACAGCCATCAATAAGATTTCGTTTATCATATTTGCGAATAGTAATCCAATCTAGAACATTCAAGTAGCAAACTGATGTCATTAAGAGGATGCCGGATGATGTTTTTACCGACCGAATGCGAGAATATTTAGTTTTTTTTATATAACTTTTTATTGACTATACTGATCAATAAATCCTTTTCCACGATTAAAGTACTTATAAAAATGGACCGCGCTAGCTATGTTTACATATATATAAATTATATAAAAATCAAAAATTACAGTTTTGTTATCGGCTTCTTTGTGTCAGTTCGTAATAATACTTATTTAATAAAAAAGTTCTGCAGTTTGTCTGTGCATGAAATATAGTATACGCGGTAAGGATAATATGAAGAATTATTAATAAACGATTAAAAGTGAGATTGCAAGTCTAATAAAAAAGTTATATATTAAAAACATTTTTACGCGTATGTGTTGTATACGTGCATATGTTTAGATATGTGTGATGCTAACCTATCGGAGTTCGGCCGTCGCTCCGTTTGTGTTCAACAATTCTTTTATAGCAAACTGACGTCGTTAGACGTCAAAATGATGTCAATTTGTTACTTGGCTAATTCTTCACCTTTTCATCGATATATGGATACCCGGTACCAAAATTGTGTTCGACAATTTTTTATAGCAAACTGACGTCATTAAATTTTATATTACACATAAGTAATCTCCAATTTTGAGAATAAAATTTAGAAAATAAAATAAAATTCTTCTTTCTCGGACATGAATGTAGAACTGATTCGAAAACGAAGATGGGAGGCGTTCAGGGATGCGTGACGTCGCACGGCTTAATTAAATCATGTTTCTCGCGCATGCAATTATTATCGCCGATAACAATCGTTCTCGATCGAGTCTCGAGATTACGGTCAGCTGGAAGAATATCGGCATCAGCAAAATGGTCGATGATGCCGGACGTGACGTATACGAGCCACTGGCGCGATTTATTACGGCGCGTTATCGCGGCGTCCAGGATTGTAAAAGAATTGCTCCCGGGGTTGCGTGGAAGAATGGAGCGTCCCGAAATAAATCGTACGATTTTTAGCGTCGGCCAAACGGACCGTATCGTTACGCGTGCGTAATAAATTGCGAGCTTAATAAAGATAATCGTGCGAAACGCGCATTAAACGCTTACATATATATACACACACACGGTAAACTGTATAAAATTAAAATACAAATAGGAAATAGAGGGCAGACAGATAAAATTTAATTGCGAAATATAACGAATGCGCTGAATGAACAATAACATTGCAAATATATCGTTCTTCGCTCTTTACAAATGTGGGAAATGTGATGAAACAGTAGTTTCAACAATTTTTTAAAATTAAATTAAGGCTAAAAGTAATCGGGATGATTCGAAGATACATTTCTTGTACATATACGCGTACATTTTATTTTATTTTTTTCGCATTATATCTTATCCGGAAACCAAACGCGAGAGGGTGTTTCGTTTCGCCGTATTGTAGACGCGATTAAGAGGATGCAAGGAGAAATGAGCTTTTTACGCGAGAGAGAAAATGTAAAAGAACCTTTTTTATTATTTCATTTTATGTACTTTCAACGATAGGATAGAAATACGCGCGGATGCAAAAGACGAGGAACAGCAACATCGGAGGTGTCGGCCGACGTTGACTCGGCTACATATTATTTTACACTCTAACGGGACGCCGGGGACGACGGCGACATATAACTATATAAAGAGGAAGCTAAAAGAGGGATAGAGAGGCGAAGCCGGCAGGTGTACGCGAACACTCAATAAACACTCCTTTTCCGGAGATGGGACGGGAATCTTCACTTGTCTTCGCCCTCGCCCTCTTCCTCCTCGTCAAACTCGCCCTCTTCCTCGGCGGTCGCCTCCTGGTACTGCTGATACTCGGACACGAGATCGTTCATGTTGCTCTCGGCCTCGGTAAACTCCATGTCGTCCATACCTTCGCCGGTGTACCAGTGCAGAAATGCTTTACGCCGGAACATCGCCGTAAATTGCTCCGATACTCTCTTGAACAGTTCCTGCGAGAGAATCAAATAGGGCGTTCCGTTTTAAAAAATAAGCTTAAATGATTAAGGGACGCGTCACGTTTTTTCTTTTTTTAAGTAAAATGTATATAAGGCAAAAGTTGTAGGGAGACATAATATCGTAACCTAAAATTGTCCTCGAGTGGCGGTTTTTAAGGTCATTTAGAGGTCACAATGCATTTTTTATTCACTTTTTGGTCATCTCACCCTTGTAAGAAATTAATTTATATGAAAAAACTAAGTTAACCTCTAAATGATCTTGAAAAAATGCCCAAGGGCAATTCTAGTTCACCATATTATGTACTCCTTGAAACTCTACAATTTTGCCTGACAAATCTTTTTCTAAAACGCAAACATTTTTCAAAGCTGTGTGTGTTGGAAAATTATAAATCAAGTGCGTGTCGCAACTATATCTTTTATTATAAAAAATTGTGCTACTTTATAAAGTTACGATTACACAAAGTTATCCGAGAGAGTCTGAGCAAAGTGCAGGTTGATTTGCGAAAAAAAGTAATCGCGATAAAAGTTTAGATTGAACTAAAGTTTCAATTATAAAACTTTGATCTCTTTTTTTTACGATTTACAATGAAATTCCGTTCGCTCTATAAACTCCGAACTATAATAATCGGCGAACAAACCTGAATAGCCGTGGAATTGCCGATGAAAGTCGCGGACATCTTCAGGCCGCGCGGTGGTATGTCGCAAACGGCGGTCTTCACGTTGCTGGGTATCCACTCGACGAAATAGCTGCTATTTTTGTTCTGAATGTTCAGCATCTGCTCGTCCACCTCTTTCATCGACATTCGACCGCGAAACACCGCGGCCACCGTCAAGTATCTACCGTGTCGCGGGTCGCACGCGGCCATCATGTTCTTGGCGTCGAACATCTGTTGAGTCAGCTCTGGTACCGTGAGTGCCCGATACTGCTGTGAACCCCTGAAACGTCATTCTCAAATCAGAGAATTGAAAACAATTGAAAAATTACACGAGCAAGTAATTTTTCTATCATTAATCCTTCTGAACTAGTTAGGGGTATGGTTAGAGTAAGGAGAACCCCCAAAGCAATTAAAAATTTTTCTCTACCTTAAACAAAATATAAAGTTTTTGTATTCGGAAATCTCTTGAAATATAACTGAAAAGTATGTTTTGATGTCCAGCAGTTGCTATACAAAAATTGTAATGTATCGAAAACATAATTGGTACCTAGATACCAACATTGATGAATAGGAATGACAACTTATGCATAGACAGAAGGACTAATTAATCATACTGATTTGTATCGGTGTAGAATTTCTCTATTTTTGTTTTAAATTTAAATTTCCTTAATCGAACCAGCTTTCTTCGGAAATGAAAAATAAATTCGGAACCTAGAGGTTAAAGGGATATAGTTAAGATTAAGGTTAGGGATTCCCAAAGCAACTTTAAACTTTTCTCCGCCTTAAACAAAATATAAAGAGCCTTTGTATTCGAAAATCTCTTGAAATATAACTAAAAAGTATGTTCGATGCCTAGCAGTTGCTATAAAAAAATTGTAATTTGTCGAAAACACACAAATGATACCCGGGTACCAACATAGATGAATAGGAATAAAAACTTATGCATTGACAGAATGACTATTAATCGTATTGATTTGTATTAATGTAGAATCTCTCTATTTTTGTTTTAAATTTAAATTTCCTCAATCAAACCAGCTTTCTACGGAAATAAAAAATAAATTCGGAACCTAGAGGTTAATGGGGCAAAGCCGGGGATGAAGAAGTGGAGTCGCGGGAAGGGGACCATGTTGACAGCGAGCTTTCTCAGATCGGCGTTTAGCTGGCCGGGGAATCTCAGGCAGGTGGTGACGCCGCTCAAGGTCGCGCTAACCAGGTGATTGAGGTCGCCGTAGGTCGGCGTGGTCAGTTTAAGGGTCCTGAAGCAGATGTCGTAGAGGGCCTCGTTGTCTATGCAATACGACTCGTCCGTGTTCTCCACCAGCTGATGAACTGACAGCGTGCAGTTGTAGGGCTCCACCACGGTATCCGATACCTACGTGTCGTCAAAGGGAAAGAGAGAGAGAGTGTGTGAGACTGTGCAATGTAGAACTATGCGTTGACATCTCCTTCTGGCCAGATATATCGCGTATCGCATATATTATACGCATTGTACGCGGCCGTGCATCGCGTTGGTATTGTTCCATTAAGGACAAAAGGTTGCTTTCCGACGAGAAAGCTCTCTCTCTTTGTCTCTTTGTATCCATTGTACATCCCGCTCCGGTAATAGAGACTTTTGGCTGTGTTGTGCGCGCAATGCGTCCTCCGGCGATTCCCGATACACGGAAATTCGTAAACGCAAACTCTTGGCGCGCACGAATATCCAATCTTACATTCTATTCCCGAAAGTCGTCCGAGATATAGTGCGATAATATATGTGTAGGGTGGCTTCTGAAACTATTCCTTACATAAAAAACGACGCCAGACGAGAGTGAATATAAATTCGGATTTAACCTTTCTGTCGATGAACGGATATCCAAAGTAAATTTAAATGTGTCGAAACTTTTCTCCAAAATAAAATACAAAGGGCGCATATTCGAAAACTTCCTAAAAGATAAGGAAAAAATGGCTGCTATAAGAAATTGTCGCAAACTTGTCAAAAACACGCAGTTAATATTCTGGTACCGATATTGATCAAAAGAAACTTATGCATTGATAAAGAATTTTAACTCATTAAATCTCAAGTTTTATTTAATCAATTTAATTAATTTATTAAATTAGCGCTTCAGTTTAATAAAAAATGAAGAATATTGCTAATTGTAAGTCTATATATCAATCAGTGAATTTGATTCTTTTCTATTTCGTGTCTCATAGATATGAATATCTATCCATTGATAAAAAGGAGAAAAATTATTATTAATAAAATAATTATATTATTATAATTAATTATTAACTCTCAAAGTTTTGTTTAAACGATTTAATTAATTTAGCGCTACTAAAGGATAAAAAATATTGCTAAGTCTGTATATTAATTAATGAATTTTATCCTTTTATATTTCATGCCTTATAGAGATGAATAGTTAACTTATACATTGATAAAAAGAAAAAAATTATTCATTAACACAAGGATTAAATCTCGAGTTTTGTAAAATCAATTTAATTAATTAATTAAATTGACGCTACACGATCTAGTAAAAAATTAAGACTATTGCTAATCTGCATATATGAATTAATTTTATCCTTTTGTGTTTTGTGCCTCATAGATATGAATATTCATACACTGATAAAAAGATGAAAATGTGTTCATTAATATAAGGATTAAACTAATTGAATCTCAAGTTTTTTTTATCAATTTAATTATTTAATTAAATTGACGCTCCCCGTTCTAATAAAACATAAAAAATAATGCTAAGTAAGTCTGTATAATTAATTTTAACCTTTTGTATATATTGTATATTTCATGCCTCATAGATCTGAATATTCGTACACTGATAAGAAGACGAAAAATTGTTCATTAATAGAAGACTTAAACTAATTAAATCTCAAGTGTTTTTACTCGATTCGATTAATTTATTGAATTGGCGCTACAATGCAATAAAAAATAAAGAATATTGCCAAAACTATATCAATCAATTTTATATTTCGTGCTTTATAAATATAAATCCCCAATACATTAATGAAAAGAAAAAAGAGTCCGCATTGACAGAAGAGTTAAAATAAAATATAATAAACATGTTTAATAAAATTAAAAAATATATATGAAAGAGCGTACCTTCGGCGAGGGTACGACGCTGAAGGTCATCATGATCCTGTCGGGGTATTCCTCGCGGATCTTGGAGATGAGCAGGGTGCCCATGCCGGCCCCGGTGCCACCTCCGAGCGAGTGCGTCAGCTGGAATCCCTGGAGGCAGTCGCAGCTCTCGGCCTCCTTGCGCACGACGTCTAGAACGGAGTCGACGAGCTCGGCGCCCTCGGTGTAGTGGCCCTTGGCCCAGTTGTTGCCGGCCCCGCTCTGCCCGAAGACGAAGTTGTCCGGTCGGAATATCTGGCCGAACGGCCCCGAGCGGACCGCGTCCATCGTCCCGGGCTCCAGGTCCACCAGAATCGCGCGCGGCACGTACTTCCCGCCTGTAGCCTCGTTGTAGTAGACATTTATCCGCTCCAACTGCAGATCCGAATCGCCGTGATACGTCCCCGTGGGATCGATCCCGTGCTCGTCCGAGATCACCTCCCAAAACTGTAATCAAGGCGAGATAAATCAAGTCTCTCGTCTCCGATAAGACATTTTTCTATTTCAAATATCTTTTTATTTTTAACGCTGTATGTAATTGAAAATGTATTATAAAATATATAATAATATATTTATTGTATAATATTTATTATATATTTTATATATGTTTTTATTTATTATATATTTTATATTTTTATATAATAAATATTAAATACATATATTAATATGTATTTAATATTTATTATACAATATTACAAATAGATATATTTTAATGTTATATCTGTATATTAATATTCTATATATTAATATATTATAATATATTTATGGTATAATAATTATTATATATTTTTATATAGTAAATATTTATACAATAAATATTATCTAATATATATTAAAAAATATATATAATTATTATATATATATATATTAAAATATAAAAAAATATATATATATTAATAAATATAATATATTATATATTGTGTGTAATATAAAAAATGTATTGTACTTTTTCTCTGATTTATTGACATAATATGAACAATACCTTTTCATCTCCGATTATATTAAATGAGATTGATCTTTTATAGAGGTATATATTTATTTTCGATATTCTCGGCTGTCACGGTTATCTGTAAATTATTGAAAGGACCAAAAACGTACCTTGGCTCCAATCTGATTGCCGCATTGACCGGCCTGGAGATGTACTATCTCGCGCATCTTTGCCTGAGTTGCTTAGCTTTCTTAACTTGGGCGCGAAATCTCCTCTTCTCGTTTATACGAGAGAAAGTCCGAGATCCTGAAGACTTGGTCGTCGTCTGTTTCCGGTTACCTTGGAAATGCCGGATCCTCCGGATATTCCGATGCGCGCCCGAAGAGAAGAGGATGGAGTCGAAAGTGCGAGAGGTCGTCTTCCTCGACGTCGACGAGAGGATTCGTTAGAATTCCCGACGAAATCTCCCTAACCCTAAGAATCGTAACTCGAGTAATTTGGCTGAGATGCAGCTCGCGTTCCCATGGATACACGATGAGAGCGAGCGTGTCTTCCTCCTCGTCTCGGTTCTCGCTTTCTGCTCTGTTTCGGGGGACAATTGAATGCGCCGCTGATGAACAAAAGACTACTCGTATCCGCTGCATCCGCTCTCTCATTACTCTTCCTCTCTCTCTCTCTCGTCGATTTCGATTATATATAAGATGTCGAGAAGGAATTCGAGAATTTTAATAAATTAAATTTTTTAATTATTATTAATTATTTTTATTATTAATTGTTATTATTGATAATTTTTTATTTGGATTGAGATCAAGAATTATTCAGTATGTACTTAAAAATCTGAGTCAAATCGAATAATCAAGTTTTATTTTCAGAAATTGAATAATACTTATAAGAATTAATATTCTATATATTTTACTTTGTGAAATACTTGAATCTAGAACAGTTATTCAAATTTTAGATGACATATCAGAAAGTATAAGAAATGTAAGTAGTACTTAAATCCATCTAAACACTTCCATTCATCTATCTCTTACATACATATATGTATACATATTTTATAAGTACTCATAAGTACGCATAAGTACTCATACAAAATTTTAATATATTTGATCCAGGTTTAAATGTACCTGCAAGTACTGTTCTTTTTTATTGAAGTACTTTTTTATCGAAGTACTCATAAATACTTATAAATACTCAAAAGTATTTCTATAAGTACATATAAGTACTTATAAAAAATGTGAACATATTTGATCCAGATTTGAATATACTTGCAAGTACTGTACTTTTTTTATCGAAGTACTTATAAAGAATGAGATACATCAACCCGCTTCCATTTGATACATTACGTCAACGCTGAAGAAAATATTCCGATTATGATATTCTTACCACAAAAAATGTTTGGCGTTGAAAGCATAAATCAATCTTGACCAGATTAGAGACTACTCAAAAGTACTCCATTTTTTCAAAGTAATCGTAGAAAGTTTAAAATTATGTAAACAAATTCCAACCTACTTGTAAGAAATTGTCGCTATTTTTAATCATCTTTATTGAAACCAACGACTACCGTCTTCTTAAATATTTCTTTTTTTTATTACTAAATGCTTAGCAGAATTCGGAATATCTATTGAACGCTTTTATTTCTGTCAAGGATAGCGTTTTATTGTTCAGTTTCTAGTCTTAGTAAATCGAATTCCGTGTAATACTACTTAAGTCGGAGCAAAGGGATCTAAACAAAGTCCGTAAAACTCTTGGTCGCGAGGGCTTTCGCTATCTCATTAACCAGCTCCCTATACACGATAGGATTGACGTTCTGTGCGAGTTGGTGCAATAGGAACCAATCGCCGAAGTGAAACACTCGTACGACACGCTCGGTCTTAGACTTCTCGAGCACGCGAACTTCACCTCGCAGAAGGTACACTCTCGCCCAGGATTGGGAGAAAACTATGATCCTAGAAAAAAAAGGTATCGCGCGATAAATAATCCAGAGATAATTATAATTTTTCTAATTACAACTTTCTCCCGTTGTGTAAAAAGTAATGAATTACATATACATATCGTGTTTTCTTCTTCGCTGACTTTTTAGTCAATAAACGAGTATCCTAAGACCTGGTTCACAATAGGTAATTTTTTTTGTGCACCCTTTTCTTTTTATTGCTTGAATAGAATATAAAACGCGAACCTACCTACGGATTTTATGTTACATAGATATTTTTTAAATTACAAAATTAAAATTTCTTTTTTTGTTCTTAACATAAAATCGATAGATTTGCGCTTTATTGTTCCTATATATGTACTTTAATTGTGGAGAAGCATTTATTATTCTATCCAACCAATAAACAGAAAAAAGTGTGCGAAAATGATGTTTTATCGATAAAACAGGACGACTCATAGTCAATTTAGGATAAAATCATCTATTATAGACCAGGTTTAACGCTTAAAATTTTGCTTTAAGAGTACCCGGGTAATTTTTTTATATAAATCGATTTCTGCCAATATGTTCGGCATAAAAAGTAACTCAAGCAGCTCCTTGACTCTCGACGCAAAATAAATTTCCAGAATCGCGTAATCCAAAGTGACATATCGCCGACGCCGCGTGTTCCCGCGCAGATGTCGACCGAAACTTACGTATATACCTATAGATTAACGCCAGGCAACCGACGCCAGCGAGAAACACCAGCCAGAACCAGAGAACGATGAAGATCTTCTCGTTCACCACGTTCAACGGGAGGACGCACAAGGCGTCGTGGGTTTGGACGGAACCGGCGGGTCCGAAGGTGTGAATCGTGCACTTGGTCATCTTCGGAAATAATCGCGCCATAGGATCAACCCTGTCGTGAGGATTCTCCTCCGTAACGAAGGCAGTCACAAGTGGCCCGTATCGCCTGAACTGTCCTTCCAGAAATAGGTCCAACAGATATATCTGACCCAACTATCAATAACAAGTATCATCCAGAATGTCAATTTCCCAGACAACACCATGTCCAAAACTGGTGCATATGACATTTTCAAGATATGTTTTTAAGATGCCTTTGAGATATTATATCATAAGATTTCTTAAAGATGTCTTAGCACCAAAATTGGTGCATAAGACATCTTAAAATGTTTTAAGATGTCTTTGGGATATCATATCATAAGATTTCTTAAAGATGTCTTAAAAATTTCTTAATGATGTCTTATGCACCAACTTTGGATATGGTGCTATCCGGGCCCAACAGATCGATATATCTGACCCAACTATCAGTAACAAATTATCATCCAAAGTGTCCATTTCCTAGACAGCACCATGTCTAAAATTGATACATAAGACATCTTTAAGATGCCTTTAGGATATATCATATCATAAGATTTCTTAAAGATACCAAAATTTTGGTGCATAAGACATCTTCAAGATATTTTTAAGATTTAGGATATCATACCGTAAAATTTCTTAATGTCTTATGCACCAATTTTAGACATGGTGCTTCTGGGTTCTGTGTGAGAGTGGTTTTGAAAATTTAAAGACAATATTGATTTTTGCCATTACAAAATCATGAATACCAGGCGGGGAAAAAGCGGCATTGTATTTTTTAATACGTTAAAAGCTTCCAACAATTTGGTGTATTTTTCTGGGGCGATACGTCGACGAGGGGGATTTGCGCGGCGAAAGTTTCGATCGCGCACTTCGCAAAGGTACGCGGGATTATATCGAACTGTACTAGTAAATTAATTATTTTGTGCAACTTTCCCGCTTCTGACGTCACAATCTCTTCGTCCAACCTACCCGGTCGGCTGATCGAGAATCTTTAAGTACCCTCTGTCTCCAGCTGCAAAACTTTGGTATATACCTACCGAATTTAAAAAGTTCAAGACCTCGCACACGAAGAAACGCATGGCGTAGAAATTATGACTGTGCAGATTCGTCTTGGTGAAGTACTCGACAAGTTGTCGCTTCCTCTCCTCGGTCCAGACGTCTCTCAGAAACGGAGACGCGAGATCTCGCGAGAGGAGGCCCACGGTGCCTCTCTCCCAGATGCCCCATAAAGCGCGCGGAACGTAAAACAGGATCGCTTGTAAGCCGAGGACGAAGCAGACCTGCGTCGAACGTCGAGAAAAAAATCCCTTTACTTCTCTCATTTCCGTTTTTTTATTATCCGAGTTAGATCTTATTTTTTTATAACAAAGATAAATTCACGGATAAAGAGAAAAAAATAGGTCTTACGAGAAAATCTAATAGAGCTATTGGAAAAAACGAATTGTAAAAATGTTTATACAGGGTGTCCCAAAGTTACCGAACCACCTGTTAATGAAGGATTATTTAAAGACGATTTTTCTTTAACAAAAATGTCATTTTTGGGATGTTTCCAATTTTTGCCATCATGTACCTTTGTAACTGAGCAGCCTTTAAATTAAAATTATATTAAAGTAAACTCTATCTGAAATTACCCGAAAAATGTGGTTTTGTTAATATTTAATTTCCATAAGACTTAGTTTGCAAAAAACTCGAAAACTATTGGTGTCTTGACATTTCTACTTCCAAGAATCTGTCATTTTGAGCCACTGTCATATCCCAAATAGCAAACTAACAAATAGCAATCATTATTTTCTCTCTCTCTCTTTCTAATTTTTTAAGACTGAAAAGAGAGAAAGAGAGATTTTGCTATCATTTAAAATACTAGTCCCTTCATTTTTCCGAAGACTTACAAGTGTGTTTCTTGGAGAGGCGCGAACTTTTCTCGCTCTTTTCGCGATATATTCGCGATGCAGATCGTGCGATACAAAGCGACGTGGATAACGGCGGATCTGCGATCTCTATTTCCATTTCCGCCTTCCGTCCTCCGGACGTTTTCCTTCACATTCGCGCGCAGTTCGCGTTTCAGATTTCATTCACGCCCGCGCAATACGTTTGCATGTACCCTGACCATCGGAATGGAGTGCAATCGTTATCATGCATCTCGCGTAGGTAGGCAAGTCGATCTCTGTGTGTGTTTATGTGTGTGTGTGTGTGTGTTTGTGTATGCATTCGATACGAAAACTTGTGCGATCGACCGATTCGATATATGTATATGTGTATGTGTGTATATGTCTCTCTCTCTCTCTTTTTTTTTTCTCTCTCTCTCTCTCTCTCTCTCGACTTGTTCAATTTTTCAGAGTACCCTATCGAAAAACAATTTAAGGATCTCTTTGACGAATTTCGAGGTCGATCTTTTCCTCCGGCGAGAATTTTCTCGAGGAAGTATCTCTAACAGAGATAGAAATCTTACAAAGATATTTTATATCGAACGTAAAGACGTTTGCGAGAGCTTTCAGCTTTAAAGAGTATATAAATAGATGAGGAAACTTTCTGTGTTTCTCGATTAGGTTTAGGATGCTCCGATTTAAAAAAAAAATTAGCTCAAAGTAAAGAAACTCTGCGGCAAAAAAACTTTCTCTTTCTCTCTCAAGTTTGTAAAATTAATATAAATTAATATATACAGGGTGTCTCAGAGGAAATTACTGAAATTAATCAACTGTTATTTTTTAAAATTGTGTTGAAAAGAGTAAAATCTGCAGTTTATAATGGGTATAAATAAAATGTTTGTATACCGGTTTATTTTATTGATAAAAAGTAATGAAAAAAGTGCTAATAATCACATATGTAAACTAATGATATATATTTTCGAAGTGCGCACCATTTGAATTTGTACAAAATTCTATTCTTTTCTGAAAACTCGTAACAACTTTTTCTAACATGTCATTTTTAATATTATTGACGATCCTTTTAATAGCTGCTATTAAATCTGGCACTGTTAAAAAGATTTTTCATTAGTTTATATGATTATTAGCACTTTTTTCATTACTTTTTATCAATAAAATAAACTGGTATACAAACATTTTATTTATATTCATTAAAAATTGCAGACCTTCCTCTTTCCAACACAATTTTTTGTTTTCTCAATAATTATGCATGTATTAAAAAATGACAGCTGGCTAGTTACAGTAATTTCCTATGGGACACCTTGTATATATATCTTTCAATATGTAGGACTTTGAACTATCTATTAATGAACCTGTTCATCGATAAACTATTTCCATATCTATCTATATATATCTATATCTCTATATATAAAATTTCTTTATCCACATCTCGTAAGCTCGTTCTAAATTCAACTGACCCACTGATAATATCGATGATGACGGGCTTCGTCATCTGGAAAGGCCTGTCCCACACCAGCACTCGCCACACCTCGTCCAGGAATACCTTTCATGTGTCGGGATACCGTGAACGTGCTGTAGATCCAGCAATATGCATTCACGGGATCCTTGTCTGCCGGGAAGAGATATCTCTGTCATCTTCAAAAGAAGTAATTCTGACCGATGCAATCATTATAATTACAATTGATAAAAATACGCAAAATTAAAAAAAAAATCATTTTAAGAAACATAGACTGTATTTTTTTAATCTCCACACTCTTTGGTGCAAAGAAAAGGAAAGCTGAGTTTTTAATATTTCTTTTTTAATTTTACATATATATTATATTAATAAATATTGATAAATGTATATGATGTAATATTTATCTATTATATAAATATTTTAAATTGAAAATCTTTAATTTAAAATAATTGTAATTTAAAAATTTTTTAACTTTTTATACGCGAAACTCTTTCTCTTTAAAAAAGGTTAGCGGAATTCTGTACCGATGGAAGCATCGGTCAGGCAAGAAATCGGCTCGCCGATGTACTGTTTTGCAGTTACGAGAATAGTGCAAACGAGCAGTAGAAGAACGGTGAGACGCGAGTGCAGCCTGAAGACTACATTGTCAATGCGCACGGATTCTTCTTGCAGAAGGCATTTGATAGGTGCGAAGAGGTCCAGCATGGTTATATCACATATCGCTAGAGTCTTCTTCTGTCTCTCGAGTTTTACCGAAACAAAGCACAATAGAAGAAATTCCAATTATAGGGTGTTCCATTTTAATTGATCACTCCTAAAAACTTTTTTATTTTTAATTGTATGTATAACAAAATATTTCAAAGAAAAGTTGTTTGATTTGAAGAGGAACAGAAGATGGCGCTACTGACTTTTTGTAAAGAGCGCTTTTGAAAGTTATTCAAAGATTATTTGTTTTTTTTTAAATGAAATTACTATATTTTTTTATGTAAATAGATTTCTCGCAATTATCGGTATAAAAGTTCTAAGGCGAGCAAAAAATAAATAGTTTACGAGATATTTTATATTTAAATTTGACATAATTTTATATAAAACTGTATGATTATTACCGGATATCCTATATACAAACATAAAGCAAAATAAGAAATGTTTCACAAAGAATTCCAACATACAAATTGTAAAGGGTTTCAAAGAGAACATAATTTCGTGTAACCTAAGATTGCTTTTAATTTTTCAAGATCATTCAAAGGTCAATCTAAATTATTTCGTAGACTATTTATTTTTTGTCATCTTACCTCAGCAATTTTTTACGCCAAATATTATGAGGGATCGATTTATATTAAAAAAAGTAGGGAGACTTCTAGTTGAACAAAACTAGGTCGATTTAAATGACTGATGCATTATTAACATTTCTTCTTATTTCGCTTTCTCTTCTTTATATATTTAGGCATCTCAATTTAAATGTTTCACGACTGCGAGATGCATAAAAAAAAAGAGAACATCATATAAATCTGAATATACCGCGTTACGATGGCATTTCATAAAAACGAAGATTGAGTTACAGGTATCCGAAATTACGGGTGGCGTTAAAAGGACAGCCGGAGAATTATCATCGTCGCGTAAATCATCGAGTAACGATGCCAAAAACTGCTCGATCCGCCTAATTGGTCCGCGTTTAAGCATCGAGCAGACTCGTAAATCTTCTCGCGCGAACGTAACGTTCTCCCCTATAATTTTTCCTCTCGAAAGGAATTGCCGGGGATTGCGAGGAAAGGAGAAAAGGTAAGGAGAACGAGGAGGCAAAGCGAAGTCTTTCTCATTTTTAATTTATCGCACATCGAATCCTCTCTTTCTCGTTCGTTAGTTCTCTGAAATCTGTCGAAGGAGGAGGGAAGAGGGTTGAAGAAATGAAAGCCACCTCTTTTCACCTCGGCTCCAAGGATGCTCTTTATTAGTAAAAAATATAGTAATCATGATAATCGTGTCTTATTATCGTAATTACATATCGTAGTAAGATGATCGTTATACCGTCGATTAAAGATAGCTGCGTATTAATAATGCACGTCTGTATACGAGTGTCTGTATGAGCATATGTGTACGTGCGTGTCTGTGTTTTGTATGTGTCCACTATATTGAAAGATTGTCGCTAAACCTACATAAATGTTTTTTTTTCTATATACAAACAAACACGATCCTCAGAGCGTAGCAGCGCCTTCTAGGGTGCGGACCAAATCTTGCTTTTTGTTCTACTTGTAACGACGTTTTCCTGGAGAAGAGCCAACCAACGAGTATCAAATTAACGATAATAACACTAGTTTACAGTCAAACATTGTTTTAAACTAGGTAAGTGTTTCTTATAGATTTTTCGATGCCGCTAATCAAATTTCGCCAGTACATCACATTTCAGAAAATAATTGACGTTTAATCCCAGCAAACACAGTATATAAATGTTATATACTTAAGCATGTTACATGTAACGTATATGTTAGTTGTAATTTCCCACTCATAGATGTAACATTTTTAATATTACATATATTACATTGTAGTTATATTGCCATTATATCCCAAGATAGCACTGACTTATCAATACATCAATGTGCTATTTGGTATATAATTACAATATAACTACAATGTAATATATGTTATATTAAAATGTTACATCTATGAGTGGGAAATTACAACTAACATGGATGTTACATGTAACGTACACGTTATATTACCTGTTATATTCCGTTTTATTACAGCAATGTAACAATATATATCGGTATTTGCTGGGATGTGTTAAAAAGTGACTTTTTTCACTATATGTATTGGAGATTTTTTTGTAAAACAGATTGATATCTGAAATCTGATCAAATATAATGAATTTATTTTGTTCATCCCCTAAAATTATTTTTTCTAAAATTGATTTTATCATGATTTATTCTCTTTTAGATCATATATATTATTTTTGTCTGAGACACTTTTTCCAAAAATGCATTTGTTTCGAAAAATTCAAAGTGGGTAATTAAAATAAGACACCCTATATATAAATATACATTTAATGAAACCTCTCACGATAAATTATATTATAAAATGTACCGGTAGTTTATTTAAATTGCAAATTATGAGTATAGTTATATGATTTTATTATTATAAGTGGAATATTTGCTGTCGCAGCAAAACTCGGTATTTATATCCTTCCTAACACGACTAAAAAGTAAAATATCGAAATAAAAAAATCTCAAATATCACAAAAAAGTCATTTTTAGCATATTAAACCTCAATTATTTCGGAAATCTTACGTGCCAATGAAAATTGATTTGCGACATGTTCAACATCTAAAAATCTATAAGAACACCTTGTCTAGTTTAAAATAATTAAAAAAAAATATTTTTGGTAAACTAGTATAATCGGCGATAGATGTCTTGCCAACGCTCATTCTTTCTCTCTCTCTCTCTCACTGCTCTTTTTGTTTATATTTTCATATTTATTTTTAATTCTTTATATTCTCTTAGCATTACCAATTATTTCTAAAAAGCGATCAGTTTTACAAACCTCCTCTCATCCTCACTCTCTTTCTCTCTCTCTCTCTCTCGCTCTCTTTTTCTCCTTACGTCTCTTCGCCTTATTATATACAAACTGTTTGCACTGTCGACGATCACATGCATCATATAATAGCTGCATATTTAATAGGCACGCTCATTCGGTGTCATAGAGTCCGGACATCTTGCGAGTCGGCGAAAAGAAATGTTAATTTTTCTCATCTTCTCTTTCTTCAAACAGACTAGTAAAGTATGTGATTATTATTTTATTAATATTATTATTATTATTATTATTATTATTATTATTATTATTATTATTATTATACCTGACAATGCTTGTATTATTAGATTATATTGGTTACAGTCGCCGAACCTCAAGATGTTAAATCGACAAGGCGTGTCACGACCCGTCACTTTCATCTCTGATGTATTATTATATCGATTCCCGTCGTTCCCGTCATTTCCCTCTTTTTTGTATTTTAAGTCAATTTAATTCTAAAATCGCGCTCGTACGCGCAAGAAGAGTTCTTCCCTTCTCTCTCTTTCAAAAGTTCACGAAGCAGAACAACTTTGAGCAACCGCTAAGGACTATATCTCGAAGTCGAGATCTACCGACGACCAGGCTTCGCTGATTTGCGTCTCTGATTTACGAGCGACGGAGGAAATAAAACGTCCAAGTCGCCTTTACTCAATTTTCTAAGAGTAGGAAACTCTCCTTCCGATGAATAAAACATAATTGTAAAAAGATATGATATGATATGTTAATTAATTGTAAAAATTAATGTATCGTATTATGTGTATATATATCATTATTATCGTCTAATATTGTGAAAAATAATTAAAACTTAATCTAACTTAAGCTACAGTTTCTCAATTTCAAACTCATTATTTTTCGATTGTTTCGCCGATACCCTAATACCATATCTGAAAGACATTCTGAGGATATCCAGAGGATATCCAGAAGACATTCGAATATCCTCAAGATGTTCTCTGAACGTCTTCGGGATATGTGTGCATGCTGTTAGGGTAATAATCGGTCATGTTTTCTAAATTAATATAATACAATATTCATGGAAAGAATATTATTTCTGAGATCCCTCAATTTGATAAGTGTCTGATAGATTTTGTATCTAAAAAAGAATACCGTGCATTTGCGGCATCCTTCTTCCGATAAAAAAATCTTATAGAAATGGCCTGCCAAATCGGGGAAATAACATTCTTGTCCAATTCATGTTGTGGGAGCTATCTCGTATCCCGTAGATATCTCGCTATCGCTAGAAAAGAAGAGATGTCGCATACATCAGAGCAATAATCAGGGATAATCCGATTGTCACGAATCTACGATTTCTCTCGCGCGAACGATTCTATATAGGAACGATCGAGAGACGAGGACTACATAGTACAAAGTTCTAGTACTAGTCTATGGCAGTGTGTGTGTTTGTCTGTTTGTGTGTGTGTGTGTGTATAAAGAAGACTCGAATGGTAACACGATGAATACAATGCGGCAGTGGCAAATACGGCATTTGGTTAGAACTTGGTCTGGCATCTGGCGAGGGAGGATATTGTATGGACCATTAGTTCCGTGAAACGTGTAAATAGAAGATTGATGATGTGACGGACGTGGGTGTAGGGGGCGGGTGGTTAGGTTAGGTTCGGTGTGTGAACGTCACGCTGACAGATAATACGCGGACACGCGCAATAAGAGCGATAAGATTCAATCTCGCGCGATTAATGAGCAAACTCCGATATTTGTTCAAATCCGAAAGCATCACATTGGAAAGATTTACTCGTAAGCGTAATGTCGGATTTGTTGCTGAACTTGGAAAACCCATTTCTCTCTACTCCGTTGAGTAGTCGAGAAGGGGACAACATTTTGGAATTCATCTCCCGAAAAATATAGAAGCCTAATAAGAAGTTCGTTCCTTTTCAACTGAACTGACTGCACTGGTTCAGAGTTATCTTTTACTTTACAGTGGAAGAAGACTAGTGTAGCTAACTCAACTGAAAAGGAAAGGCCTAAGGACACACGATTACACCACCTTGAAACTTGAATAAGCTTGTCTTTTGAACTCATCGTTATTCCTCTTTAGAGATTATACAATCTTTCCTATAAGATACAGAAAAAATGTATTTAATACAAGTTGGTGCAATCTGCTCCCAAAGACATCTGAGCAATGTCTAAACAATTAACGACCCAGATACCTCTTATTTATAGTCGTTTCTCGAAAAAAGACCTCTCTTTCTCTCTCATTTATACATCAACACGCACACAAACATGTACGTACATGTATAGACAAGTGATGATTGATTCTTGCGAGAGACGACTTTGAATTGGACTTCTATGTTCTTCCGTAGACCGTGCACGAATACTCGCAGAGGTTCGATCACATTCAGAGGAGACGTTTAATAGGGTACGTGTATATCTCTGGAACGCGATCGTCTTCTGCAGAGCCTGCACATAGCTATAAAACACGCCAGACCCAAAAGAATTGCCAGACCGGCACCCAAACCAGCGCCGGCCCAGCCGGCGGGTCCAACAAAACCGCCACCAGTACCAGTGATGGGTCCACCACACGTCTCCACTGATTCGTCGTCCGGCTCGTAGAGAGTGCCGTTCAGGATCCCGGGTAGGGGCAGTCCACGACGTGGACAATTGACCACTCCGTTACACAGCAATCTCGTTGGAATACATCCCGAGTCGCCAGGACACTGAAAACCGCAAAACTCCTCGAGCTTTCCGGTGTTGAGGGCTCCGGAACCGTCCCTTGGCAGATGATAGAGCTCGGTCCAGGCGATCTTGAAAGCCGCCCTGGCCGGTGCCATGGTGCCGGTGAACTGTACGATCACGGCGGGAGATTCCTCGGCGTCGGCGCCATCAGTCGGCGCACCCGGGGCCAGATGATCCATTGACGATGGTGCGATCTGCACCGCGGATATAATCGGCATATCTCTGACATAGCTGACGTTCTCGCCGCAGATGCCGAGATACGGATCGACGTTGCCCGGCAAGAAGATCTCGAGCTTGCCATCCTCGCAGGAACGCGACGCGAACTTGATTTTGTCGAAGTGGAGGAAGAGATCGCGCTCGCGATTCACCCGCAGCTCCCAAATGCATTTGATCGACCGGGGTGGCGTGACGTATCCCAGAGCCTCGTAGTGCGGGAACTCGATTTCGCCGTCGGTGGTGGCTGGCAGAAGAGCCGGTCCGCAAAGAGGGCTGTGCGCAAATTCGTACCTCGCCTCGAAGAGAGGCGCGGGCCACTTGAAGTAGCTCGAAGCCGCGTGAGCGCCATCCACGAGAAGTTTCAGGTCCAATCTATCGCCTCGAGAGACCATGCGAAGAATGGGTGGCCGGGAGGCAGGTGGCGAGATCGTAGGTGTCGGAGTGCCATTGTTGCTGGAACGGCAGAGGCAGTGAGCTTTCACACCATCGGGATTGGGCTCCTTGATAATCACTCGGTCCACCCTACTGTCCCAACAGTGGCCACACTGGGCGTACGGGTGTTCCTTGAAATTGATGGATTCGACCACGAGGATCACTCGCGCATACAACCGCTTGTCGGTGACAAAGCTGTAGGTGCAGGCTAGATCGGCGGGCGGATCGCCGGGTCTTTTGTACACTAGAGTGTTGAGGGGCGATCGCAAGCGACCCGATCGCTGCTTCCACGAGGCGAAGATCTCGTCGCACTCGGTGCCGGCTACGGGCTCGCCGAATCTCGTAGCGTTGAAGAAGTCGTAATGAGCCCAGTAATAAAGCGAGCTACCGGAGTAGCTCCCAGTCTTGCTCTCGAATCGCACAAACAAGGCGTTCGACGTCGACACGAAATCGTGCTTCTCCATCGGTTTGCTGAATGTGTCGCAGAAGGTCTTAATGATACGCGCATCGTCCGGCCAGTCGGCGTCGTAGAGGGTCAGACTCTCACCGCAGTCGCCGTCGTACGGCTGAATCGGCGATTCGATGCGATTTACTCGGAAGCTGGGGAAGTAGAGGCGAGCGATCTCGCCCGGTCGGCCGCGCAGCAAATAGGTGCAGCTGGTGTGAGGCGGGTACCAGTGCGCGACCGATAGGAAAATACCCTCGTTACCGCTGACGAGGGACTCGCTGTTCAGCAGCCAGTCACAACTGCCGTTCTTCACGCCGGCGGTCTCCACGTGACCTGGCCAGTTGCCCACGTTAAAGTGAAAGCCGGTATTGAGCAGGGGACCGGCCGGCGACGACACGAATTCCACGTAGAGATCCTCGCTGGTGCCGATAATGCTGTATGGAAACTTGCCCATTCCGCAGAACGTGCCGATCACCGCACTACTTTCGTTCTTACCGTCGTACACACGTATGTAATCGTAGGGGCAGTGCTCCGAGCCGGAACTGATAGGTCTCATCGGGCACGTCATGATATTCTCGCATCGCTGACCGTCGATGTTGAACTCCTCGTTCTCGATGTAGAGTTTGATGAAGGGCAGTCGAGTGTTGAGACGATACTTGCAGTGCAACGCTCGCGGATAGATGCCCGGGTAAGCTGGGCTCTGAACGTAGCATGTCTGCAGTCGACAGTCCTTGAACACTCGCTCGCAGTAGCTGCCGGGTACGACCTCGCCACGGCGATTCGGATAGAGCTCGGGATGCTGGCCGTATCTGAGATACACCTCAAATTGTTGCTCGGCTCGTGAATCAAAGCTAAAGTACGTCTGGTCGGTGAAGTTGTCCGCGTGAAAGATCACCCGTACAAAGCTGGTCTCGCTGATGAAGGTTTGCGGCTGCTCGGACTCGCCGCAATAAACGCCCGGGTCCTTGCGATTGCTGACCTCGGTCTTTGTGTTGCCGTCTATGATCTGAAACACAAGTGGCGAGAAACGCGCGCTAGGTATAGATACAACACACATTTGGGACGATCGATCGAACCGTAAGAATGTCACATTGAGGTATCCAGGATTCCGATAATCCAGTTGTCCCACTTTTAAGACTAGAAGACTTTGTCACGAGCAAAATAATAATTTTTAATCCATCTATCGATGCATCATTTTTCATTGTCAATGTATGGGTATACTCGGATATTACCTACATGTTTTCGATACATTGCACTTTGACAATTTTTTTATAGCAGCTGCCGGTCATTGAACGTTTTTTCCTGTTATATTTTAGGAGATGCTCGAATACAAAGGCCCTTTGTATTTTATTTTGAGCGAAGAAGAGTGTTGATACATTTTTAACTATTAAAGTGTGTTGCTTTTGATATCCGTTCATTGACAGAAAGGTTAATGTCCGGAAGATGTTTTTATATCATGTGATAGATATAATCTGAGGAAAGATCATCTCAGGAAGATTATTTTACGCTTGCGTGTAAAACAACTTTTTAAATTTCAATTAAAAGATAACTTTATCATTTATAACAGAGTTATGCAAGTTTGAAATAGATAGAAATCCTATGAAAATCAAACGAATTGAAAAATTTAATAGAAACCAGATGAGATGGAAATTTGTATAGAATATAATCGATCCGTAAAAAAGAATAATAGAAACTTATACAAGGAATAACCATGGAAAATAAATCGGTCTGCGAAGATTCGCACGTTTCGTTTTCGCGTCTCGAAGCTTCACAAGTTTCCTCGTGCAAAGAGAAACGTATCCAAAGTATCTTACTATTGACACTTCGTCTTTTTTATCGATGTAAATTTGAAAATCGCGAAAGAAAGCAGAGGGAAAATACGGAAGAGAGTAGAAAGAGAAGTGAGATATAGAGAAAGAGAGAGAGAGAGAGAGATAGAAGAGAGAGGTTTACAGCGTCACAAAGATCAATACCTGATACCGAAGTAACTGAGAGAGGTGGCAGCAGAACGAGTGCGCCCGCGCGCTCGAAAGAGGCAGGTAGAGAGTAGAAAGGGGGAGAAAGGGGAAGAGAATCACTTATCACGTTCGTTCCTCCTCCCCCTCTCTCTCTCTCCCTCTTTCTTTCTGTATAGGAATGTTCTAATTTACGATGTTGATACGGCTATACCTCTCCAGATGCAGAGACTAAATCCAGGAGGGTATCCGCCGCCAATAATTCGCAGCGGTCTTAACGCAAAACCGATCTCAGCTTGTGTACCCTCTCATAACACTACGTAATATATAACAGACTCGTAAATTATCTCATCGATATCCGCAAAATGCGTTCGATTCATCTAGCTTTAGAGTAAAAGGATCCTACAAGAGATGATACATTTCATATCCGGAAGAATTCTTTTTTATTTTAACCCTTTTGTCCATGAATCACTAAAAAAAAAAGGGTACCCAAAGCAACTTTAAATGTTAAAAGTTAAAATGTATGACGAAACTTTTCTTCAAAACGAAATACAAAAAGCCTTTGTATTCGGAAATCTCTTAAAATATAACAAAAGGGGAAAGAATATTTAATACCCAGCAACTGCTATAAAGAAATTGTCAATGTGTCAAAAACACAATTGGTACCTAAGTACCCATATATTGATAAGAAGCTAACAATATATTAATCAGTCAATTTTATCCTTTTATATTTGATTCGTCATAGATACGTGTGTTTATCTAATGTAAATAGATTCCGTATACTCTTCGCGATGAAACGGCTTTCATGACACACGAAGCGTAATCAATTTCAGCATTCGATCTATCGCCTATCGTGACCGCGAATGCGTAACTCGTGGATTTGATATTCGTTTCCGTCGTATTGTGCGCGAATCCAACTGTATTTGCACGCATTGATCCGCGACGCGAGGCAAAGAGACACGAGCATCATTAGCATCTCTCCCGATCTCTTGGTCGTATCCAACTCGAATCGAAAAAAAGTAATCAGGGGCGCATATTGTCAAAGAGAAATTAAATTCCAACGTCCGGTTTATATTGACCGGATTCTCTCTATTCAATTAATAGGAACGTAGATCGAGAGAGAGAGAGAGGGAAGACAGGTTTGGCTGGGTTATTGGGGTGTCCCATCCTAAAATTAGGATCTTGGGATGCTCTTTCACCCTCCTCGTTCCCCCAACAAAGTGCTCACCTGTAAATAACCGCCGCTGCACGTGGTGGCGTTCTCCAGCACTCCGACCTTAAACTTCTTGAAGCGTACTCGCAGAATCCAGTCTCGGGGCGTCCCGCGAAAGGCACGGAAGCGGTACCAGCACGAGAGGGGTTTACCCCAATTCGCTGGGGTCACCGCCGGACTCGACACATCTTCATAAATGTCCACCGTCTTATTGCAGTGGCCTCGATCCGCTGAAATGGAAGCGATTAGAGCAAGAAAAAAGGGGCAGACATGTTTTGTGCTCCCTTCTTTTACATCTCACGGATTAATACCTTTTTTTAACGTGAGGAAATAAATGCGCTATCGCATACCCTCTCGCCTCGGGGGAGGCAGAGAGGATTATGTATCATTGTCAGACTCAAGGTTAGATGTTAGGTTAGGTTAGTCAATGTAGATTAGGTTAGGTTAGTCAATGTAGATTAGGTTAGGTTAGGTTAGGTTAGTCAGTGTTAATTAATATAATGATAAGCAATAATTTTTTAGTACAATGCGAGAAATATATTTTGTACTTAATAATAATGAAAAATGATTCTCTTGATAATTGAGTACACATAAAGAATGGAACAATCTTTCACGATACTTTGGTTAAGAAGAAAACTGGAGTTGGTCGAAAAAGTTCCTTTATTGAGTCTAACATCGTGAAAATGGAAGATACCCCATATTAGGAGCGTGATATTTTTCGTGACCCGATTGGATAGATTTGAGAAAATGATAAAGGAACGGGAAACATATAGGGAACTACGAAGGGGAACGAGGATAAGAAAGGACAACGCGCGACACAAGTTTCGGCCATGTAATCGATATTCGACCCATTCCCTAGATATCCCCTTATAAAGGGGCAGTCTCGTGTTACAATATAGCCGAGCAGTATCACGTTCGTAAATCACCCTTCCGCAAAGTATCAACCCCTTCTTCGTTCGCGCGACCACCGTCAACATCCGGCAACGAGATAAATCTCTCTCTCTAATGCGACGGTTAAGAAGATTCTCAGGTCCACTGGGTTTGTTACGCCGATAATTCGAACCTATTAGCCGCACAACGAGCTTACGATAATTGCTGATAACTTAGGGATAAGTGACTGCCGGGCTAAGCCTTTTATTAATCCTTCTGCCAATTAACAGGTATCCGGGTACTCTAAGCGACTTTAATTCTTCTGTCAATCGGGAAAATCGCGACAGTGGATGTAAAATGAACTGAAAAAATTTTTATTTCTTTTTTATTATCTACAGCTCGAATGTTTTCCATAATTTTCACGAAAATCACTGAAAATAGCGAGCTATTCGTCATAAAATGGAAAAGGAATGTCATAAAATTGTCAAGATCACTGGAAATGATCGCATGGTGTCGGGATCACGTTTGGAGCTAGGAATAAATAGAGGATCGTTCTTCCTCGCTCTTGTCGCTTGGCCTGGAAATTTGAACTCGTCGGAATTATACCTCACCCCAACCCCTGGTCCCCCGCAAGCCCCCGGATTAGACTTACCTCTGCGAATGGCAGCGGGACTGGGGATGGCCAGAAGCAGGAGGAATATGGCGAAAAATCCCCAGCCCCAGCTACCGAGGAGTACAGGCATTCGAGGCATTCCCGGGACAAGTGCCGAGGCTGTCAAAATACCTCCGCTATCTCTCCTCTTATCTCCATTTGCTTTCCCCGTCGAAGACTATCTGCGTACACACGCGTACAGAAAAAATCGTATATAAAATATATAAACTATATTATTCTTTTTTATTACGTCGCATTGGAAAAAAATATATTAAATATATATAAACAGAGGGTTCAATTTTTAAACAGCATTGCTATTTTTCGAAAACCAAGTCCTCCATCGAAAGATGTTTCGCATAAAAGTTGTAGGATTTCGAGGGAAACGTCTATGGAGGCATTTCTGAGAGTTTGAGGTTATCATTATTTTTTTAAACAAAACCGCCATATTTTTACACAAATCGATTCCTCGTAGTGTTTGGCATAAAAAATTGTTAGAATAAAATTGTTGAAAAATGAATGGTTTACGAGATATTCTATGCTTCATTCCGACACCATATATATATATATAATATATATTAAAATATACTCATTTTTCGATGATCTTAATTTTCTGCATAACATAATGGGATAAATCAATTGATGTTAAAAAACATAATTGTTTTTTCTAATATGCAGTTGCATATTGCAAATTGCACTTTGTTTTTAATTACAGAAAAATCAAAAATAAATAAATACGCCAAATACTACAATACTAGGAATCGATTTATGCAAGAAAATTGCGATGTTTCCATATAAAAAAGAAACAATAACCTCGAAATCACTTTCAAAAATACCTCCCCATCTGGAATAAAACTATGCTTAGAAGAAATCCTACATGTATTTTTGTATAAAACATTTTGCAATGTAAGCCTTGATTTTCGAGAATGCGAATGTTGAAATGAAAGACTCTGAATATTTTTATGCAGAATGTCTCACTTTAATCGATCACCCCAAAAATTTTATTTTTGATTGTACAATAAACTATTTTAAACAAAAATTATTTAATTTAAAGATGGATACAAGATAATGATTAAAATGGGACACCTTGTATATATGTATATTTTGCTGCAAAAAAAATGTCCACTGTATCATTAAATTATAAAATCAGAAGAAGACACGTTAATACAATTCGAACTTAAATTAATATTTCATTAATCGAACATGCATTATTATTTAAGTCAAAATATACGTTTTGTGAAATTAAATATGTTACATTTAATTTAAATATTTCTGAATGTTCAATCAACAAAATATAATATTTAGTTGAACGATTTCGTCGAGTTAACAAAAATTTGTTTTTTTTTTCAGTAATGATCCTTTTTATAAAAAAATTGTTCCGCTCCGAGGAGCAAGAAATGATTTTCCGACTCATTTTCCAAGACAGGGAAAAATTTCTCACGCGATTGCATCTTCCTTCTCTCTTTCGTTCTCCCGCTTCGCCACTTCCCGAGAGTAAATATCTCTATAACACGAGTCGCTTGATGAAATACAGACGCGTACATCGCGTTATCATTTCCCCAAAGGACAATAAGGGACGCCGCATGGTTTGCCAGCTGGGTCGAGCACCAGCGTATGCCGGAAGGGCCTCGTTCGTACGTCCATGTCGGGAGAGCCGGGGTGGAATAATTGGTTAAATCCGCGTTGACTCTCTTTGACTCTCTTTGACTCTCTCTGACTCTCTCTGACTCTCTCTCTCTCTCTCTCTCTCTCTCTCTCTCCTCTCTCTCTTCTCTCTCTCTCTCCCTCTCTCTCTCTCTTCCTCTCTCTCTCTTTCTCTCATCGACTATCTATCGACAACACACAGAGAGTACTTCACCTCCGGAATTTTCTCTCCTTTCCCGCCTGCGCGGCTTCTCTCCCTTTTCATTCACTCTCTGACGTTTTCCTCCTTCTCCTACTCCTTCTCATCCTTTTGCATTCCTGCGATATTTTCATTGTCTCGTCTCACAAGAGGATTCGACACTTCCCTCATACGTGTGCAATCTTTAATAATTCGGATTCTTTCGACAGAATCTTCTCTTCGCGAATCGCAATCGGCTTCTTCAAAAATTCAAAAGGGCCAAGGTCGCGCTAGAAAGACGCTTTTATTTATCGATGAAACCCTGTTTCTCGGATCGACACAGGCAGTCGGCGGAGATTTTCCAGATTCCGTCGGCGTACAGGAATCGAATAAAGGCGGACGCGTGCCGAAAATGTCAAATCATGAACCGATGCGCGCTCGAGTTGGCGCATCAGCAATTTAGATCGCGCGTTGATTACGCGCGCGCGTGTTGTTCCTGAAGAGGGAGGAAAACAAGGAGCAACAACAATGGCAAACGCGATTTCGCTCGCGAATCATCGTCGAACGATGTTTTTCCAATTTACCCCGATATTTTGCCCCCCTTCCTTCCCCCGCGATTATTTCGTATCACTGTCCCGGGACACTGAAAACACCCTCTGCATACTCAACTCAAGGACGCAATTTCCGAACGATTTTGTCACAATTTTGTAGCAGCAGTGTTAAGAATTTATATATATATTCGAGAAGAATTTTATTATTTTTTTTTTTTTTTTTTTCTACGTCAGTCTTTCCAGGTAGCAAGCATACGTTATTTTGACGTCGAATGACGTCATTAAACATATAAAAATGACATCGTTTTGTCATCTAATGACGTCAGTTTGTTACTTGGAAATCTGACATAAAGAAGAAAAATTGAATATTACTCTTATTCAGTACTTTTTGAGTGTTTGTAAATTAATTGTAACTTAAAGTGAAATTCCTGTAATTTTGGAGAATTTCAATGGCAATCCAGATAGCAAGCGCACGTCATTTTGACGTCAAATGATGTTATTAGACGTGAAAATGACGTTATATTGACGTTTAATGACGTTAGTTTGCTACTTGGGAAAGTAATATACTTCCTCCAAAAAATAATCTTTAGCGGGGTTAAATAAGTTACAAGTAGGTTCGAATTTGATCACATAGTTTCGAACTCTTTATGAATACTTTTAAAAAAACAATACTTTCAATTAAATTTAAATCTGGACGATAGGTTCAAGTTTTTTAAAAATATGTCGAAAAACAAGAGCAATAGTTGCAAATACATTCAAACCCGAATCAAGTATGTTAGAATCTTTTATGAATACTTCTGAGTACTTATGAGTACTTATGAAATATAATTATATTTATATTAATGTATTGAAGGGTAGATGAATGGGGGTGTTTTGGTCGATTGTAAACGGAAGTTTGTAAATATGTAGCAGGTACACATAAATATACTTTTATTATCTTAGAATTCGAGTACTACTTGTAAAAGATTCAAATCTTCACGATAGAAAGTATTTGTAAATATTCTTAAGTATTTATAAGTATTCAACCCTTGCAGATACTCGATCTAAAATTCAAATATGTGTTCTAGATATTTCGCAAATACAACATATAAAATATTATTTCTTATGAGTATTCGAATCCTAGAAAATAAAACTGAATTATTGAACTTGAATTTTTAAGTACACACTAAGTATTCATAAGTATTTGCAAGTATTCAAACCTTGCAGATACTCAATCTAAAATTCAAATAGGTGTTCTAGATTCGAGTACTTCGCAAGTACAACATATGAATCATTATTTCTTATTCGAATTCTAGAAAATAAAAATAAATTTTTAAGTACACACTAAACTTGATCCCATTCCTAATAATCTTAGCCTAAATCACATTTTATGTGAGACAAAAATAAAAATCATTTTTTCTTTGGATTAAAATCTAAAAATAATAAGGAGGAACCTAATTTTATATCCTATACATTATTCTTGATATCGAAACATGCACCTTGCACCACGCACCTTTTTACCACAACACTCTCATGCTTCCTGGCTGCCTACAGATCTCTCCTCAAGATCAATCTGGATCCTCGGTTGCCGATCGAAATCACCGACGCGATATCCTCCACGCGGGTTCCTTCGAGTATGCCATCTTCTCTCTCATTAGATCGTGCGAGGATCTCCTCCACCAGTCCGGGATACCATAAAGATCCTCTCGGGTGCGAATCCAGGCCGAATTTACATCATCCTCGTCGTCATCATCCTCAGCCACGTATCGACCACGACGTCGACGCCTGGCACAGTTTCCTCCGCGATTCTTGACTGCGCACACATAAGGTCAAAAACGACGAACGTGTCCCGTCCGAGGATCCCTCCTCTCGTTTGGGGAACAGGGGATTATTTAATCATTCCCCGAGAAGTGTGGAGTGCCAGCATCCACTATCAGACGCTGGTCTGATTTCAGTCTTGCACAAGCACCCTGCTGGAAGCAGCGCGTAAATCATTAGCGCGTCGCATAACACAAAATCGAAACTGTCGAAAAGATGAAAGAGATGAAGGTGGAGGAGAAGTAGACGAATGGTGGCAGGAGAGAAAAGAAACCGCGCGAAGAAGAAGGTAGAAAATTAAAAAAAGATACGCGCATCCACACAGCGTACATATACGAGAGGCGAAAAAAAAGAGAGAGAGAGAGAGAGAGAGAGACCCCGCCGTGAGCTTCGGTCAGAAAGCCAGGCTGCGAGTCGACTGCCGAGTCGGAACGAAAGCTCGAAACGTATGGCTGGCGGCTTTAACGTCCGCCGATCGGAGCTGCGGCGGGTCGAAGCTTGCGCAAGCTCTCTGGCCTCCTCTTTCTTGCCATCTTTCTCCCCCGACATCAGCATAGCGGAACGCTCGTTCTACCCCACTCTCTCTCTCTCCCTCCCTCAGTCATCCCTCCCCTTCGTCGCCCCTCTCTCTCTCACTCTTCCTCCTTCCCCCTTTTCTGATTCCTCTGTGTCCCGTTTCGCTCTTCACTCTCCTTCCAATGACTTTCATTGAAGCTCGTCTCCCCTGCTTGTCCTCTTCCCCCTTTCTATCCTTCCCCTCTCGCGATGACCTATTACTCCTACATTGCTTCATCCTCCGTGTTCTTCTGCGTTATCCTAACAACCCTTTTGCCGATTTCTGTTTTTTTTTTTTTTACCTTACGACCCCCGTCTTTCTCCTTCTCTCGCCGGTCAACCCAATCGATATAGGCATGTGTTAACACGCGCGTGTTTATATCGCGTGCTTATCGCGCGAATTTAGCGCTTCCGCTCGCGTGCACACGCATGCAAACAGCCCCCTATTAAAGAAAAGAAAAAAAAGGTAAATAAAAGCCGCGCCACCGCGCCACGTCGCTGCGACGCGTCGCAATTCACACCTGACGTATCGATTTACGACGAGAGTACGCAGAGGGTGAGGAGCGGTGAGGAGTCAGGGGGGCAAGATTATCCTATGTGCGAGAGTTTTGCTAGAAAAGGGGAGGGATTCCTCCGTTTATCTCGCGTCTGGCTACGTGGAAATCCGAGAGAATTCCACGGTACAATGTCGACGAGTTCAATTTTCCAGATTTGTAGACACGACAAAACGGGGTGAAGAAGAAGGGGTTAACCTCCTCGCGCCGGGAATTGACGCGAATAAACATCGCCGAGAGATCATCCCCTTTCCCCCTCCCCCCACCGATACGTCACGCCAAAATCCGGCGAAATTACACCCCCCGACACCCTATTCGCCCCTCTCGCTCTCATCCCGACGAAGGTCGTTCTCGGAAGAGCAGCTGCGACCGTGCGGTCCTACATTAATCAGCGTTGAAATAAACTTAAGCGAGGTGGTAACTTAAGCCAGTCCTATTTACGGGGGTTCGGACCCCCTTTGTGGGATTTAACCCGTACCCTAATAGTACAACATATCCGAAAGATGTTCAGAGGATATTCGAACATCCTCAGAATGTTCTCCGAACGTCTTCGGAATATGTGTGCTGTTAGTGATGTTAAATGGGAGGGTCATTAAACGCTAAAATGACGACATTTTCACGTCTGATGTGGAATGACATCATTAAACGTCAGAGTGACGTCTGGTCCCTAATAGCATAACATATCCGAAAGATATTCAGAGAATATCCAGAGGATATTCGAACATCCTCGGGATGTTCTCCAAACATCTTTGGAATATGTGTGCTGTTAGTGATGTTAAATGGGAGGGTCATTAAACGCTAAAATGACGACATTTTTACGTCTGATGTGGAATAATATCATTAAACGTCAGAGTGACGTCTGATCCCTAATAGCATAACATATCCGAAAGATATTCAGAGAATATCCAGAGGATATTCGAACATCCTCAGGATGTTCTCCAAACATCTTTGGAATATGTGTGCTGTTAGTGATGTTAATGGGGGGGGGGGGGGTTTTAAACGCTAAAATGACGACATTTTTACGTCTGATGTGGAATAATATCATTAAACGTCAGAGTGACGTCTGATCCCTAATAGCATAACATATCCGAAAGATATTCAGAGGATATCCAGAGAATATTCAAACATTCTCAGGATGTTCTCCGAACGTCTTCGGAATATGTGTGCTGTTAGGGATGTTAAATGGGAGGTCATTAAACGCCAAAATGACGACATTTTCACGTCTGATGTGGAATGACATCATTAAACGTCAGAGTGACGTCTGATCCCTAATAGCATAACATATCCGAAAGATATTCAGAGAATATCCAGAGGATATTCGAACATCCTCAGGATGTTCTCCAAACATCTTTGGAATATGTGTGCTGTTAGTGATGTTAAATGGGGGGGGGGGTTTTAAACGCTAAAATGACGACATTTTCACGTCTGATGTGGAATGACATCATGAAACGTCAGAGTGACGTCTGGTCTCTAATAGCATAACATATCCGAAAGATGTTCAGAGGATATTCAGAGGATATCCAGAAGACATTCGAATATCTTCATGTTCTCCGAATGTCTTCGGGATATGTGTGCTGTTAGGATAATTCGGGAGGCACGCCCGATACCGCGCTAAGTCTAACGGCAAATGGGATTACGAACCGCGTTATATTATATTACTAGAGGAAGAGGGAACGTAATAAGCCGCGGGTGTATAAGGAAAAGTAATTAAGGCCGCATCCCCGAGCACGACGCACGAAAAACTGATAATGGTGATAAATAGGATTACCTCTTCGCTAATTATTCCCGATGATGAAAGTAATGATTATGTCTGTTCTCTGTGGTTTTCTGATGATTATTAAATAGATGCTCGCCTCTCCTCCTCTCCCTCTTCCATTGTGACGTGTTATAATTTTATGGCAATTATTAATCCAATTATTGGAAATTTATTACGATGCACCATTTACGCGGCGGCCTCAATTTTTCTTCACTTTTTAAGAATATTTACATTAATTTATGAAAAATATATGTGAAAAATTGCTAGATAAATATATTTCGAAAAGTTTAAAGGATAATTTTCTTGTTAATTAATATCACGTAATATTTACAATGTAGCTGAAAACATTTAAAAGGATATCATTTATAGCTTTTTTTAATACCTCGCCTTTTAGCCTCTGTTAATGAACGAGTTATACGCGAAAATTTTTCTACACGAGTAAATGACTACTAAAGAGAGAAAGAGAGAGAGAGAGAGAGAAGTAAGTTTTTTCAGGCTTCCATGGCTGTTTAATATCAAATCAAGAATCTCGCGTAAAATCCTTCCCAAAGGTACTTTGATTTTTCTATACTTTTCCGTTAAATTTAGGCATGAAAATAAAATTTCTCTCTGCAGAAATTTCTCGGAAAATTTAAGTAAAATTAACGAGTGATGATAGCAAGTGCGGTGAATATATATCAGTAAGTGACAGATTAAAGGAAAATTATTACTAAGTAAATTAACTTTTTTACTAAATAGAGGTATTTTATTTTTATTAGACATTTCTCTCATTATCTTCTCCGCTGTTTTGCATTTATTAAGCTTAACGAGCTTATCGGTGTATAAAACCCGATAATGAATTTGTACGAGAGGTAGAATAAGATAAAATTTCCCGAATCATATATATAAATAAACAATTCGCTTCGCTATCAAAAAAAAATATTATTCTTTATGCAAAAAAGAAATATATTAAATACCTTTCTCATTAAATAAATTTTGATTAATTTAAAATCATCTTTTTTTCCGACAGAAATGTCGAAAATCAATGAAAATTAAAGAAATATTAGCAAAAAAAAAAAGTAAAACTAAGCTTGAGAATATGAAAATTTTTAATTTTAATAAAATTCTACTTTATTTACAGACAGATATTCGATAAGTTCTCTCGAAATAGATTTCCTGATTTTATTTAAATTTAATTTAAATTGACTAATTAACACGAGTTTACAAAAAAATTTTTTTTATTATTTTAAAGCAGACACAATATTTTTAACAGATTTTCGGATATTGAAAACGATGTCGCAAGCCAATTTTCACCAACGCGTCAAATTTCCGAAATAATTGAGGTTTAATATGCAAAAAATGGCTATTTTGCGATATTTGAGATTTTTTTCAAAAAAGTTTACGTTATATGGAAATTCTGATCAAATATCATGTTTGAATGTATTGTTCATTCTCTATAAAATGCATTTTTTTATTTCAATATCTTTTTAATAATATTAGAAAGAATATAAATATAAAGTTTCACTGAGATAATAAATATTTCGCCTATAAAACAATGAAGTCATATAATTATATTCATAATTTATCATTTTTATCTATTATGATAGATTTCATCAATTATAAATATATATTTATATATATAGGGTGTCTCATTTTAATTGCTTACCTTGAATTTTCGAAATAAAATGCATTTTCGAAAAAATGTTTTAAACAAAAGTTGTATAATTAAAAGGGGAACAAATAATGGTAAAATCAATTTTGGAAAAAAATAATTTTTTCTTCAGAAGCATCTTCATATAATTCCCAGTTTTATTTTTTTTTATAACATGACTAAAAAATAAGATATTGAAATAAAAAAATGCATTTTATAGGGGTCGAACAATATATTCATGATATTTAATCGGACTTTTCAGCTAACGTTAATCTTTGTTACAAAAAAAATCTCAAATATCGCAAAAATGTCATTTTTTACATATTAAAACTCAATTTTAGCAATCTGACCTACTACTGAAATTGGAGACTTGCAACCAAACATCTATAAGAGAGAACCAATTATCTCTAAAACAATTTTTGGCTGTGCGTGAACCAGTGTAATTATTTACCAGCAATCAACAGGGAGATTTGAAATTTAAATTAACGCATGGATGGATTCATATCCTACGCTAAAGGAATGTACATTTTTTATTAGAACACAGAGAGCGGCTTTTAATTATAGATACTTCTCGAATGCATCTATTAAAAACCCGACAATCGGATCGATTCCGTTCGACCTCGCGTTAAACAGCCGGCGACGACGCTGAAGCAGCAGCAACATCTGCGCGAGGAGAAGGGAGAAGGAGATGCTATCCGAGATATTAATTAGCACGGAGATATCTCGCGTGTATGTACCATATACGATGCCGCGCGATACATATCTAGCCTGAATTGCCGCGTCTATCTGGCTACATCTGAAAAGCCATGCCTACCTAAACCTACTGTCGACGACGCGGCAAGGTCTCAGCAACACGATATATTGATTACGTCGCAGAGAGAGAGAGAGAGAGAGAGAGAGAGAGAGAGAGAATGTCAGAATGTTGGAGTAAACCAGAGTAACGCGAAGCACGCCGAGCATGCACGGAGTAGAACAGCCAAATTCATCGAGGTGCACCGGAATATACGTGAAAATAT